TCCGCCATTTTCATGAGCGACACGCCTAACAAGATCAAGAACAAAATCAACAAGCACGCTTTCTCCGGTGGCCAGGACACTGCGGAATTGCACCGCGAGCTGGGTGGCAACACCAAGAACGATGTCCCATTCCAGTACTTGTCATTCTTCCTCGAGGACGACGAGGAACTGGAGCGCATCCGTACCGATTACGAGGCTGGAAAGATGATGACCGGCGAGATCAAGCAGAAGTGTATTGCTGAGCTTCAGGCTTATGTTCAAGGGTTCCAGGAGCGCAGGGCACAGGTAACGGATGAAATCATGGCCGAGTACATGCGTCCTCGCCCTCTGGAGTGGAAGGGGAATCCCAACCCAGTGGTGGTCGAGAAGGCTAAGAAATAGGACTGGAGGAGGCAGGCATTTTCCGGAGCAATCGAGTTCAAAATTACGTATGATTTCATAGCCTTTTTCATCAATTTACCAACACCATTCAAACATCGACTAGTCCACATATGTGGCCATCAAAGTAGGTGTATCAGTACATACTGTGTAACGTGGAAAGTTCTCACTTGGCTATGACCTGGCCTCGAAAAAACCCCCTTACGCCGTTGCTCAACCAACACAACTCGCCATCCACAAGGTCATTCCGGGAGATGGTGCGTTCTAGACAGAAACCCTGAGATAACGCATACCTCCGTGTTGTACCTGCATTGCCGCCGCTGCTCAGTGGGGGCGTGATCCACATTTGGCCCCGTAAGAAATACGGCGTAGTGATGCTGCCTTCCATAACCTCACCATCCGGGTTGACCATCAGTACCTCTGCAAGGTCTGTCGGCGACTTAATTCCCGCCCTCAGCCGTGCAGACGTGTACTCATCACGCGCGGTGGTTTTATGCGTGGTGAAGCCAGAAGGAGTTGTTGATTTGGTATCGACATAGACGCGCCATATCGGCAGGCTTGGGTTCGCATGTAGAGAGGGAATGAGCAAACTCATTAAATCAATGCTTGCTGTTGGGTTCGCCTCCACTCTCACATTCCCTTTATTGTTCACTACAATCCTAAGCCTCCACGGTTTGCTTCGGTCCGGAATTGACGCGTTGAGAAACTTCTCGAAGTCTTGCAGGTCTTGTTGCAGCCAGTTTAGAGCCTCGTTCCATTGAAAATGAGCAGCAGCAGCTATGAGCCGGTCTTGGTTATAGGCAAGGAGGTAGTAGGGGGATTTGTGAGGATCAGGGTAGCTCGATGCATGGCGACACGCTGCACCTGAAAGGCCCGGGTCAAAGCGAAGGGAGGAAATAATCTCGAAAGATGGTGAATTTGAAAAGTTCTCGGTCATTTTTTTTTGGCGAAACTCAATGGCTTACGGTCTTAGCTGTAGTCACCAAATCAGTCTTGCTAAGTAGTAGATAAATCAACACGGCATTAATTCGGACGGAATTCGAAGAAGAAAAGGGGGAGGTGAGTGTACAAAAAGATCCGACGAGCCAACTCTGTTCAATCCGGACATTTGTTGTGGAGTGTTACCGGCGCAGTGCGCGTGATTGGCTAGCCCGGCCAGCGGAACCCTTGACTTTTCATCTGAGCTTCATCATTCCCGAACTTCCCCATCTATAACTCCTTCTGTCGAGGTCTGGTCAGTGAACGCATATTCTTCCATCTAAACCTGATTGTGCCTGACTTGCCGATTAAATACTGACATCTACATAAATTCAAAGAACTAGCCGTGTCGCTCCCTTTGCCTGGTTCGCTTACACATCATGTCGAACGAACTGCCGTTACCTACGCCCGCCCAAAATGTGGTGCTTGATACATCAAAGCTGACTGAGTCATCATCAGCATCGGTCTGGGATCGCATCACCAACTGGGTCTCAGAAAACAAAGCCGTTGTTTACACCATTGCCGGAGTTGCCGTTGTCGTGACCGGCGCTGGTGTTGTCTACTACCTGAACGATTCCAGCAAACCCACTCCCTCAGCACCCAAGAAGAGCAAGAACCAGCGGCGGAAAGAAAAGAAGAAGGCCGAGGAAGAAAAGGCTGCATCAGTGAAGGATGGTATGTGCTCATGTCTTAAACATGGTGGGTGGTCGTATGACTGACAAGGTTCCAGAGTCTCCCAAAAAGGCAGAGGAGCCCATTGATGAGCTTCCCGAGGTGGACGAGGCAACTATTGGACAGCTTTCCGAAGAGGTATGTCAAGCAACATTAATTCTCACACTTTTGCTGACAAGTCAAGACCCGCAACGCCTATGCGGCCAAGCTCAAAGCCGCCGGTAACAAGGCCTACGGAATTAAGGACTACCCCAACGCGATTGAGTTGTACGGGAAGGCCATTCTCTGCAAGCCCGACCCCGTATTCTACTCCAACCGCGCCGCCTGCTACAACGTCCAGTCCAACTGGGAGAAGGTCGTCGAGGACACCAGCGCCGCTCTCGCCATGGACAGCGAATACGTTAAGGCCCTCAACCGAAGAGCCATCGCGTATGAGCACCTTGAAAAGTACAGCGAGGCTCTCCTCGACTTCACAGCCAGCTGTATCATTGATGCCTTCTCCAACGATGTGAGCCGCAATTCGCTCGAACGTCTGTTGAAGAAGGTCGCCGAGAAGAAGAGCCAGGCTATTCTGGAAGCGCGCACCAAGAAGCTGCCTAGTGCCACCTTTGTATCCAACTACCTCCAGAGCTTCCGTCCCCAGGCCCTACCCGAGGGATTGGAGGAGTCGGTTGAGTTGAGCGATGAGTCTGGCTTGGGCCAGCTGCGAAAGGGTCTTCTTGCTATGGGCAAGAAGACTGCCGATGGCTACGAAGAGGCTGCCGCCGCTTTCGAGATGGCACTTGAGCTCGGTGAGCTCGGTGAATTTGAAGGATTGGCCCTCAACATGCGAGCCACCTTCACGTACCTCGGCGGCAACGCCACTGACGCTTTGGCTGACCTGGATAAGAGTGTCGAGCTTTCACCTTCCCTGGTTCAAAGCTACATCAAGCGTGCCAGCTTGCACCTAGAGCTTGGGAACAAGGATGCTGCGGCCGACGACTTTGAGCTTGCCATCACTCACAACAAGGACGACCCAGATATTTACTACCACCGTGCCCAACTGCACTTCATCCTGACCGAGCTTGCCGAGGCCGCCAAGGACTACCAGAAGTCAATCGACCTCGACCGGTCGTTTATTTACTCTCACATCCAACTCGGTGTGACACAATACAAGATGGGCTCTGTTGCCTCAGCGATGGCTACTTTCCGCCGGACAGTTAAGAACTTTGAGGAAGTCCCCGACGTATACAACTACTACGGGGAGCTTCTCCTTGACCAGCAGAACTACTCTGAGGCCATTGAGAAGTTTGACAAGGCCGTTGAGATGGAGAAGCAGAGCAAGCCTATGGGCATCAACGTCCTGCCCCTGATCAACAAGGCTCTTGCTTTGTTCCAGTGGAAGCACGACTTCCAGGAGGCCGAGAACCTCTGCCAGAAGGCTCTCATCATTGATCCCGAGTGCGACATTGCCGTCGGAACCATGGCCCAGCTACTCCTCCAGCAGGGTAAGGTCTCTAAGGCTCTTAAGTACTTTGAGCGCGCTGCTGAGCTGGCTCGCACCGAGGCTGAGATCATCAATGCCATCTCCTATGCCGAAGCCACCCGCACCCAGTTGGAGGTCCAGGAGAAGTACCCCCAACTAGCTGCCCGCCTGAACACCATGGGTGCCATGAACGGTGGTGCTCCTGGCATGTAAGCAAGTCCGCGGACCATCTTAGTCTTTCATTCTTGGATCTTTTGCTGTGTTCTTCGCCCCGGTTTGGGTATACCTGTCTAAGCCTTTTTTTTCTCTTCCGGTTTCGGTATCTTTGGATCCCCGGTTCACTGTTCTCTCCGCGCATGTATTTACTATCGGTTGACATATTCCCCGTCCGGCTTCTTTTCTTTTCTTTTTGTTTTGGTACTGGGTCAGTCTGAGATAAGTCTCGGGATGAGATGGGCCGATTGACGGCAAACCGAGCCCGGGTAAGTGCAGTGGGGTTTGACCATGTAGTAATTTGTGTACCATAGAGGAAAATGAGAGTGCTCGTTGACATCGCATTATCGCACTGTACAGCTAAAGACAACTTCCAAGCTTACTATTGACCTGCAAGTTATCCAGTTCCTTACATGTGGTATAGGTTACAAATGTACGGAGTAGTTGGTTCCCCATAGTGTACGGAAGTACAAATGCGGATGACCATGACGTGTGTCTCCACATCAGCTGACTCCACCCCTTATCGGCATCTCCGGATTTCGTTTTTCTTATGATACCCTCAAAACTCGAAGAAAAAAAGAGATTGTATCACTCAAAGGTCATGTAATTGATACATGTTCTCTGTGTTTCGCCAGTATGTATCTAGTAGGAGAGTTCCGTTGAGAGAGGGTATATACACGTTACAAGAGGCCCAACGGCGTCATTTGCTTATCTCACACTATCACTTCTCATACATACCTCATTGTTCCTGGGCTTCCGGATACTTTACCTCTTAGTTTCTTGTTAAATCCCGACTTCTTGAAATCTGAACAGGTTTTTCGGTAACTCTCAAGTTGAGTTCTGTTTCAAACGGGTTTCCCACACCCAAACGTCCTTGTCAGCGGTGAACCTAACTTCGACCTGATTCATGAACCTACCCCTCTTCCTTCCCTGTCCCTTTCACACCTTCTGTGCTTTGAACAACTTTTCTATTTGCTGCTTAAGATTAATCTGCTCGCAACCTGCTTTTGTATACTACAGTTTCCTATTTCCCGGCTGTCTCAACTGGTCCGGGGGATTGCGTTGCAGCCGCCTGGAAACACCCGGGTAAGCTGCCTTTATCTCCAACTCCCCCAACTTCCTGCCCCCACCCTTCATCTTTCCATGCTTTGTGATTCATTCCACATTGCTGTCATGATCTCTCTTGTCACATATGAAATTCCATCTCTCAGTCTAACCATCATCTAGAAACAAACAGCTTCCTATTTCTGGTTTCTAAATCCTACGCAGTACCATCCTTGATCTACCTTGAGCCATGTCGGACCCACGCGGTAAGCACTGGGATATCTTAGCAGCCACCTCACTTGCAACTGACACCTCAAATTCACAGTCACAGTGACGCTTGTCCCCCTGTTCGAAGACACCCATTCCCTGCGTACCCTCACCATCACCGAGCGTGATAATACGGTAGCCATCGGACGTGCCTCGAAGCGTGAAACTCGAAAACGGAGTCCCGCAACAGAAAACGGTTGGTTTGAATCTCGGGTCATGTCTCGTGATCATGCCTGCCTCAATATACCACCGAACCAAAATGTCAGTCTCAACCTCCTTTTCTGACCATATGGCCTTGCTGACGTCTTTCATAGACGGTCTTCATTTCCGACTGTGGCTCGACACACGGGACCTTCCTGAATGATACCAAGCTGGCTACAAATATGGATACCCCGCTGTTTAGTGGAGATATCATTCGATTTGGTGTCGATGTCGACCGTGGTCAAGGTGTGTGATCAATATTAGTCTAGTAGTACTGGAACTAACCAAATACAGAGGTTTTTGAGGCCATTCAAGTCCACTGCAAGGTTCAGTGGCTCAAACCCCAGCGTGCGGTCATTCCAGATGATGAAACTATTATCAAACTGGATCCAAGCCCGTCAACTGATAGTTTCTGCGTTCCCGAAGAAGATAGCGACGTTGAGGCTGCTGAAATCTCCAGTAATGACTCCTCTAAGGAGTCCGTTACCCGATCTTTAGAAACCAATGTTCTGCAGCCTCTCGAAACATCTCTAGTGTCTCCTGTCACGAGTGTCGAGGGCGACGAACACTCAAAGGATGAGCCGGAACTACATTGGGGAGATCTATCTCCTACCGAAGAATCTATCATAAAGGTTGTGCCCGAAACTACACCACTGGTTCTGGAGCTTCCCAGTCCGCTGTCTGACACCAAACCAACTCTCGCCAAACCAGCCTCTACCGAAACTCTGTCTGCTCTACAAACACAAGAGGCAGACAGTCTCTCGGCAGTCTGTTACCAGAAAGTACCCGAAATCCACTACAGCAATTGGACCATGATGAGGCCTATGTTCATGCGTCTGGCAGACATGGCTTGGGGCGAATCCAACACAATACCCGACGTTGATCACGACAGGCGCATTATTCACGCTGCACGTCGTTGTTCTCTCTCCAAAGATTCGTACTGGGTAGATGACTCCCCTAGCTTCCAACCTTGCGTTGGGACAGAAGTTTATTGGGAACCAGACTCCGAGGAATCAGACACATCCTTTCATCGTATGCCTGGCAACCTTCTTAGGTACTGGTCAGTCGATAAACGAAGGTACTGGGTTATCTATGAAGAGGAAGCCAGCCAGAATGTGAGCAATTGGTGGTGGATCGTTGAGAAGCCACAAGAGCTTCTTAGCGAGGAACTGAAGCGCCAGCTCGAGACTGAAAGTGAGGTGGATGACTGTCACAAATGCTGGGTCGTGAGGGCCTGGGAGCCCCAAATGATCGGAGATCGATGGTGCGATGTGGCTCCTTACTGGGATCTGAACTTCGATGAAAACTGGCTCTCTGACGACGAGTCAGTTGATTCAGACGAGGAAGCCCAGGGCAGTGAAGAGTACATGTCGGAATCAGATGATCTCAATGAGTCGATTTCAGAGAACTGCGAATGTGCATATGGGATTTACAACAGCGAATCGATCCATGGAGCCGACTGTGGGGTATCGGCAGAGGACTTTGATGAGAATGACGAAGAGGACGATGATGAGGTTTCTGATGAATCAGAAAGCGACTCTGATTGTTCTTCTGAGGATGAGCGCCTTGAACACCGTATTTCGCTGAAGCCTGATCTCCATTCCTTGCTTGATTTGGAGTGTCTGAAGGAACTTGGACGCGCTGACGACACCGATGCCGTTGAAGTGTCCAAGCATGTACCTGAAGAGACTGGCTTAGTGCAATTGCGCCAGAAGGCTATTGGGGATCTGCTACTGAACCCCACACAGAACGATAGCAAGCCATCGATGTCACAGACTGCCCCTGGTATGACAAACCCAGGTGCCCAGTTCCCCACATACACTGTGTCTGGTGAGCTGCCAAGATCTTGTCAGAACAAATATCCACCATTGCAACGGAAAATTGAGAGCACTGTTGGAATATCGTCCTTGCCTCATGAAATCGAGAATTGCTATCACGATGGACCGTTCTCGACTAGTGCTCCCATTGAAGATGCCTGGGTGCCCCATTTGGCAACATCTAGAAAATCAAATCTGAAGCGTACTGCAACAGAGATGCAATCATCGCCCCTTGAACCCAGTCTTTCTCAAGATGCTCAGCGGCTGCCTGTAGAGCCAGGCAGCCAGTCAGATCTCAACCTCGACACACTTACCACCGAGGCTAAGGATGCGATCAGCTCTGCACTTGCCGAGAATGTCTCTGCGTTTGCTGAGAATGAGCGTCCGGCAAAGCGAGTGAAGTCCAATGACCCAACCTCAAAGTCCTTGGCAAGCCACGCCACCACGGCGGTCGTCAGCGCTCTGCTGGGTGGTCTGGGAACCATCGCTGTGCTCGCAGCCTTGCCAAACGAATACTTTCAGTGATTGCAACCTCCGGGGTTCGGGGTTTGGTTTTCTTTGCTTACTGCTTTCTCCATATTTTATGATTTAACGCCGACATATGAGCTCGGCGTGATTCCAACGATTTTATGATTTCGGGATTACCCAGGCGTCCTTGGCTTTGGGTGGAAGGATGGGTGAGGTTGCTTGTTTGTTTCCCCTGACTCCCACGTCACCGCTGTTCTTATGCCGTAGCTTCAAGAATAAGCACAAGAGACTCTCGATCACTGCGGTGTGGCCATGAGAGCCACCACCATTGGGCGTTTTGTTGGCTGGATAAATTGTTTCTGCCCTACTTCTTTGCTTTTTCCCCTTTATCGTGGCTACACAATCGACCATTAGCTGAGTCAAATACGGTGACTCTAGGATGGAACGCCACGTAGCGCCTTATTCTTTTCCGTGTGATAGCTATGCAGATCGTAATGGAGAATGACAATCTTTTTACTTTTGACCCCACGTCATGTAATTCTACCAACTGTGTACCTCGTGGTCTCTAGGGCTACAGCCTTTCACTATCAGGTACCGGTTTTGGGCATTCTTGGGTGGCCTCGTTTTAAAATGCACCGTGATATCATTCCACTGTCGCCGAAGTTCAGCCTTTCCCTGGCATGTGAGTTCAATTTTTGCTTGAGGGATCTTTAAGTGCCGAATTTCGGAGATCAGCCAACACCTGATGCTGTACAGTGCTGCTCGACCTTTCATGTATACAACGTTGCATTCAAAAAAACTAGCCAAAAGAAGAGTGTCATTTCATTCTCAAGATAGAAATGGCCAAGAAGATTCCCACAGGCCAGGAAAAAAAAAAAACCGCCAAGACTTGTCTCTTGCGGCGACAATGGGAACCGGGCTGCAGGTATCCCATAGGTTCATATCAGCTGACTTGCAATTGAGTCGCCCTTTTTCTATTTACGTGCAACCTCGTAATTTCGTTTTTTTTTGATTTTCTTCATCGGCCTCCTCGGGATTCAACCGTGACACTTGCGATGAAAGGCGATTACAAATGTTCTGATGCCAAGATGACCAATGGAAGTCTCAGATAGCATTTTTGAGACATCGATGGAAACTTCTCCGTTGTAATGATTGGTGCAACTTGCCGCCCATGCGAAGCTTCGACTCCAGCCCAGGTTCAAATTTTGGACTTCGAATCCCAGCCTAGCGTGTGATTGGAAGTGGCTGGCTGCAGGCCTACCCCCCCCCAACAGCGAACTGGTCGAACGAGCCCAAGCTTGAAGCACCTAGCTGAGCTGTGTTGGTTCCAAACTCCGTACAGTATGAGCAGTGGGAGGCTGATTTCTTTAGTTTACGAATCTACAGCCCCGCTGATGACGCGCATACCCGTTACTTCTACTTGAACTCGTCTTCAGGTTACATCTTTGGCCGATGGCCACATCCATGCGAATTCCGAGATGAGTGGATTTATTCAAACTGTTCGTAAATGCGTGTCATTTGAACATCCAGTCTGCAGGTGACCAATCTGCAGAAGCGTTTCAGGTATCATACAATGAATGGCAATGTCAAAACGGTTGCAAGGAATCCTTGCAATGTTGACTGGGATGAAAATGGGTTAAAGGGGGGGGGGGGGGGGTTCGTAGCCCTCTTCACTGCCCCTGTCCATGTAGCCCCCCTCCACGGTTACCTGCTTGAGGCTAAGTGTCACATCCACGGCGCTTCGGGCTTCCGGTGTCTGAACACATGCGATTGGCTGTAAAGTCCAAATTTTGATTTCTGCTTCTTTCTGCTTATTGGCAGCTCACACCACTCACAGGGCTTTCTTTTTACCTCAACTGTAGGTGGCTTTTCTTTTGGGGTTTCTTTATGTTGGCACATGCAATTGCCAGATGGATCCCCTCTTCTCCGGTGTTTATCGGAGATTGAGCTTATGAGGCAATTATTCCAATATTGGCATGTGATATGCGGATCATAAAGATCATGGAGATCATTCCATCGATTTGATCCCTGCACGAGATTGTCACCAGTGCGTTTCTCTTACTGCTTACGGTGGATACGCTTGAAGAGCGTATTCCGTAGAAGCCCTTGAACACCGCTCCTGATCTGGTAAATGTTAAACGAACTGGGTGAGCATCGGACTATCAATTCCAACTTCCATGCATGGTACTTTATCTCATTTGGTTGAGATGGAAAGATCATCTCAACAGGAAAACACGACAAGAGCTGACGAGAGAGATCCACCACAAGAGGAAAAAATTTTAATCGAAAAGACACCCAGAATTGCCCGTATCATCTATTCTTCTCGGAGATCAGATCATGGTCGCATGGTTCAATGCAGCTATCCGTGGTTGGAGGATTACATCCCACACTCGTGGCCATGTTAACAGTCCTGACCCACAAGGATAATGGTATACTAGTTTACACGGTCAAGATGTGTTGTGTCACAAGATGGCTGCCATGCTCCTGGGACATCTTATCCGCTGCACATGAACGACTGCTTGCCTTACGCTGGATGGACTTTGATTTGCCAATTTGGTGGCATCTTGGTTTCACTGCAGATTTTCTGCTTAAAACCCTTTTCACAGAATGACCAGCGAATGAACCCTTTACAAAGTGTATGAACGACGCAAGACCAGTTGTGTGGATCGAAAAGCACCAGAATTCCCCACCAGCTCCTGTTTCATCAACCCTGCATTTCCGCAGCATGCCTTGGCTTGACAGGCACAAGCACCTAGGCAGCGGGGGTTGACAACTCAGCTAAGTCCAGAACGGTTTCTGTGGCGTTCCCTTCTCACGTTAGAGCTGTTATTTTTCTTTTTTGTCGGAAAAAAACCGAAGGATTCGATTAAAATGGCCCCCAGGTATGTAAATGAAATATCCACATCATGTGCCCGGTTAACTATCCTATCACCGTCCCTTTCTCTGTCCTGCTGATCATCCCAGTAGACTCAATCCTGATTCCCGTCATCAATTCCACGCTCCGTGGTGCATATCGCATATGTGACACTTGGAAACTCTCGGGAACTTTGTTGGTGGCACTGATGATATTTTTCTTGTATAAGAAATCCGTTTCTTCTTCTACAATTTCTAGCTTTAGACCTTGTCCTATACTGTTGTCATCCTTTGTTCCCAACTTCTCTTTCGGGCTTCACAACACATTGGCTATTCTTCGCTGACAACCTTTCCCCCCGAGAGAAAGCAAGAGGCTGCGAGAAGATTACCACCAAGCCTGCACATTGTACAAGGTGGAATCTAACCATACTTTACTCTCCTCCGCAACTGCACCATTTACCTTCCAGTTATTTCCCTTCTGTATACCTCTACATCTATTACAATGGCCAGTCTCACTCAGTTCTTGTTCAACCTTGATCCGGAGCACATATCCTGCATCGGAGGGCGGACGGTAGTTACATGCAAAGGTTGCGCAGGGAATGCCCCGAGGTATACATACCAGCCCCAGTCGTTCCATATCCCAACACTAACGTGATTCCCAGAGGAGCAATTTGCCTCGGTTGCAACGGCTGCGGCTTCAACATCTTTGTCTGTGCACACTGCAACCCTGCAGCTGCAGCTGCCGCAGCTAGAGCAACGGCGAACCTCACAGCTGCATCTGCAGAAACACCCGGGTCTTCGGCGCCGTCATCCCCGGGCTCACTAAGTCGCAGCTCGTCTACTTCGCATCCTTCACATTCCGATCCAAGAGTGGCTCGTTTGTATGCAAAATTTGGGGATGGTCGGGACAGCACGAGCTGTGGGCAGATCGATAGCAGCATGAATAAACCGAGAAACCCGTGATTGGTGATATTGGTTGTATGCGCAAGAAGGGTACCAGATACAGCGAGTGCGGGTCATGATGTCTCATGGCTGGAATGTCTCAGTCCGACAGTTTCGCGGGCTAGTGTGATTTTCCGCAGCTGGAACTAAGCGGCGGAATCACTCCTGTTAAATGAATCAGACTGTGGTTTTCTAAGGAGTTTTGGGGTTGGGTATGGCGGGCCATCTGGTTGGGGGCTTTGCCTTTTGGGGACTTTTTTATCCTTTCCATTTCTTAGGTTCTTTTTCGTTGATCTACTCGGTTTGATCTAGTATCCTTTTCGTCTTTTCATGGTGAATGTACTGGATGCTACCAGGTGGAGCACATGCCCTTTCTTTCCTTGAATAAAAGAGACAGAGACCATGCTGTATGTGCACGAGAGACAACTACCTTTTTTCAGCTTAAGGGCTTTTTTTCTTCTCTAAAGATTATGAAATCCTCATCTGATTTTTGGGATTTTCTGACCCTAGAGCTTGAAGATTAACAAGAGAGTTGTCACAAAAGCCAAAACAAATGCTCTGCAACTACCAAACCTCTTCAGGTAAATATACAAGACATAACTATGCTGTATGCTTGACAGTTCAACTTCGGCTAGTTCATATCGTCACATAGTTGTAGAGTCACTCCATAATTCCGATAGGACTTCCAACTGTCTTTTTCTGCCTCTGCATAATCCAGAATTGGCACGTCAAAAGTTTCCTTGAATGTAGCAAGGCTATATAGGTTGGGTACAAAGTCCCCGGCCAAAATGAACGAAAAATGCCGCCTCAGTAGTGCTTCCCTTGAGTGATCAAATAAATAAGGGTATAGACCGTGAATTCATTGGACTTCAATATTGTAAGCTTCCTCTTGCACACAGAAAAATCGTCCGTAATAGATCTCGTAGAGGGACAACTCCGGCATGTCTTGTATAGTCATTGGTTGTCTTTTGATATGAAATGGAGAATTGTAGATTTATCATAGACCTGAGTATCAACATGAGCCAAACAGATCAGATTACTAAAGCTCTTCGTCTATGATAGAGACCACCATTTTCATAGTTCGAACTATAAAGCTTTGTGTTTACATTCTACAAAAGTCCCGTTTGACTGTTTAGCTGTTTGACATAGGGGTTTTACTCCATCCTTCGTGTCCTTCCAGGGCGGGAAAAGTCCAATTCTGATCTTCGATATGACAGTCACCGCTCATACTGGATTCCTCGATGATAAAACCTGCTGGAATATTGTACACAGTCGACCTGTGAATACCTTGTAGGTCGTTGGAAATACGAAGTCCATGCGATCGAGCATTTGGAGCGATGAGTACGAACGGAGATACGCAACGTTGAGACAGGTTCAATATCATTTTGTTACGACTAAGATGAGTGTGCGAGACTCAACACTGTGGGCCCATTTGCTTTAAAAAGCGAGTGTCCACGAGAAGGTCCATAGTTCGTTCTGGATGGTGTGTCAGAACATTCTTCTTTGATTCTCACTTGGTTCGAGGTTCGATGAGATCTAAAATTACTAATTTTTTAAAATCAAAACCCCATCGGCTGTGCCGAGGGCTCATTGCTCGGTCTTTCCGGGGGCTCAGGCGCAGGTCTACCCATCACATTCAGCGCATCACTGCTCAGGGACTCGGACTAACCACAGCTTCGGTGGTCAAAGAAGTTGAGGCTGCATGGGCAGAGCATCCGGAGATGTCAGACGTTACAATCCGTTAAAGATCTTGGGAGATGAAATAGATTTCAAAGCATCCAGATAGCACTGGTGCAAAGGTATACGGGTTGGAAAGCTCTGGATGTATAAAATCATTCATTCAATATTGGGAACTCTCCAAGATCGTGAAACAGCCGAGCAATTCCCTCGAAAGAATAATCCGGCAAGCCAAAACCATAAGCCCATTCCTGAGTGGTCAGTAAATCCTAGGGGGAAAACAAAATAACCGGATGAGAATACATACTGGAACTTCAAATGCTTGGCCCGTCTCAGATAGGGGAGCTTCACCCTCTCCAGGTAGCTGTGATGCTTCAGGTTCTCGGAAGTCTCTTAGGTACTGCCTGATAATCTCAACCGACTTTTGTGCTATTACAGACTCGTCCATGGCTTCCAAGATCTCCACACCCATTTCCACCGATCGCAACAAAGGAATGGTTTCAGCACACATGCCCAGCCGAGACATTGGAAGAAGAAGGGTCGATGTAGCGAGCATTACGTAGGTTGTGTTATACCACCTAAAGAGTGAGTCAAGGCAGCAAACCCCAGGGAAGAAACATACCAGCAGCGGAAAAAGGTGTGAACTCGGTAAAGGTCATGAAGCACTTGGAGAGACCTTATGGCGGCGTCCAAACATTTGTCAAAAGTTTGGTCCAAATCGGTTGGAGGATGTTGTGCTTTGCGTGTTAAGCGGCTTAAGAAAGGCCGGAAGAGCAACATCCTGACATTGTAATACCCTACACCCGTTAGTCAGTAGTCCACCAGTCCCCAGGGATTACTCACTAATTCCCAACACGAGCTGTTGTCTTCGTGCCCACTTCGGGTCGCGCAGGGCACTACGGCCAAGTCGATATCCTCCAACATCAGGTTTGATCATCTCTGGAAGCCTCGCTAACCACCGATCCATTTCCATTTCGATCTGTAGAGCAAGTTGTAACTTGTCCGGTAATGAGATGCGAGAATGGTAGATCTGGACAGAGATTTGTCGAATGATCTGCGCAAAATCAATCATCCATGGGATGATGGCAAATTCGGAATCATCGCGTGGTGGAATCTTGCGATTGTGATATTCATCCATTCCAAGGGAGTCTGGTCGTCCAACCGAAAAGCTCATCTCACTACCTGATCAGCACTTATCACCCATTTTGATGTGCGGTGTGCTTACATTTCCAAAGAGAACAGACCCCTGTTACCTCATTAGAACGTTGAAGTTATGTTGAAACACGCGCTTTGGGCTTACCACCAAGTCTTTGAGATCCAATCGGAACGCTGCGTGGTATCTTCTGGACACGGAATCTCCCGATTAAAGCCGGCCGAAAGACAGGTCCTCACTGCGAGGCCAAGATACATATAGGCCACTGTAAGGTTAGCATTTGAACTGAAATTCGAGGAACGACTCACGATTTGGATTGAGTTCATTTTGACAAACTTTGGCCTCCTCAAGTTAGCGTGCGATCTCTTATCTGGAAATACCCCCACACACCATCATATAAAGACACTGAACGGTTTCAAGATCGTTCGAAAAGCGTAGGTTGTTCAGGTACACCTGTGCTTCCTCAAACAGCTTTCGGCTCCATTCAAAGCGACCCAACCCGGCTAGGGTCCCTTCATCCCAAACACGCACCAGGGACCCAAGCGAGAGAACGCTGAGGTACAGCGCGATAAAACTCGGCTCAGGCGTGCGTGACCGATTGAACCAAAGGTCATTAGCGCGCGCAAAGAAGTCCTCCTTGTCAACAAATGGATGGACGAAGTGAATGCTCTCAAAGTATCCATTCATAAAGACATGAGCCTGGTCGAAATAGTAGTTTGACCGTTCGATGGACAGCATCTGTCCCGGCCCAACAGCGGATGCAGGGGATGATTCTGGATTAGTGAGCGTCGGGGTTATCGAGGAGTCAGCTGCCGGAGGGCAGCATTTTTTGGGGCCTTTGGGTTCACGCCTTTTCTTCAGATTGTCGCTGATGACCACCGAGGACGCACTCCCATGGGATTCAATGCCAACGGTGTTGATGAACTCGTTCATCTCGTTCTTGGGCATTCCGTCAGATTCTCTCCGGGTCTCGGGGATCTTTACCACCTCTAGTGGCGTGGAAACATTACGCATAGGGCAGAGCGTTTCCGCTGGTGGGATGGGATCTCCACGGGAAGTTTTAGCCTCTGCATCACGAAGCTTCGCGGTCAGCTCTTCCACTTTCTTCTCCAGATCGATAACATAACTATGGGGTATTAGCACGCACAGTAGATACGCGACACGATCGACCTACTCTGCCGTCCGGCTAATTGCACGCTCTCTGTACGTTCCCTGATACACGCAATCCAGGCCGCTTTCTGTAAGTGTCAGAGACGATGTGATCCTACTGTAATCTGATCACTCACTGCTACAATGCAAACACGGATAGTGCTCATTGCACTTGTACTTTTTCAGCCTGCATCTGTCACAAGCTTGAGTCGCACGCGGCCGTTTGGTACGCTTAGCGACTGGCTGATTGACTTCATGCTGCTCGGTCTGATATCGGGGATTTGGCATCATCCAAACACTTCCCCGTGGGTCTCACTTGATATAACGATGATGATCGTTGCGCTTACAGCCTTCAACGAGCATTATGTCCGGCCGGAAATCCCGGTCCGACTCCCATTCCACGTGACTGGGAAATGACCGGGGTCCCAGGGTGATTGTCGAGATTTCCCAGTTTTTGTCTCCCGAGGGAGGTTCTTTCCTACACGACTTTCAGTTTCTGGTAATTCATGATAAGCTGTTACATACAATCGGCTAAGAGTGAATGTTGAGTCGCCAACTCCACTTGGGGCTACTCATGCTCTGGCGTCTTGGAGCTGTGTATGCTGTACTGTCTAACTAGTATAGACCAATGATCCCATCATCCAATCTCGGTGTCTTCAGATGCACAAGTGAGGGAAGCCCTGGAACGAAGAATCCCTCGGAATATCCGAGTCCTTAAAGAATAGATAGGCCCGAGGACATAAGTTGAAGCCGGTTGCTGTACTCTGCATCAATCCAGTATCTCAAAGGACTTTACTTTCCTATGGCCATCTCCATCGAATCTAACATCCGGGTAAACAAAAAATCGAAGTTCGGAAAGTATCCATTCCTCTTGGTTCTGTGAAAATTATATCTGCATTGTGTGCTGTCTTGGGAAGTCTTTTTTAGTTCGACTTTTCAGGCGTCTTTTTAGAAAAAAAAAACTGTCTTCCTGGTCAGTTTCAGAGAGAGATGGCCGGAAAAAGCGACGAGGGGCCTAAGTTGTAAAATGGACTTTACTATACATCTCCTACACGCCCAAAAGTGATACACGTAATTAGGACATCCAACAGATATCTTCAGCTAATACAAATGTACACGTCTTTCCGACCTGACCGGGTTGGTCAAAAGCCCCAACATGGCGGTGCGGATAAGGAATTTCCCATCCCCACATTCGTGGGGAAGGCTACCACCAATGTGGGGTCTCAACTTGAAATCAAATTTGGACTTTTCTTCTTTTCTCTTTGATTTGTTTCTTTCTATTAGAATTCTACACTATGACCAAGGCAGTCGAAAAGGTTACAGGCGAGTACCGCCAGTACCTGCCCGACCTTAGCCTCCCGCGCTTCCAGGTGATGTGCCAGCAGGATGCGCATGAGTACGCGAACGAGTTTAAGACCGGACAGCAGCCACCATGGCTGTATGCGCTGTATATGCATTGGTTAGAGCTACTACAGGAGCCATTCAAAGGCGTGACAACGGATGGTATGAACCATATAAAAAAGGATACTACAAAACTGGAATTCTGCTAACAGCTATAGGAACCGTCCGTCCGGGTCTGTTCACAATACAAGAAGAAGACATCCCAATGCAACAAATTGTCAATGCAACAGAGTCGTTAACTGCTCTGCTAGACAACAAGCAAAAAGAAGCCATCAACTACCACATCGACTCCCCACAGTGGCGCACATGGTCAAATCCCGAGTTCCTGCTCGCGGACAAGGGCATCCGGCTCGATGAAGTCAACGCCACGACCCGGGATGCAGTGATGAATATCCTGAAGACAACCCTCTCACCAGAAGGCTATGCGAAAGCCGTTAGTGCAATGCGCATCAACCACTTCCTCGGCGAGCTAGTCAAGTCGCCCGCAGTGATGAACGAATTCTCCTACAACTTCGTCCTCTTCGGCCGTCCATCAACCACCCGCCCCTGGGGCTGGTCATTCTACGGCCACCATCTCTGTCTGAACATCTTTCTCTACAAAGAGCAAATTATCGCGTCGCCGTGGTTCACTGGTGCAGAGCCAAATGAGATCGACGCTGGCCCGCATGCCGGCACGCGCATCATGCAGATCGAGGAGAAGCTCGGGTTGCAGTTGATGCAGTCGCTCTCGACAGAGCGAAAGGCTTCCGCTCGTGTCTTTGTCCAAATGAAGGATCCGGCCATGCCGCCCGGTCGCTGGAATAAGGACGACCAGCGCCACCTGTGCGGTGCATACCGTGACAACCGTGAGGTGCCGTATGAGGGCATTCTAGCGTCAAATTTTGATGCGGTCCAGAAAGATCTCCTGTATGGCATCCTGGAGCAGTATCTGCTTTATCTGCCCGCTAAATCGCGGGCCATGAAGATTGACCAGGTGCGCGCGCACGAAGCGGAGACGTACTTTTGTTGGATTGGAGGGTATGGCGATGAGGATCCCTTCTATTACCGCATTCAGAATCCGGTGATTCTGGTTGAATTTGACCACCACTCCGGGGTGTTTTTGAGCAACGAGGAGCCGAAAAAATTCCACATTCACACTCTGCTTCGCACGCCGAACGGGGGTGACTATGGTCAGGCGCTGCGGCCACAAATTCCGGCCACGGAGGGATTGAATGGGAAAGCAATTGTCTGGTAGGCCGACTCAGCCTATCGGAGAAAAAGGTACGGCGTGGGATGAATGATGGGACTTCTAACTACGGCACTTGGCATTTTTCTACCTATCTCTATGTTGTCTGAGAATCTCACGGATGGTCTTGTGTAAAGTCACAAAGAAGTTCCACCAAGTGTTGATTTCGATCCACGATAAACTGAATGTAGCTGTAGATATAAAAAAAAACTGCCCTCAGAGAAATATTTCTTATGATCCATATTAGTTGCCCCTACCATAGCCCGGAACGATCAAAGGTGTATACAGCCCCAACGCCAAAGCACGAGATCAAAAGATAGAAAAGCCTCAACGATCTGTAACCACGTAAATAGCAGAATTATGAGAAGTCGTCAAGGACTCATGATACCTAGATAGGTCTACAGGTCTCTTCGTCTGTTTGCGCAACACGTGATTCGTCCAGGTGCCATGAAATGCGACACAAGGCACCGCATCAAGTGACTTGAAGTTCATCATGATCAGGAATCAGCTCATACCCACCTTCAGAGGGTAAGACCTTAGCAGCCACAATAACCGCGCCGGCGCAGAAGACGCTGAGACACCAACTGATAGTGCAAAGGATCCAGGACTGGTCAAGTTTCCAGCCGACGAAGAACCGGTCCTCGTTATCGAATAGAAATGCCTGTAAGTCAAATCATTAGAACAAGCCATCTTCGACCCGGTGTTTTTAGTCATGTTGTCAACCCACCACTATCGACATGCCGGCTGCCTGCACAATGGCAGACAATCCAACTGTCAAACTAAGAACACTCCACCCATTTTCGCGCAGCCGTTTCCCGCCACTCAAGATGACTAGGTAGGTGACTATGCCTATGCCCTGCAGAACGACTGCAAAGGATACCAAGAACCCGACGGAGCGCCACATGGAGCAAAAGTATCGGTCTTCGCCATGGCAATCTTCGCGTTGTGGGAAGCTCTCACAGGTATCGGTGAGAGAGGAGCAGCGGCGGTGAAGGCCATAGGAATAGTGATTGTCGGGCTAGATGTTCAACATGTTAGTGGGGCTTTTCGGAAGGGGATGAGAATCGGACCTTGTCACTATGGTAGCTAACCCATTTTGGAATGACAATGGAGGATATGGTCAAGCCAAATGCTGGGAGATATTGTCAGTAAGCTTGGATGGCTAGCTGGGCGCTGAAAGCTGCCTACAGGCCAGAAGTACCACTAGTGTCCCGATGTAAACGATTGTCTTTGTGAGGAATCCTGTGTAGTTCCGATCGGTACCGCGAGGCACTAGGTGGAAGTCCATCGCTGCGGGGATGCGATGGTGTGGGAGATTCACAAGATTTGCTGCCAGCTCTGCACATTGAGTGTAGAGCAGTGCTATTTGGAGGTCTCAATAAATGCCAAGTAAGACGCAGAAAATAGAAACGATGCGGGCAAGTGAAGGGGATGAATGTCCAATTGTAGACCCGTGGGCTAATCGGGTCAGATAAAAGAGGACCACCTGAGGGGGTCACGCGACTGGAGTCTTCAGGAGTTTAAGGGAATAAGGGAATGTGAGGGAATGAGGGATTGAAAGGGTTCTATCGCTTGGTCGCAATAAATCGCGCTGTGCAATCCATCCGAAATGTTGTTTCCCCGCAATCAATCAAGGTCATAGGCCAAGCCGATTGACGTCAATGCGCGCACTGCATTATCGCGACCTCTAACTAATCCAATCACCCGCCTGCACGGACAATGGATATGGTAAAATAAATCATGGGCTGTGACTAATTAGATGCAATACCGTGCTAGTATAGAGAATCCATATTACTATTCGACGATGGATATCATCAAATCATCGGGGGCAATGTCTCTTGGGACAGCCCTTTAGAACAGACATCATCATTAGAACTAAGAGCAAGATACAGTCATAATGTACACGATAGCATGTGCCAGAAACAAAAGAGATCATGATGCAAGAGACCGACCCGAAGGAGTCCATACGGATCCAAAAGCGTCAAGATGACCACCAGAAAACAGAAAAACGCCAGCCGAATACATGCTGTAGAAAGATAGTTGCGCCAAAGATTGTCACGGTCATTGCACTTGTACTTCATTCCGGACGCTTTTGGTGAAGCATTGCGCGGAAATCGTCATTGCTTTTTTTCGGTTTGCTCTCGCCGTCAGGCGTCGTGTCCATTTTGTCACTGGCCGGATTGGCGGCAGATGGTTGCTGACCAGGAGGTGCGATCTGTCGCTTCATCCCAAGACCACTCTTTCGAGCTCCAGGTTGCTGCGGGCGTCTAATCGGCCCAGTTGGTTGCAGGTTCGGCTTCTTTGTTTTGTTTTCCTGCTTGACGGATTGCCCCCGGTCCTTTTTGATTTCCGGTTGCGAATTCATCATCTCTCGAACTGTGCCGATATGGAGCGGGCGTCCAGCAGTGATCTCCTTCCCTTCGAGCGCTAACGCAGCTTTGCCGGCATCTTGAATATCGACATATTCCACAATAGCACCTTGATGTTCTGGGCGCAAATTGATCGCGACTAAACGGCCATATGGTTCGACAAGGGTCCGAATGCGGGCTTGATTGACGGTATCGGGGACGTTCATCAAAGCAAGTGTGCGCTGTGAATGCTCGCCAACCGGAACTTCAAGACCGCGGACACCGTAGTCCGCCGGGTGTGATGCAACTCGAGAGATGACGACTTGGTTTCCACGTCGAGTGTCGGTGGTAGCAATTTCAACACGCAGAGGACGAGACCTGAACACATATTCATTCATAGCGACGGCATCCTTGGCAGCTTCCTTGGTGGCGAAAGTAACAAAGCCGAATCCCTTGCTGCCACCATTAATCTTTCTCTCAATCAAGGCCTTTTCAATGTCACCGAATTTGGAAAACAGTTCTTTCAGATCTTTTTCACTAGCGTCCCAAGCAACGTTGGAAACATAAATTTCTCGTCCTTCGTATCTGGGACCACTGCGGGCTGTTTTTTGTCCAGGATCGGATATCTTGACACTGAGCCTCGTACCATCTTCGAATCGCATTCCATGAAGCTCTGTCGCATGGTGGGCAGCACTGGAGGTATCCATCTGCAAGTAGCAGAAGCGTCTGGAAGTGTCAAACTTGAGAGATGGCATTCGAACTTCGAGTACTTCGCCATACTGCTGAAGTTAGCGATGTCACCAAGACTAGGGTGAAGAACTTGCCTTGCTGAAGAGGTTGCGGAGGTAGTCCTCGTCCGCAGTCGGCGGGTAATTGGTGATCCAAAGTGTTGTTTGTGACCCAATTTGCACGTCGACGACATTATCAGTGTCTTTGAAGTGCTTTTGGTCGCGAGTGAGAGCAGCAAGGGCGTCTTCCTTGGTTTCGAATTCGATGACCGCAACTTCGGAGTTTTTCTCGTCTCGACGGAGCATTTTGAAAGAGTTGATGGTACCGATCTGTCTGGTCAGCTAAGTCGTCCCGGTTGTAATCGGGATAAGGCACTCACATGACGGAAGAATTGGCGAACCTGACGCTCAGTGGCACCTTTAGGCAAGTTCGTGACGATAACAGTCGCATTCTCTCGGTCCCGTGGAGGAGGAGCGGGAACCTCCGCCAGTGCCTCCTCAGTGCGGACCTTTTTGGTTTCCGGCATCTCGTCCTTTACGTCTTCACGTTTTCTCTTTTCAGGTGAAGGGACTGCCTTCGCTGCGGCCTCCCACTGCTGTTGCTGTTGTGCTGCAGCTGCCTCTCGCGCTTCCCTCTCTTTCCGGACAGTGACAGCTCGCATTGCTTTCCGGGTCTCAATCACGGCCAGCTGAAGCTCATCTGAGTCTTCATAGTCCTCGCAATGTGTAATGTATGTCTGGACGATCTTCTCAGGCCAGTCCAGATCTGTTCTCTTGATCGCTTGTTTGAGCACAGCAGTAGCAAAGCTCGGGTTGGGAGTTCGGCGTGCAGCGTCGACTGTTGCCTCGCCCTGCACAAATTTGCTCCAGCAAATCAACTCCCATTCGTAGTAGGCGAGCCAGAAGTCATAGCTACTACCACGGCGAGCCACTAAGCCCTTGAAAGTCTCTCGTGCGCTATCCCAGCTGCCGCTTTCGCTGAGGAAACGGATGTAAATTCGTTCCAGACGGAAGAGAGGATCGCCCTGATACGCTGGGCCGTACTTCTTTTCGCCCAGTTCTTGCACGCTCTCAATTGCTGAGCGAATTCCAACTTCCGCGACATCAAGATCTTCGTCGGTTGAGTCAGATAGAAAGGCGCGTCGACGAAGGTAACTGCACCAGGTGACATGAACCTTCAAGACTTCCTCCAAACCACCGGCATCAAGCAGTCCAGTGCTAGTCGCTTTGTGCTTGATACTCGCAATCTTGTTGAACGACTGGCTCTCTCTTTCCGAGCTCAGAAGATATTGGGACCACAGGTTTCCAGACCATGGACAATGACGTGTGGCACGGTCTAGGGTTGAGATTGTCGTGGTAGAGGCGCGGCGATGAAGAGATTCGCCGATCAGAAACATGACATAGTCTTCCCAAAGCGAAACATCGGTTGGGAAGTGAAGAACGGCGCGCTGGTAGATGGCATTCACCAAGTCGAAGCTGAAATCTCCTCGTTTTCGGCGATTGCGCGTCAATTCCCAATCAATATACTCGGAGTAAGCTGTCCATTCGAGACTACGATCGCCAGACTCTTGCGCTTTAGCCAGGCGGTGTTCAAAGTCCTCCCGTGCGTTGTAGAGAGCCTTTGGCTCAGCTGCGCGGGCGACAGTTTCAGACATGATGTCCTCATACTTGCTGTTAAAATAAGTTGAAATGAAACTTGAAAACTTCTGGAACGTCTGGTCCCAGGTGGCGTGGGGGGTTTGCAGACGATGGCCATAAAGTCCATGGAGATGGTTGATCTTTTCCTGGGAAGGTGCGCGAGCAATGTCCTGAGCATAGAGGTCTAAGAGGCGATCCCAGACCAAGTGGCTGTTGTTGATTCTCCATTTTGTAGCGTCTGCACCGCGCTGCCACACCTCCACGACCGAGTCCCATGTGAACACCTCACGCCCCACCATGCGATCCTCTTCGGTCCATTGAGAACTGGCTTCGCCATGAGCAGAATTGTAAAGATAAAGCACCCATTCGCCGTAGATATTCCATAACTTTGTACTGCCAAACTCCTCTTCGACAGATCGCTGGCAGAGCTCTAAAACAGCAATGCGCCCGTCGACATCTTGAGCTAACATACTCTCGTCCTGAATCCATTCAGCCCAAAGATCTTCTCCCATGGCAAAAAGTTTGTCCATTTCTTCACGCGCCGTTTGCAAATCGTTGAGTAGGTCATAGCGTCGCGGGTCACCGTGGACATCTGGGTTATTCGGTGGGTAGACATGGTTGACAAATCCTGCATGCAGCAATCCGATAAATCGCACGTGCGCGTCATGCGTGTGGGGGTTGACCGAGATCTGTTGAAAAAGTTCGGTCGCCAATCGTTGCGCATCCGGGTCGAGCGAAGTCGCGGCATAGGTTCTATTCGCGGGGCCGTCGCGCCCATCTGACATGGCGATCTCAAACGACATCCGAGAGGTTGGGGTGTTGTGAGTGACAGAGTTGACGTGTGGGTGAATAGTAGATGGGGATAACTGGTGCTCGTAGGATTCAGTACTCCGGAGCATGCTTGTTGGCTTTGGACGTTGCGGTTGGTGGTGCTGCATCGAGGCGAGATCCGCCAAAGTGTCCATTCCGGGCGTGGAAGGTTGTCTTGAGGTTACTTCAGTCGGAGAAGTCCCATTTCCTCCGCTGGGTCCTGGCGAAGATTCTCTGGTAGAAACGTACACCTGCTGTGCAAGAGGCGAAGATGTCTTGCCCTTTCGTCTGGAGCCAGTCCGAGCTCTCTCGATAGCTTTGTGGGGGGATGGCCCTGCAGAGGTGACCGGTGCATTGTTCGACGTATGACCAGGGACGGTTGTGGAGTTCCCAGACTTGGGATTCGAGTCCGGCGAAAGAAGCGAATTGATGTCCATGTTTGGATAGAGCTTTGGAAAGAACGACGGGATGCCGGCAATTGTCGTAATGGATGCCCAGATGCTTTTCAAGCAGAGGTCTAGATCATACGGCAGTCTTGGTGTACCTCAACACTTCCATTCCTGCATCAACTAGTCGTATCCAGATGTCGATGTTGTTCCTGCAAATGACGTAGATTTGCACTTGCGCGGCGGCTTTTGGCGGGTGGCCAAGGACCAAAAGGAATGCCTGAAAGGAACGAGAGCCGTTTAATCGAGAGGTTAAACTGGAATCTCGGATATCTTAGGTGTTGGAAAACGGGTAGGAATGAGAGGCTGGTGGCCTGGGAAGTGAAGAAAGAGGTGAGCGAAGACGAAAAAGAGCGAGAAGAACGCAAAGAGGGAAAGATGAGGGCTAGTGGATACTGTGGAGATGGTTGGGAAGAAGAAACAATAATGTCGTGAGAATAAGATGCAAACATGACCATTAAAACGTGCGATATCGTCTCCATCTGTAGATAATTCTGTCATTTTTTTTTTATATAGACTCGTGCAGTCACAAGTCGCATCTCTTGAAGCGATTGTGATTGATCAAATTCAGGGTGCCTCAGGCTGCGGTATCACGCACAGACCACAAATGCAGGGAACTTTCCACCTTTTTTCCCGACGTTGACTTCTGACAACAACATCCCAACAGCCACAATGGTCTATCGCTCAGGGCAATTGGTTCAGACAGGTATGTTATGTTCATGCATCATATGCTTGTAATCTCTACTGAATCACTTCCCAGCTTTAGCTGTCCGCACCATTTCCTTCGTCCCTCGCCGAACATTGACCTCCACGGCCATCCGTTACGCTTTGAACGATGGCGAAACCAAAAAGCCGACCGGTTTGTTTTCTTCCTTGAAGAACATATTTTTGGGGGGATCTAGCCAGAAACCCAAAGTCGCCCACCGACCCTCGGCCCCTAAGAAGGAAGAAGGTGGTCTAGGAACCTCCATCTTCGGATCAGACTTCACTTCACCAACAACCGGTCCCATGCCATCCCGGCCAACGGGGGAACAACCAAAAGAAGGCATCTCCGGAAAGCTGGAGGACCGCGACTTGAGTCGCCTGCAAGTGGGACTGGGACCCGACCCTAAAGCCCAGCTACGATGGGAGAGGAAGATGGCCGTCCGCGAGGTCCGGAAACGCGGCCGTGTGCCGACGAAGGTGCAAATTAAGCGCACAGAGCGCGAATCGCTTTCTAAATCTCACTGGATCAAGACGTCACTGAAGAAGCTGGGTCCTCTGGCCCGCCAAATCGCCGGCAAGAATATCGACGAGGCCATCCTCCAGATGCGCTTCAGCAACAAAAAGGCCGCTAAGGACGTACTGGAACACCTGGAACACGCAAAGAACGTCGCCATTGTCCGTGCCGGCATGGGCCTTGGGGCCTCTAACTCCGAGCCATCGAAACCTATCACTGTCACACTGAAGACTGGCGAGCGACAGAAGATTGCCAACCCCACTGACATCTACATCCAAGAAGCCTGGGTCAACCGTGGTCCCTATGGATATGAGATGGATCATCGCGCCCGTGGTCAGATCAACCGTATGCGTCCGCCTACCACAAGCATTTCAGTCCTGCTGAAGGAAGAGAAGACTCGTATCCGGGAGTGGGAGGACCGGGAGGCTAAGGCCCAGCGGGAGCGCAGGTCTCAGCTCTGGACACAACTGCCGGATCGCAAGATCTCTGCGCAGAACCAGTATTACAGCTGGTAATCGATGCTTTGGCGTTTGTATTATTTATATCTAGATCTTTCACGTGGACAGTGGTTTTTCATTAGCCGATTGGAGGCGACAATTGCATTTGTGAGAAGTTGCTCTCATCTTTCTTGGGTAAGAGCGACTCATGTACAATACTGAATCAATTTCTTGGGTATCGAACCATTGAGCTCTTCTAACCTTCAAACGTTTATCAACCCCCGGCAGTCAATTCGGATATAAACATATTGCGGTCGTTGAAATTGACTTCTGAACCATGCGAGCTCTACAATGACTGTGACTCTGGCTGCGACTGGGACCCCTTTTCCACCGAAACGAGCACAGGAATCACTGCACCAGTCGCCAAGGCAAAGCGGCGATGGCCCACAACTTCCAGAATGCTAGTGATCACACCTGAGTGCGCCGTTAACGAAATGTATGTGTGATCATCGTGAGCAAATACATCATTCAGAAGACAGCGAAGGCGATCATTGCGATGCTTGTTTGACTCGCGGACCTTGGCATTCCACAACTTGTCTTCCTCGGAGAATTCTGCTTCAAATCGGTACTCCGGATACTCTTTAGCGATTTCCGAAGCCACTGAGCGACGGTCACAGGTGTGCTGACCCATCGTTTCACGGAGGAGCTAGTCAGGTTAGACATTGTATATTATCTCGTGGACATCAAACATACCTCTTTAATGGTCGGCTTAAAAGGGGCCGTGTCAGGGATCGGAAGTCCTTGAAACGTGATCTGCGCCGTTTCAAGGCACCGGTTCAGGGGGCTCACGTAGTAGGACTGCGGTGACGGGATGCCAGCCTCGATCTGCTGCTCCCAAGCTGCATGTGCAACGTTTGCTTGGTATCTGCCCTGTTCAGTAAGACGAGCATCGACCCAGTTGCCGTTCTCGTCTCCATCTTGCAGAGACCAGTAATCCTAGAGATTTGGTTTAGTTTGGTTCATGGAGGAAATGCTCAAACACTTACATTCCACTTCTGGGTGCCATACTTGCGCTCGGCAACGTTGTGGACGCCCTCGCCGTGGCGTCCGAGGAAGAGAACTTTGAGCTTTTTGGTCTCGCTGGCGTTCAGCCGTTGAATGTGGGTGTCAAAGCGCCGCCACTGGCTGTCAGTCTGTTCCACCCCGAGGTGCTCGTCGTAGTGTTTTTCGATGAGTCCGAAGTTTGATTTTACCTTTGTAAATCATCAGAAAATTGGTTGATGGCTTTAGCTGACAATGGACTCTCTTACGTAGTCGAAAGTATCGGGATCAGTAATGGGGTCATCCTGGAGGAAATACCCCGTAACTGTTTTGATTCGCAACAGGGGTGGGGTGTTCATTGTTTTGGGGTGGAAGCAAAGTGCGTGTGGTGATTGGAACAAGGGCAGAACAAAAGGGGTTGGCTGGCGCGGGATCAGGGAGATTTAGGACTGGGGACGGGGAAAAGATGTAATTTAAAACTGATATCAGAAATGTTCAAGATTTAGGTCGTTTTCGGAAATAATCGCAATAGTCTGATCATTAGGACTGCACGATATCGAACTACTTTGCATTGTAATGCACATTGAAACCCCTCAGTGAGGCCCATGAAGGAAAGCGATGCCTTAAATGGCAGCAGGCTGAATCTGCACAAGGCTCCTATGGCCTGACAAAGGGTAGATAAAGAGACATGAATCTTGAGACAGTCGGAACTTTGAATGGAATTTTTGTCTTGGCTATATTTCGGCTTGTATGTAGTTCGGCATTAATGTATGTCTAGTTCTGGAGGGTTGAAGTACTTTGCTGTAGCGACTGAATACACAAACTTTGGTGAAAATGAAATGCAAGTGAGTTCTTCTTAAATTTGGTACAAAAGATCGTTGCAATATAACAATAGGATGCCACCAATGTATGCCCATTGCGAGGTGAGTATGGTTCAGAGACAACTCAGCCAATCATCGCGAGTCGATCCATCCAGTACCGAGCGCGATCGCGCTAATTCCATAAGAAAAACAAAATTCATTCATAGGCACTTAGCGTCCTGCAGAATGCCCAGATATGAGCCCTTCTTCGCAGACGCGATATGGCGGCCAAATCGAGACAAACATTTGTAGACCACGGCCTCGAACCCAGAGGCCAGAGACAACGATGATTGCCAGGCACCAGCAAATGCCGAGGCAGTACTGGAAAGCAGGCATCCAAAGCTTTCAACAACGGACGGAGCAAGGAAACCGTTTCTGCTGATCTGCAATGGCAGATTCTTGAGAGTATCCGATAATTCGTTTCCAAAGAAACCTGGTAATCCACGCCGAGCTGGCGAGACCAGTAGATCCTTTGACACCGAATGCAAGCCAGAGAGTATTGCCAGCTGTTTGGAAAGTCCCTCTGGAGCTTTCCTGTGATCTGGTCCAGGTACCTGGATTCCTGAGTTGCACGCGAGCGAAGTGGAAAAGCGCATTCCAAGGTTGCCCGCAACAGTACCTGGCACCACGGACAATTCCATGGTACGGGGGGGCCTCGTTCGATGCACATCCAGACGTGAAGTATGGCAGACGCCCGTAGGTGGATAGTTCACCGAGGATGTCGCCTTGACGTTGGTTCTCTCTGAAGATATAACATCAATCGACGAGGCCGAAGCGCACCAGCGCAAACTCGAGCTGCCATCTGGCACCCCAGCTGCGTGACCCGGCCGAGATGTACTTGAACTGCATAGAACAGGAGGCTGTCTATTTCCTGTCTTCTTTGAGAAACTCTCTTGTGTGTAGAGTTTTTCGTGTCTTGCAGATGAGTGGTTTGCGATGTTCTGGCCAGATTGAAGATTTCCATGTCCTGCAGCCTGCCCCTTTGCAGTTTTTCCGTTGGGAGGTAGAATGCTGTCTTGACTCGACGTGCTCTTGACATCTGGCTTGCCAGAGAGTAGTTGAATAATGTCGCGTCCTTGCGGTGTGCTATTTTGAGTGTTCGTCTTGATGATCTGTTTGGCGCTTGGTGCCGCGACAGGCAGTCCCATTGATGGATCGACCCGAGACGAGCTGCTTGGTGGTTTCCTGATCGTCTTAAGTGTTTGAAGCGCTTGAGGTGGGTTGAATGACGTGCCGTGGCCTGGCGAGTCCAAGTAACGTGCCTCTGGAACTGGAACTTGGAGCATCGGTTGCCGCGGCTGTTCTTGGAGAGCGGCGTCCATCGTAACATCATTGGCAGAGGCACGAGCAGCAGCCTTCTCCAAACAGTTGCACTATTTCGCACGTTAGTGTGCTCAAATGTTCGTGTGAATGAAGAACTTACTCGCTTGTGCTGCTTCTTGTGCTTCTCACAAGCACCGTACTTCCGAGCCTTGATGTAGTTCTCCTTCTGTGCCTGAGAGCGGGGCTTCTGTTTCTTAGGCACGTTGGTTGCAGCGTTCATATTCAAGTCAAGAACCAACTCCATACCTCCTGGAGGGGGTGCCTCGGAGACAGACATGTTCTCTGGGCTGGGACGCGGAGAGGTGCTCCCACGAACGTACTCGGACCAGCTTGGGGATGAGAAGCTAGTGTTGGAGTCTGAGGACATATCCAAGTCAAGAGCAGTCGCAACACAAAGGCGCTGCAGGTGCAGCGCAATCGCCGCCTCACGGCGCTTCTCCTTGATAGTAGCAACACGCGGGTCGGAGGCGGCCTGCGCCTCAACCAAGTTTCGAAATGAATTTCTGCTGTCGTATGGGTTGTATCCCAAGAATGCAGCATCGTCGAACAAAGGAGCAGCTGGCCCCTGCATGAAACTTCCATCCATTCCCATGAGCTCCTCTTGTGGGAGATCACAATTCGTCATTTCGAAGGAAGATTGCATGGAGGATTGCAAGAATTCAGAGGGGGAAGGGAACATCCCATCTGCTTCAAAAGGCAGAGCCAGGTCCTGAGGTGAGACAGTGGTGGCAGTCGATTGGTCGTCGTAGCCTGGAGGGAGATCGAGGAATTGATCGAAGTCAACCCATCCATTGAGGGTTGTCGCATCCATATCCAGGAAAAATTGTTCCGCAACAAAAGCCATTGAAAAATCAAACGTAGAGTGGGTATCACTAGGGGTATCTATTTTGTATGAAAGGATAGAACGCAAATCAAAGAAAGTCGAGGTCGTTTCGTTAGGCCAAGGCTAATAATCCTGATGCAGTAGAAAACTAGGAAAAGGAGGTCGTGGAGAAGAACAAGAACTGGCTTCCGGGGAAGGTGAAGAACCTCAGACTTGAGGCAGCCGTTGATTCTATGTATGCTCTGTCTCTCTCAGTCCACCATTCCTCTTTGGGGTCCCCGACTTGACGCTAATCCGTTTTGGGACCCCGACACCCCGCTTGATCGCTCTAAGCCGCAGTATGACTCAATGCACATACTCCTGATGTACTTCCAAAGCCACACAATTTAATATGTAGATCTAGGTACCCACAATGTCTCTTTTGCTCGAAGAAAATTCCATGTTCTCGGCTCTTTAAGTATTGTAGAATGAACATCCTGCATCACGCTTGATGAAATCCACTCTCTACGACGCAAAAAGATCTCTCGGTTCCGAAAAGCTCAAAAATTAGAGGCTGTGTTGCACAGCCCGGCTAGTTTTGCACTAAAGCATACTGGGACAGCCGGCACGTTAGATCTACACATTCGACCATATGTTGTATATACTCCGTACACCATACGGAATAGTCGGCCTGGGTTCCAAGAAGGCAAATTAATTGTGTCAATATATCTTTGATAAAAATCCATGAACCATCTCGATTAATTGACTTTAAGCCGCGGTATTTTTAAGGGTCTTGTTGACCCACTGCGTGATACGGCTTCTCTCGGAGCTTGGCGAAGATACTTTGGTCTTAAATATAAAAAAAAAGCTTTTATTTTCTTAGCTCTAGCTAGTTTACTAGTCATATACGACATGGTCATCTACACAGACCAACCTTTGATCTGGGATAAGATCAACTTGCATTAGGGCATTGAAATGTATTTAAAAAAAAAGGATTCTGCCATGTTGACCGACAAATCTTGGCTGATACAGGAGATCAAGAGGAACATCCAGAAGGAGTTCAGTAATTTTAAAAAGACAAAAGAAATTCAAAATTGATTTCTACAGACTCTATATAAGTTTCACCTGTAATAACGAATGTGCGATTTAATAACATCCAGATCTTATGTCCCAGTGCCCACGATAGACTGGAAGAACTAGCTTAGGTAAGGTCTAGAACTCCCGCAATCCGCCTGAGCATCGATGTCCCAAAACGACGATTGAAAATCTTGGCTTTCCTGAATCTCAATGACCTTCCTATTTGTCTTAATTGATGCGAAATTACCTATCCTCTTCCCTTTTTTGATTTCTTCACTTCTGCTACCCCTGACAAGAAAATCTACCCCTCCATTCCCCCACCGACAAACAGCTGCCCAGCTCCACTCTCGGTTCTATTGTGGGGATGGTCGAGACTGATCAACTGATTGGCGCTGGGCAAATGTTTCGAGAGAAAAAATAGAAAAAAAAGCCCCTAACCGCGGTCTGTACAGTCAGCAGCCCCGGACCGCTGAACCGTCTGGAAAATCAATCACGTCACGTTGTCACTCTTCCCGAACATGGCCGCTGCATTCGACGAGGAAGACCTCGCTATCCCCCTCCCGTCCGACCGCGATTGTCCGCGTGAACGTGCGAGGCCCGCTTCCAACCCCTCCGCCATGGCAATGCCCCCGCCCTCAAAGCCGACCGGCAAAGTCGAGGACCCGGTGCAGTCACCGTCGACTACCCGAGATATGCAACGCCTCGACCAGTACCAGACTATAAGGGTCTTGGGGGAGGGTTCCTTTGGAAAAGTAAAACTTGCCATTCACCAGCCAAGTGGACGTCAAGTTGCCCTAAAGATTATCTCACGACGCAAGCTACTCTCCCGAGACATGGTTGGGCGCGTGGAACGAGAAATCCAGTATTTGCAATTGCTACGACACCCTCATATCATTAAATTGTACGATCTCGATCCAAAAGGCAGTGGGAGTCTTCAGTTAGCTGACAAAAATGTATTCTAGGTATACGGTGATTGCGACGAAGTCCGATATTGTAATGGTGCTGGAGTACGCAGAACGAGAATTGTTCGATTATCTCGTGAGGAAGGGAAGATGTGGTGACGACGAAGCCCGGAAATTCTTTCAACAAATCATTTGCGCTGTGGAATACTGCCACCGACACAAGATTGTACACCGTGACTTGAAGCCCGAGAACCTGCTCATCGACAACCAGAAGAACGTCAAGATTGCGGACTTCGGGTTAAGTAATATTATGACAGACGGCAACTTCCTCAAGACCAGCTGCGGTAGCCCGAACTACGCTGCCCCAGAGGTCATCTCTGGAAAGCTCTACGCCGGCCCGGAGGTGGACGTATGGAGTTGTGGTGTGATTCTATATGTGTTGTTGGTTGGCCGATTGCCTTTTGACGATGACTACATTCCAGCTCTTTTCAAGAAGATCGCAGCGGGCACCTTTCACATACCCGGATACATCTCATCTGGGGCAGCTCGTTTGATCCGGGCAATGCTTCAAGTTCACCCTGTCCACCGCATTACAATCCCTGAGATCAGATTGGACCCATGGTTCACTAAAAACCTCCCTCAGTACCTGGAAACACCGCGAGAGGAGTTCATCGCCCCGGGAGCGGACTCGAAGAAAGTTGATTCTGCAAAGCTTGACATGGCAAAGCCTCTACCAGTCCAGCACAAAATCCATCGAATTGCAGTTTCCAAGCTCGAACGAAGCATGGGATATGGCCGCGAGGATATCGAAGAGGCATTGAGACACCCAGAACCCAGTGCGATCAAGGATGCCTTCTCTATTGTCGTGGAGAATGAGATGATGCAAACCAATTGTAAGACATGGACCACTTCATAAACTAACCTCTCTGCTAACAACAACAGCACCGACGGAAGATAATTTGCTGGCACAAAATGTCCAGAAAGGAGCTGCCCCTTCATCTGCAGATCGAAATCCTGCGCCTCGTCATCAAGGGTCCCCTGCCCCCACCATGAACAGGACCGCTAGCGCATCGCACCGGAGGGCCTCGGAGGATCTACAGCAATCAGAATCCGAGGAAGAACCCCGTGTTAGCCACGTCCGGATTCTCCCTACAAGCCTGCCATATGTTCACGACCAACTCATGGAACAACGTGATCGAGACAGAAGAGCCCACAACGAAATGCTCGAGCAGCGTCGTCAAGAAGCCGCGCATCTTGACCCCGAAGGACATGGGTCTGCCTATCGGGACATGTCTCCCGAAGAACAGGCTGCCACGACCCGTGCATTGAAGCCTCACGCACGCAGTGTCATCGACTTGGACAAATTGCGATTCGAGCCGCCAACCGGTCAACCCCTCGAAAAACAGCCAAAGCGGAGCCGCAAATGGCAGTTTGGTATTCGATCCCGAAACCAGCCATATGAGGCCATGCTGTATCTGTACCGGGCAATTGCTGCCCAGGGTGGATTGTGGGACATTCAACCCGTGGAGTCAGGTATGCTTCCACTTCTCACCCGTTTCGAGCTCATTCTTACATCCCCTACTAGGCACCAATGCCGGCCCCGATACCATCCCCTCACCTGATAAACCCAAACCCTTGCAGAGCAAATACCCCGACCTCCCATCCGACTACTACATTCCGAAGGACCCATGGTTTATCCGTGCACGTCTGCTGAAAGAAGGAATCAAGGCCCCTGGCGCTTCCACCAGTGTTTACAATAGCCGTAGCGACCTCGAAGAACTGCGCCGCCGCTTTAACATCTCAGGGATCTCTGCCCCAACAGAAGATAGGAGCAGAGACCTCCAATCCTCCGTGCCTGACAGCGGGCTTACGAGCGGGCCCTCCTCGGCAAATGGACCGAGTGGACTGCCCCACATTACCTACGGTGTCTGGGTCTTCCTTGACATCCAGCTTTACCAACTCGAAGAAAACAACTACATGGTTGATTTTAAATGCGATGGCTACCAGAATGTGATCCGCGCTAGCGGCGACGCGGAATGGCATCCCATCAGCAAGCGCCTCAAGAACAAGGAGAAGGAGGTGACCAGCCCTTACCCCTTCCTCGATGTGGCGTCTGATCTTGTCGCCCAGCTGGCTGTGGCAAGCTAGACCAGTCTGTTTATCTGAGACCTGAATTTGGCTTTTGTTCATACAAAAACTACCATGATAATTGCTTTACATTTAATTTTTTTTTTTTTACTCTTGCTTGGGTGGCTGCATAGGATCTTTTTGTTTCTGCTGCATTTCGGTGTCTTTCCAGCAAGCGAGTCGTATTGTTGCAGGTTTCATCTACATTGTACGGGAGTATTTGTACGATCTTTTTTTTTCTCCCTTTCGCATGCAAATATTCGTTCAATTAACTTTTCACTCCTTAACTAAGTACATGAAGTCCATAGGTTCTTATAAGTAGTCTTTTGATGAAGCTAAAAATGTGATTGGAGATGTTAGACAGACGTCGTTGAAATAACCTCAAGCTGCCGAGGTCACTCCCATGGACCAACCTAACACCTATCTGACCTCGTGTTCATCTACATCTAATCAAGACAGCCAGTTAACCAAATCTCACAAGGAAGTTAAGTTGACTCAATGGTATTCAGTACAGCGCGATCAAAGTCTGCATAGCCATGTTTGTTGAATCCACAAAATTTTTCCACTCTTCAACACCGTGTCATCTGTGCTTGCTTGGAGGTTTTGTTTTGGTTTCTCTCGCTTTTGTTTCACCAGATTCTCATTGAGTCTTCGCAAAGTCATCAGGCGAACTTTTGAAAGGTCTGTATTTGAAACCTGATGAGCATGGGGGGGGGGGGTTTGGGAATGGAATCACCCCGAGGGGAACATGGTCTGATACCAACGTCAATCAGAATCGAACAGGAAGCCAAATCCGAAGTCATGACCAGCAATGTACAGCCAAGTGAACGCGGCACAGGTACAGGCTGTAGGTTAACACGATTGCTCGATATGGGGTGATCAATCTGACACCATAATTCTGAGATCTTTTGGTATAAGACGGCGCTTTGTGAAGCAACAAAGATTCTCCCAATCTTCACTTTGTTTCCGGCTTCAACTGCTCTTCCAGAATTCATCACTTCCCCCTTCGCGGCCGCGTAGAGCCGAGGAAGAAAAGACGCCCTTGAGAATTTGGTCAATGTGCCTTCTTTTTAATCATGTTGAGGGTTTTCTTGCTTTTTTAATGGATTCATACATTGAATGTACTAATCACAAGGCACATTTAAGCCTTGTGTCAACAAATTCATTTAACATTTCGGTGAGCTCAACTTCTCAGATTGGTATTGGGAGCAGGCTTACAAGTAAATACTCTGTCAATAGGCTATTGTTTGAATTTCATTTTCAAAGTTTCTTTTTCATGTAGTCAATGGCTGACATCAACAGAACCCAAACTGATTACAGACTTTCAGAAAGTAGATTGGCGAGTCGATGGATAATTATTTGTCACCATCCTTGCCGGTCTTCTTGATGGAGCCCTGACTAGGGACACGGTCGAGGGCTTTAATGTAGACGCGTTCGCTTCGTCGCCTCTGGCTCTCAGACTGGCCGCGGTTGGTCCCAGCCCTGCCGATATGAGGTTGCATCTGCGAGAGATTGGCCCCAGTCATCTCAATTGTAGAAATGGACTCGGAATATCGGCCTGGGCAAGGTACAGCGTTGTTATTCATAAATTCGCCGTTTGTCGGCTGACTGTATTCAGCTCGAGCGTTGCCGTCACGGGCATCCTGGACTTCTCCATCGATATCCCCCCCTCCGGAGATTCTCTGCTCCGTCTCATGGTCTTTGGTATCCCCTTCGTTCTTGGGACAGTTCGTAGCAGATCGCTGCCGTAGAGCAGCCTCCTTGACCCATGGTTTGAAATGGGGGAGAATTTCAACATCGGGGAAACGAACAGTGCTAGCACGCAGGCGTAGGGGGTCCCGGTTGGCGGGTTTACTCATACGTCCCTTTCGGTCGTTCGAAGGTCCACCTCGGCGAGGACTGTCAAGTGCCCTCGGAGACTTGGGAATAGGATTGAGCTGCTGTTGCGCCCTTTCTCGATTTCGCAGCCTGGCCATATGGTTACGCACCAGTTCGATAATGTGGCGAATTTCTTGAAATGTCTTGCCGTGACCAACGTGTCGGCGAAGCCAGTCCGGGACTGGGGCGATGATGGCAGTCGGATGCTTACGGCCTGCAGCTCGAGTAGCGGCACCCAAAGACCTGCTGTCTTGATCTTGGGCCTGGTCCGCAGAGGGATTAGTCTCCCTCTTATTGGGGGCCTCGGTGGTGGGTGCGCCTTCGGTTTCACGGCCGACACGCACTTGCTCTCGGCGGCGGAGGATGAGTTCGAAACTATCCACTCCATCCCAGTGCTCCATTCGGCTCAGTGATTCTAACAGGAGGTCACACTGTGTAAATGGCCATTGGTCGGCGCGATACCGGGCACGCTGGTAGTGCTTTCGGCAATAATGGACCCAGACGCCGAGTGGGAACAGCTTGGTGACGGCCTTGTTTCTGCCAAACACGTGCGACACAACCTTTCGATAGTGCATTCCATCAGGCGAGGGATGCATCTGACATGGAGCGGCAAATTCACATAAGTGATGCGGATCGTTGTTCTTTGTATCTTCCTCTTGGTTGTCGAACGGGTGTCTTTCCGGTTCCGGGTCAAACCTCCGCACTTTTTGCTGCTGGTCTTGTTGGTATTCATACACGCTGCCTTGATTGAATAGGTAATTATGTCTAGGAAAGTCTTCTGGGAGGTCCAGAGCACCTTCATGACCACGACCACGCTGGGTGTTGCTTGGAGATAGTGCCAAAGAGGAGCTAGGCATCAGTTCGTTGACTCCGGGTGGGACATACATCTCCCGAGGGTAGTTATTGAATCCCATAAATTGGCCTTGTGGTAGTTCTCGGGGTGCAGGAAGGTCAGCGGATTGGATTGGGCGGCCAGGACTTCTGCTGCGAGTCCGTTCTTGCCCTCGTGAACGGTTAGTTTGTTCTATTCTATCCCGGTAGGGGTTGGCCTGATCCGCAGCACTCCTGAGTTGAGCTCCCCGGCTAGGGTCATAAGCAGTATGTGACCCATTTGTGTTGGTGAAACGCGGGCCAAGCGGCTGTGTTGTGCTGTAGCGGCGGACAGGACTGGAATTGACTGTGTCCGGTGGTATCAATGGTGAGGTGAGGGAAGGGGAGAGAAGTAGCGACAAGGATGGATTTCCCTGATAAATCGTATGAGGAGATCTGCTGGGGCTAATGTTATGATTAGCTGAGATCCTCACAGCACACGCTGCTCTTGATATACAAGACAGACTTGTATCCCAGAGCACAATTAATAGATGATTAAAATCATCTGGGAGGCAAAGGAATAGTCAAGAAAGGTAGAGATTCCCGATCCCATATGCTTGGATGCTAGACAAATAGCGATTCCAGGTGATATATCGTATACTCACGTGGAAACCTGTGGGATGGCATGGGCAGAGTTGCTAGGCCTGAGCTCTACAAGTCAACAACTCCGATCCCAAGACAAACCCAAAGGTGTCCACATTAAACAAGTGACGAGGAAGGACAAGCAAGGCTTCAACTTATCAAATGCCGAATAGATTGGGGGGAAAGTTGTATATACATACATCTCCACGTCCTCAAGGAGGTGGCCCCGATCGCCGGGGACCTCGGAGCCCTGACCTTCCATGCTGGGTGGAAGCTATGATATGCGAGACAAGATCAGGATCAGAAGACGGAAAAGTGCGTCCTTGAGATTGAATACACCGAGGTAATAGTGAGGTTTGATAGCAAAGCCCGTTGTTGATGATGCACAAGCTATCTGATAGTGTGCAAGACTTCAAGTGTTGGGCAAAAATGGAGAGGAAAACAGTTGTGAGTATGGATAGAGGAGGAAGAGTACTTGAATAGGATGGGCATTTATAAGTTTGTGGGAAATTGCCTACAATGTTTGTACTTGTCGAGTTCAGATGACTTTTCCCCTTTGTTGCATATCACTATCTCAATGTCTACGGCATGTGCGCATCTTGTGTGCTCTGTAGCAGCTAGGTAAAAAATTGAAATAACCGGGTGTCTGGAATCCATTTACAGAGTGTGTGGGTGGTGCTTAAATCCACAGAAACACGTTGTGGAATCTTTGACATCAATGGATCATCAGATTAGATTCTAGAAGAGTATTAAAGTGATCAGGCTGCTGGCTCATAGCCTGAGCGCAATATCTTCATATATGGCAGATAGCATAGTGTGGAGATATAGCCACAGGTAGCCAGAGCTAGCGGTGATGAAGTAAATCAACTGGATAAACCGGGAGATCAGCAACACTTATATGGGCAGCGTTGACGACTACTGTCAGACCACCGAGCAACTACATCAATAGACTTGTCAAACATAGTCTTAGGTTTACAAAAGCACCCAGCTATTGAGAGTCAAGGGGTCACTTCAAGGTATCATTGGTTGTTTCTGTTATGTGTGCTTGATCAGAAAACTAGTTCTCCCGTAAATCAAACCCATCAAGCCATTTTTGCCGGATATCAAGAGCACTACAGTCCGAAAACAAAAAATTGGAGGGAATTGAGGAAATTTGCCTACCAAGGGCCCCAAAAAAAAACATAGCAGTACATACGTCATCCTTAAATGAAAAATGAAAATTGTTTTACCTGGCGTAGCCCATCGAAGCTCGTTGTCTTGGTACGTACTTCCGAACGGCCCCTCGGCCAGGGCTACACGCCGCAGACCCAATGTCAATTGTACTCAGCTCTCGACTCAGGGCATCCATACGGCCATTGCCATTTGAATTGCCAGACATGACGGGGTAGCCTGCACTTCCTCCGGTGATTGGCACCTTCTTTGGAATCGGGGGACCTGCGCTGTAGTCATAGAGCGGCGAATGAGATCCCGCAGATGGCGAAACAGAGCTACGGGAAGAGCGCGGCCGGTCAAATGAAGTAGGTTTGCTGTAGGGCCGACTGTGCGAATAGCTATCAGAGCGCTCACGCGCGTAGTCCAGCCGAGGTTTAGCTCGAACCAGTGCCCCTGGATTTACGTGCACCTGAGTGGGTGTGTGCTGAACTGGGCGGTCCGATGGATGGGTAGTGGTCTCGGTTCTAAATCCAACGCGTGGCGGGCCTATGCTGCGTGATGAGAGAGGGTCGTCGCCTCTAGAAGTTGGCCGAGACGAGTGTTTGAAGCGGATGACAACCCCGGGTTTGCGATTCTTCCTTTCTGGTTCGGGCGCCCAAGTGTCGGTGGGAAGATGGTCAGAGGGGTCAATCTCACGACCATCATCCCCGATGATTGGGTGCTCTATGTCTCGATGGGGTTCGGTCTGTCCACGAATCACGGCATCCCTAGCTTGCGAAGGCGAGTCGTATGCCGGGGAAGGATTTCGGTTGGGATTCTGAGAGGCATTTGGGTTTAAAGAGATGTAAGAGTCGGGAGAGAAGGGAATTGAAGAGCCACCACGGATATCCGAAGAAGAGGGCCGCGGACTGACTGACTTCCGGGTCACAGCCCGCACATCAGAGCTGACAGACCCACCTCTGCCAGAAGTGGGTCTTTGTTCAATAGGCCGGGGCGATGTTCGCAGAGGATAGACAGGAGCATCGTAGTGGACGGGTGCTGATACCGGAATTGGTGCAGGCGGCTGAGAAATCATCATCTCATCATCCCAGTGGGTGCTGCGTCTGTGGGCTGATCGCTCGAGTGCTACTTTGTCAGATGAGTCTTCCGCCTCATAACCTGCGACGAGGCTTGCAGGCATTGCTGGGGACTTCCCCATTGAAGAAGGCTCCTGGTAGCGGTCACGGCGGGACGAGGTAGATATGCTCGATGGTAGATGGGGGTTTGAGGATCGACTAGATTGGGGTGTATATGATGCGTAAGGGCGGGGTGATGTTTTCGGGGTGGGCAGCTGAGAGTGCGGCCTTCGTGATCGGTGTGCTGGTGGAGCAGGGGGCGGCCCGTCATCGTCTTCATCCTCTACTCGCGGTTGCATTCCGGCATACTCTGGGTGGTAGTCTTGACCATGAGCAGTGATTTGTAGAGGTCGAACTCTTTGTGGATGGTACCTCATGTCATCCACTAGCCCTAAAGAAGGCATAAAATCTGATGTAGGTATGTCGCGTGGATGCGTTGCTCCATGCGACATAGGGTTTGGATCGTATCTGGGTTGCTCTAGTTGAGCGTAGAGACTTTGACGTGCAGAATTGTATGACACTTCCTCATGAAGATCTGCCTCGTACTGATTTTGCCTGGCAAAGCGATGGTCTCTCGAAGGTGGCTGATCATACTCGGAATAATTTCGCAGTTGCAGTTGCTGCTGCATTTGTTGTTGTTGTTGTTGTTGTTGTTGTTGTTGTTGTTGTTGTTGTTGTTGTTGTTGCTCCAGTTTTTGCTGCTCTAGTTGTTGTTGCTGTAGTTGTCGTTGCCGTTGTTGCCGTTGCAGCAATTGTTCTTGTTGTTGCCTTTGGAGCAGTTGTTGCTGTTGCTGTTCATGTTCCTGCTGCTGTTGCCGCTGCTGTAGTAGACGTGAGTCATATGGGGGTTCAATAACTTCAGTGGAGACATGCGGCAGTTCGTGGGTGGGTTGTCTGCGGGGAGGAGCAACAACTGGGACATCCCATTCTTGAGTGTATTTATCAGCACCATCATACCCACCTCGTGATGGAGGCGGGACAGGAGAAGGTGCGCGATAAGGTGACGCATCGTAGGTTGGCTCTGAATGTCTCGGGGCGTAAGAGAGAGCATCTTGGGCACCTGGTTGTGTATTTGAGTGTTCAGGAATAGCAGGTCTCGGCGGGGCCGGATGATGAAGTGGAGGCGCAGAGTGAGCTTGTTCCGGAGGAGCTGGTCTGGGGAGAGGCCCTGCAGGACCATTGGGCAAGGGTCGTCGTTTGACATCTTTCAATTGCCGAGGACCAGACAAACCCGTATTGCTTGGAGTAGTGGAGACTTTGCCTTGGACCCGGTCAGCAGCTTCTTGTCGACGTCCAATTAGGACCTCGTCTTGTTGTCTGGTATCGTAGTAGGTCATTTCGATTCTGATTTCTCCTGCATACTTCCCCCGATATTGAAGTGGGTGCCAGTGATCGTTCTGGCTTCCGCCCGGAATGATCAAGCTTTGTAAATCGACCCAGGTCTCGCCGATCAGGTCGGTCTTCTTATCATCATTGAATACAGAAACCTTTAATTTGAAGTAATCAGGGGATTCATGTACGGTAAATCGGAGCTCCGAGTCCCTAGATAGGTAAGCTTCAATTTCCTCATCTATCAATCCAAACGCTTACCATCGCGGAGTTTGGCCTCCTCGCAAGTCTGTTTGTGTCTTCTTTGCTTCCTTGCCCAATCGTGCTGCGGCATATGGATTCTGCTTGCCCATAGTCTTCCGGTTGGGTAGGTTCTTAGCTCGGTCGATGATAGCGACCAATGTACCGATAATGGGGCCATCGACGGATATGTCAGCAAAGATGCCTGCCGCATGGTTGACCTTAGATATCTTCGACATAATCCCAGGATTTTGCCAATCACTGGGGTGTATTGAACATCAATAGAAAAGTCCAGCCAATGTCTAAGGGGAGGGGAAGAAGAAAAGAGAAAAGATACTCTTTGGAATGTCCGATACAGGTATTGGAGGTGGCTGGGGTTGTATCAGATCTGAGGATTTGATTGGTTGTTACCCCTGGTGTCGGGGGATTTACCATACCATAGCATACACAGACCTTGCATTGGGCAAACAAAAAAAAAAGAAACCTGGAAAACGAGTAAATCTCGACGTGGAACAACTCCTCACAATTTTTTTATTTTTTCATCTTTACTAGGCTAACATATATATATATATCAATATATATATATAATATATATTGCAATATATTGCATGATGCCATGTAAGTCCTCTTCACCCAACCCTGGTTAGGTTGGATCCACAGCTCGATCGGATCCCCAGCCACCGCGGATTCAGAGATTTGAACATTCCTGGTGGGACAGTCGTAAACTGCCGACCATTGAGCGGTTCGTACAAGATCATCATCCCTCTACTCCGTACGGAGCACTCCGTACTCTTGGTTGCAAATCCGGTTTCAGCTGCATTGGGGCTTCAATAAGCTGTCAAGCCGTCGCGGCTCCCCCCACCTTTCGGGTTAGGGAGCTGCACCAAAATGGATCTCCGTTTCCCCCACTGGATTGCCCATAGTGACCACCTATGTTGTACGTTCCTAATTATCTTATGTAAATCTTAAGGATTCTAGGTATTTAAGCACTTTTTTTAGTCCTGCATGTCATACATAGGCAATGTGAGTGAGACTGTCTTGTTTCGCCTGCTCTGCACACGTCGTCCTCTACAGACTCCAGATGCTTCTTCTGATTCACAAAATTGTTTGGCTCTCTGCTTCAGTGGGTTCAATGGTCATGGGCAAAGAAATCTCCGCCACGGTTACTATTATTAACCTCATGAGATGGTTTAGAATGTGGAAGCCTACGATGTACAACGTATATCCATCAGAAGCGATTTCACCTTTGGGTGGGTCAACTGATGGAAAACGTTGGGCTTACTTGAGTCTTCAGCTGAATTGACTGTGATGGATGTGACATGTACTCCGTACTCCGTACTCCGTACAGTGACGCAGCAAAAGTGTGAACACGCTAGGCCCCACACCGTGTGCTTATAAAAAGATTCTGTTGGGCGAATTATCTGCCTAAAATTCGTCAGGTGGCCAATATGGCCTAGCTATCATGCTAAAATTCACCCGGATGAATATTAAAGAACCTCAAAAGTCTAGAGCGGATTTGAAATGGGTTCTTCAGATATTTTAGGCGCCTTGTAGTTTGAGCGAGCGTTTGGTAGGTAGATCCGTGATAGGTGGGTCACAAGGGGTGTTCACATTTTTGCTGCGTCACTGTAAGAGCAAGTATCGATACTCCGTACAGGATAGAATACCCGAGGATAGAACCTTTCACCTGCCAATTAGAAATGTTATGCAGATAAACTCTGCCGTAGAAAGTTGAATGGTCCGAAGCATGGTGCTTGTGGCCGCATGGAAATCAGAGGTAGAGAACTTGCAACGACTCGAATCCGAGAATCTGAAAGTATGAACCTAGACGTGTCTTGAAAATTTCAATTTTGAAAATGTGGACTCCTCTCATGGGGAGCCCAGTCTAGGTTCGGGCTGTCGTTGGGCTGTCGTCGGGCTGTCGCATTCCAGTGGACATTTGATGCACAGTCAAGAGGGCCCCGCCTGGGTCTCTCAGTGCCCAGGGGGTCAATGCTCAGCATGTGGTCTGCCTGGTGGCCTCAGGCCACTTATTTTTTTCCTTTTAGCCTGATCTTCCAGGCATCAACAGCTACCGCCACCATTCCCGATTGGGCGAGACGAACTTTTTTGATCGGCAGAAAAAAGATGGTCTTCAGGAACTTCACGATTACTAGCACTCTACTAGGCTTAACTTTACCTACTCATTGCTCATTCCGGGCCGTCCACCTAACTAATAAAATCCCAACCACTACTGTCTACCCGCCACTGCAACCATGGCGGCGCCCGTCCTGCCTCTGCAGCAGGTGAAGCTCGCCTCGTTACCCTCAACGCAGTTAACGCCTGAGCAACAATACTGGCGGACATTCAAAAGCCCGCTCCTGATCCCATCGCCAGCCAATGGACCGGTCAATCTTATCACCCAGCCTTCCGTTCCTTCCTCAGCTGCGGCATTCCCCTCTCTTACACAACCGCCCGATGTCTTCACCGTGACAACAGGCGCACGAGTCCAGATCTATTCGATTCGCACTCGGAAACTCCTGCGGACACTCACACGGTTTGACGATACCGTTCGCGGTACTGATGTTCGGCCTGATGGACGTGTCTTGGTGACAGGTGACGACACCGGCTCCGTGCAAGTTTTCGATGTCAAATCGCGCGCCATTCTCAAGACGTGGAAGGACCACAAGCAGCCCGTGTGGGTGACCAAGTTCTCTCCTAGCGACCCTACATCAGTTCTCACAGCCAGTGATGATCGTACAGTGCGACTATGGGATTTGCCATCACAGACTAGTGCGCGCACTTTTGTCGGCCACACCGATTACGTGCGCAGCGGTGCATTTATGCCTGGATCGATGGCTTCTTCTGGCCTGGTGGTTTCGGGCTCTTACGATCGTACTGTTCGACTGTGGGATCCTCGCGTTGGAAACCGTGCCGCTATGACGTTCAAGATGGGCGCGCCGATCGAGACCATTCTGCCCATGCCCGCCGGAACTACAGTTCTAGCCGCGGCCGACAACAAGATTGCGGTGCTAGATATTGTGGCTGGCAAGCCGCTGCACATGATCCAGAGCCACCAAAAGACCGTCACTGCCCTTGCGCTGGCCTCTAACGGTGAACGATTGCTCAGTGGTGCACTCGATGGACACATGAAGGTCTTTGAGACCACAGGGTGGAACCCCGTCTCTGGATCCAAATATCCATCACCTATTCTCTCTCTGCGCGCGATAACTTCCGGAACCGAATACGAGGATAAACACATTGCTGTCGGTATGCAGTCAGGTCTTCTGTCAATCAAGACCCGACTGTCTGGTCAACAGAAGATCAAGGAGCGGGAACGCCGGAAGGAAATGGCAGCCCTGCTGGAGGGCAAATTGGAGGAGCACGACCGGGAAGTCGCTAAGAAGAAGAAGACTCGTGGCTCTGGATGGGAAAAGCGTCTGCGTGGACGCGATTTCATCGGAGAGGGTGTGGAGATTGTCATTGAGGGCCAGGACCGCAAGAAGCGGAAGAGAGAGCAGCCTTGGGAGAACGATCTTCGTAAGGCGCGCTACTCCGTTGCGTTGGACCAGGTCCTAACCTCGGCTGATAAGACTGCGCAACTTACACTGCTCATGGCCCTGCGTCACCGCTCCGCTCTCCGCGCCTCTCTAAAGGACCGCGATGAGGTCACCCTCCAGCCCATCCTGCAGTGGGTGCACAAGAACATCCGTGAACCCCGTCTGGTTGATCTCAGCGTCGAGGTTGCCATGAACCTTCTCGATATCTACTCTGGAAATCTGGGCCAATCCGCGCAGGTCGACAAGATGGTGGAGCGTCTGCACCGCCGGGTGCGCAACGAAGTGGAGATGGCCCAACAAGCGTGGCAAACGAAGGGGATGCTTGACATGTTGAAAGCAACCTGATCTGACGGCCTTGGATCGCAACTTGGAGTTCGGGGTGTCTGGGATTCGCACACTCGGTGTATATGGCGGGCCATCTTTTGTACAGGATTTGCATGGAGAATAAAAGTCGAACTATTTACCAACATGGACCGTAACATCACTCATTCGTATTCTTGACTGTGTATCAACTGTCCAACTTTGAGAACCCACCAACAGGCGGCTGCAACCAATTCCGCGCATCATACTTCCACCCCTCTGCACCCTCAATAACATGGAAGGTGTAGGCATACCGACTATTTAGGCTGGTATTCCTCTCGCTCTTGTGCAAAACATTTCCATGAATGAGCACAAGCGATCCAGCCTTGATATCAAGAATCTCCAGATCCTCATCTGTAGTCTCTGAAATCTTCTCTTCCTCCATGCCTTTGGGAAGTGAAGGCCCCCGATTCTCAATAAACTCCGTCCCCGAACCATTCTCCTTCCTCACAAACCTCCTAGCAATGCGCCCACCCTTGCCTCCCGTGTGCGAGCCCTTGTACATACCCAGCGTCCCATTCACCGGTCCCGCATCCTGCAGCGCATACCACCAGCCGACAGCAGAAGGCGGATCCGTATACAAAAACTCGGAATCGCGATGGGACGGCACAGCCCCACCAATCGAGGGCTGCTTGCAGATAACCATGCTCTGCAGCACACGGGGATCGGCAAACCCAAGAGACCGTGCGACAGCAGCGTTCCGCTCGTTGAGTGATATGGCCTTGAAGGGAGGCGACAAGGTATGCAGCGAGTGCCCGATCTTGTTGACGGCGCGGTTTTTGGGCTTCAGCAGTGCCGCCCGGCCGGTCAATGGATCCGGCTCAGTGCTGAACGCGTCAGGCTCGAAAAAGAAGCGGATCTTGTCGCCTGAATTCAAGAAGTAGTCGTCGCCTACATGTTCGGCCGTTTCATCGCCAGTGGTAAACTGGGTGAGGGGGTGGGACTCCAGTGGGAACTCCTCGAGGAGTTTGTTTGTCTCGGCGAGGAGAGCTGTAACCTCGGTAGGAGTAAGGTAGTCCGGGAGGACGAGGTACCCGTTCTCCTTGAAGGAGGCGACTTGAGCTTCGGTAAGTCCAGCCATGAGGTGCTTTGTGTCCCAGAGTTAGAAATGAGTTGGTTTCGATGTTGAAAAGTGGGGGAGAGATGATAAGCCATTTTTGACACGCACAGGACCTTATCTGGGGCTTCATCCGTGCACGCGGCATCAATGGACAACGCCTACACGCTCGATGTCAGCTCTTTTTCCCCGGCTTAGCTCTTGCGGGGTATTTCCAGACTCCTCGGTGATATCGATGGGTCTTTGCCTTTTCCATAGAGGCTTATTGCCACAGGAGGCAATGATGCAAGAGGCGAGCAAAGCTTGCCACTAGAAAAGACAAGACACAAGCTATTTAAACGTGTCGAGAGTGAACAGGTTGAACTTAACAATCAATCCAAATTTTACAGAGCCGATGCCAATATTACATACAAGGACGCTTCTACAAGCGAACCAAGCAAACCAACATTGAAATAGTCCCCCAAGGTTTAGTATCAACCTTCCATTAACCCAACTGAACAAAATTGCAAATCATCCCCAAGTGGACCAGATCAACCTTTTCCTCTCCCACATCCCACCGAGCGCCACTGTTCACCACGATGTCCGACTCTTTCACAAGTTCCTCGTACTACTACAGTTCCACAACCAACGGCAGCGACGGCAAGACTACAACCGGACACAGGTATTCGACAACCTCATACACCGAGCCCGACGGCACAACAATCGTACGTACTGCCCAGCAAGATTTAGGCCAACCAGCAGTTGTTGAAGAGCGGCGCTACGACAACACAGGCCAGGAACAGCTGGCTTTACCAGAGCCCGCAGGTGGCACCTCTGCAGGTGGAGTACGGCGCATCACCGAGCTAGAGGATGATGTTTCAGATTCCAAAGATTACACGTCCCAAAATCCCACGTCTAATGTCCTGGCTGATTTTGGGGGTGCAGTGGCTCAGCTCTTGGATGGGGACGGCGAGGACGATTCGTTTAATTTGGCTTCTTCGCCGCTGGGGTCTAGGGTTTATGACCCCGTGACGGGCTCTTATAATGAACAATCCGAGTATGATATCGGTGGAGTCACTAGACGTCACAAGGAAATGAGGGATGCTAGTGGTCGGAGGATCGGACGGGATGTGGATTTTGCTGCAGATGGCCTCTCATCTTCGGCAAGGGAGAACCGCCCATATGAGAATCCTAGTACAGGCACCAGACTGCGGAGAGAAAGTGACGTGGATGTAAGAAATGTGTTTTAGAGTGAGTGAATTGGTAGGTATTTGCTTTTGCTTGTCGCTATGTACAGACCGCCCCCCCCTCCCCACATGAATGACATCTGTTGAGTTTTTCATACATATGTGAAGGATAGCAGGAGTTTAAAGCAAAATTGAAGTTTCCATACCAGTGTGTCTAGTCACGTAGACGCAAACGTCCCTCAGACCAGCGGCTATGCGCCTTCTCCCACCATTTCGGGACGTCGTAGGACCAGTGGCAAAGCATACCAGCAATGAAGCCGATTGCATCATTTTTGAACCCTACCAACAATCCAACAGTAACCATCATAACAGTCCAGCGGCGGCTACGTTCTTCATCTGTGAGAAGAGGGCCAATATGTTGCTCCATATTCGACAAAAGGCCACCACTGGCCTCGTTGAGGTCCCGAGCACCAGCGGTGTTGAGGCTCTCGCCCACACTAAGCAGCTCCACACCAGCTGCAATCACCATCACGCCGAGAAAAGCAGCAGGGAACCGCTTCAGAAGATCCACCAAGGTCTCTCCGAAGAGAACGCCGATAACGAGCTTCGAAAAGCCAAGGAAGATTACACTGGCTCCCGAGCGAGCTCCGAACCGGTACTGAGCTGCAAGACCACCAGATCCATGGCAGACGGGCATAGCACCGAACCAACAACCAATCAAGTTCATGCCGGCCACGCTCAGGCCGACGTGGGTGATGGATGGCGTGTGCACGTCCGGCAATAGATCATTTGCCAAATGGACAACCGCAACAATGGAGTTCAGGGTTGTGAGAGGAATTTGACCAATGCCAGCATCCACAGCACCGACACGACATTCAAGCGTAGTTGGAACTAGAGCGAAAGGATGCCACAGCTCGAAAGTTGGCATTTGCCCTGCCAATGCAGTCCGAGTGATGGCAAGTATTAGACCCAGCACTAACACGGTTAGCGCATAGGGTACTCGGCGATAAAGATTGGTGAGCAAAAGCGCAACAAATGCGGCAACTGCCCAAATGCGGTTATCGGCCCAGGAGGGACTGATCCAGCCCAAGGGAAGGAGTATGCTGCTAGAGGCTGCGATTATCAGGGATAATCCCGCCCCAACTTGGATACCCTTGATAACTGGAATGGGAATTACACTGGCGAACCAGTGCAAGATACCCGTCAAGCTGAAGACAAGGATACAGGCGCTGACGAAGATCCCCGCTGCAGCGATCGTGCCATTCGAGAAACTACGCGCGATTGCCACTGCGGCGATGGCTTTCATTGGCTGAACTGGCAATGGAATACCGAAAAACACACCCGTTAGAATATTGAAAATCCCCGAGAAGATCAATGTACTGGCGAGGGAGACGGTGCCGTTGACAGCTAGCGCAATCGCGATAGGCAGAAATGTGCCTAGATCGCCAAGCGAGCCTGAGATCTCGGAGACATAGTGGCCCTTGAAGGTGCGCAGATTATTAGTATTAATTTCGTGCAATGACTGGATAGCCATGGTGAGATGATATTTTCGAGTTCATGAAGAGGGAGAGCGGATAGCCAAACTTGTTTTACGCACATCAGAGCCTGCCGATATACCCCGCCCGTTGATATCGGTCTCTGAAGTTGAATTCCTGTTTCAGTTTATATCCTGACGTCCTACCACCAAAAGATACATATTCGCTAGTCAGGATTCAACACTGCTTACATCTAGCATCCATAGGCGTCTGATAAATTTACCCCCATAATCTTTCCAGGCTTCAATGGTTCAATCTTTGAAACCGTTCTTTCGTAGCAACGACATTTTTTTTCTCCATCTCTCAATGATAGGTAGGTGCTCTGGCGGGTAAACATTGTGTACTTTGTGGGGAATAGGGGCATTTTTCCAAGTAACTTTGAAGAAAGCTTCCTTTGCAAAAATACAAGCATCGAGCAAAAGACAGGTTGAAGTGTTGTCTCATGACAAGGCCTAAACTACCAAAGACCAAGTAGCCTCCATCGTACCTAGCTAACAGTCACGCCGGTCTTGAAGTTTGAATGAGCAAGGTTGATGTCCACGGGTCCCTGATGTATCCCTAAGCTACTCATCTTTGCTCATTAGAAGCGTAGGACATTTAGATTGCTCGAGAATGGCCCCAGTCTTCTTATAACTACCGCGTAGGAGTAGACCAACCCTTTTTTTTGGAAAATCTTGACTGCCAGGCAATTTTACCCGTCTTGCATTGCTAGAAGATAAGCCCGATAGAAAGTTCCAGTGGACACACATTCCGGAGAATTACAACCAACCAAATTTCTTCAGCGATTCTTTGCTCATTCGAGTATCCTTCATCCTTCACCGTATTCACGCATGATTATCCAGTGCCCAATTTGACTTCAAGTCTAAACTGCAGCGCAGGCTCTATAGGTGGCCACCAAGTTGAAGACACTGCAATGCCTCCCCACGCCATGGTATTAAACCCGAGGTCCCTAGTACTCGGTTCGTTCTATTTCCGTCTTCCGTCGGAAACGGATGAGAAGACATAGATATATCAATAGCTCATCTCCCAAGTCCTTTGTAATGTTCAGAACTGCGTGTCCTCCTTCTAATCAATTCCGGTACTCCAATTTGAAACGCCCGAATCTCAATACACTATGATGTTCAACCCCCCAGTTCCTACTGCTAGAGGCTAGTGGAATAGACTTTCACGATCCATCTGCTACTGTACCACATCAGAGACGCACTTCTCTTCAATTCATGGACACCCACTGCATATACCTTTGTGTTGCGAAGCCTACCTGTACCGAATCAATGCTCACTTTAAGTGAACCAGCACTGGGGATCATGGAGTATATGATAGTATAACTCAGGAGTACTTTATATTTATACCTACACTACGTGTGCAAGATACCACAAAGCCTCCGTAGATCATTTCCTTTGTTGGGTAGATATAGGATTCTAAGCCATTCTGCTGTTAGTTTATATGATGTTGGAAAATCAGTTTCTTCTACCCAATATCCTGCCAAATTTTTGCCTCCTGTAAACTAGATTAAATGGAAGTTCCCGATCATCTTTATTTTCTACCTCTTTGTACCCGCCAAACCGGCTACTGCTGACGAGCCCGCACAGCGTTAAAAGCGTATGCACTACATCAACAAGGAAATCGAGAGGAGATCGTAGGTTGCAAGATTTCCGGCCGTGAGTCTAGATCTATGAGACGAAATTGTGGGCCGGGGGGCCATGGATTAGCCCCTCGAATTACCACCTAAAAAATACATGAATCCGTTGAGAAATCGAAGACGCCGTGAGGAGACGGCTCTCCTCGGATGTTGCGAATTTAAAGTGGGGAAAACAATGAGAGCAATAAAAAGAGCAGCCTATGCGCAGTACTGAGGGTGTGGGCTCGTGGTAAGCAAGGTCCACTTTCTAGACTGAGTGATTTAGATAGGGGAGTAATCTGCCGGGGAAACACTCGGATTACGACTAGCAAGGAGTAATTTTACCATGCCTGCAGTCCTAACCCCAAACTACAAGGTATAGGGCCACCGAAGAATTACCCTAGCATTTGAAAACAGATAAGCATGCCTCCATGCCCTTGTAAATGATGTCCCAGATTCTGAATACGTGTAGATGGAGCACTGTGCCGATCCCTAGTTGTTGCTGATAACTCGTTCTCTCATTCGGAAAATTGGAGCAGCGTGAGAGTTTCTGGCTATGGCTGATGCATTGTTAAATGCCTTCAGGGCTGTATCACTTCCGCCTCGTTGCAATCAACCGAGGGTGTTCGCGTTTATAGTATGCAGATAGCCGTAATCGTTGATGACATTGTGTTGTGAGCTTCCACTGGCCTGTCTGGGAATCTTCCCTTGTGGCCTTGATAACCTTTCTCCCTCTTACCGCATACCCCATGCCTTAAATCACTACCTCTATCCTCTCGCCTTGTAAGAGTCTAGTGGCTAGAAACCGTTATAGTCGATAGGCTTAAAATTGAATACTCGGCTGTTAGTTTATACTTTATTTACTTTGTGTTACCTTCAGGTAATCTAAAACCTAGGTATAGCTTCATACAGCGACTCTCCCTCCACCGGCGGGTCGCTTTTCTTCTTCGATCAAGATACCTAGCACGCATCTTGCTGCCACAGTCAGCCTTAATGGCATCAAATGACTCAATTGAGGAGGCACGCAAAGCCACTCGAGCATTTTAAGTTGAATTACTATTTCAGGAAAAATCCTTGGAAAAATGTAGGTTAGTCAAGATTTAAGAGACGGGGAGAGCAGAGAGAAGGGACGGTTAATGTAGTCAAAATACTATCTCGTCAAACGAAGCAAACAATCACGAACGACCTTTAAACCTGTGATAGCATGTGGTCGCAACAAAATTTCGAGAGACCAACGGTGAATACGGAGTACTGCTACTCCGTAGTTCCTTACATACTTAGACTAGTGAATCCGCCAATTACCACTAACAGTTGTTGATTATTGTAGATAGCGCTACGGCAAGATCAACAGTCTATCGAAAACGGTACTTTAGAGGGCAACATATGTAGGTAGGGGGTTCCAAAAGATCCATGGATGACATGCCGGGATAATCTGCGGTTCACCGGATAAAGATGGCCCCAGGGATTAAGAAGTGGCGACAACCTTGGAAGCAGCATTGAAGCATTGAAATTATGCTGCACACATAAGGTGTGTGTTGTCCGGCTGTGGAAAAATAGGTCCCGTGAGATCACAAACAGTAAAAGATTAGTTCTGGTACTACATACAATCTCAGACTTTGTTTCGGAGGGAAAGGAAATGATACATTCCCGAGCCGATTACCGACCGAATTCGACCGAATCTTCATCCTTATGTATAGTAATTGTGTAGATTAATTATAGAAAATCTTGAAAAGAAAAGGACGAAGAAATGGGAAGCGGCAAGATTCTAGAATCCTCGCCTAAGCTCTACTCTTTAGGTACACACGTATACCCATCTATCCAGGCTTGGCCACCTTGCAGCCCGGTAATGAAATATTATGTTGATCTTCATGCACTCCACGGATGCGGAGCACACAGTCCAGGGGCTCGGGATCTTCAATAGCCGTCTCCCGGTTCCTATTGGGTCCCACCCGGGCCCGGAAGAATGGCGCGCTGACTCAGCGAAGAGGCTTAGGGATCTATGTTTTAGGTTTCATGGCGTCAGTCGATAACGTAGGGCATCTTCACTGACTCCGTACATATGCTGTCATGGCGACTAGCCCCCCTTGCCTCAAACTTTGTAAGATCCCGATTTGATATCGATCCAATCATTGCTCTGGTTGTAGCAAGACTTCCACTCCACTCATGTATTTCTTCAATCGTATCAACTGCTCCGGCCCCCGACTCTGACCCACATTTCCTGTTACAATGGAAGATGTCATCTATGAACGGAAATGGCCACAGAACCGAGACTTTAAATACCTGATCCCCTCCTCTCTGTCAAAAATTTTCCAGTGTAATCTGCCGTTCAATCTTGGTGCAAAGATCCCTGTGCTCATTGCCTATTCTAATTCGGCACAATGACATCAGAGACAAGCTCGCACGAGCTGATGGAAAAGGATGAGGTAACGCCACCTCACACCGGAGACGCATCAACTATTGGTGATTATCCTATGGCATTCATCGACCAAGTCGATGTCAAGACCCTCACTAGAATAGCCACTCAACGATCACGCCGACAATCGACCCTTGGAACCACAGATAACTTAACAGTCCTCGCTCAACAAGATCCATCTCTCGACCCCCAATCCGGAAATTTTGACTTGCATAAATGGCTCAAAGCGGCTTTCAACGATCTCAACCGAGATGGCCGCTCAGGACACACGTCGGATGTCATTTTTAAGCAACTCAATGTATATGGATCGGGCGCTGCGCTGCAGTTCCAAGATACGGTCACTTCTATCCTGACTACCCCCTTTAGAGTGCCTCAAATCATTCGTGAATCACACTCCCCCCAAAGACGAATTCTCAAAGATTTCAACGGCCTTTTGAGAAGTGGCGAGCTGTTGCTTGTGCTTGGTCGCCCAGGTGCCGGCTGTAGTACACTGCTGAAGTCAATGACTGGAGAGCTGCACGGTTTGAAACTGGACAAGGAGAGTGTCATCCATTACAATGGTAAGACTTAGCCTCTAACATTTCGTAATAAAGCTAACAATCACTAGGAATACCCCAACCTCGCATGATGAAAGAGTTCAAGGGCGAACTTGTATACAACCAAGAGGTACAGTCCAAACATCAACCACGTTAATAGACTCCCAGTGCTGACTTTTGAATTATACAGGTTGACCGACACTTCCCTCATTTGACCGTTGGCCAGACTCTGGAGTTTGCAGCTGCAACACGAACTCCCGCTCATCGGTTCCAAGGCATGTCGCGCGCAGAATATGCCAAATATCTGGCTCAGATCATCATGGCTGTCTTTGGACTGAGTCATACATACAACACGCGAGTCGGAGACGATTTCATCCGAGGGGTTTCGGGTGGTGAGCGGAAGCGTGTCAGTATTGCAGAGATGGCCCTAGCCCATGCCCCAATCGCTGCCTGGGACAACTCTACTCGAGGGTTGGACTCCGCCACGGCATTGAAGTTTGTCGAGGCTTTGCGGCTGTCATCTGATATCACTGGCTCGTGTCATGCGGTCGCTATCTACCAGGCCAGTCAAAGCATTTACGATGTATTTGACAAGGTGATTGTACTTTACGAAGGCCATCAAATCTTCTTCGGACCTGCTGCCGCAGCTAAGTCGTACTTTGAGAATCAAGGATGGGATTGTCCGACTCGACAGACTACTGGAGATTTCCTCACCTCTATTACAAATCCTCAGGAGCGGACAGCGAAGCCCGGCATGGAAAATCGTGTTCCCCGTACGCCTGAGGACTTTGAGGCTGCATGGCTCAAGTCCCCTGAGTATAAGCAATTGCTGAATGAAACGGCTGAATATGAAGGGCAAAATCCCGTTGGATATGATGTGCAAGCCGTCGCTGATCTCCAGCAGTGGAAGCGTGGCGCCCAGGCCAAACACACCCGGCCCAAGTCCCCGTATATCATCAGTGTCCCTATGCAAATTAAACTCAACACTGTTCGCGCCTATCAACGACTCTGGAACAATGCCGCCGCAACTATCTCTACGGTGGTCACTAATATTATCATGGCTCTGATCGTCGGATCTGTCTTCTATGGAACTCCGGATGCAACTGCAGGCTTTACGTCCAAGGGCGCAACTCTTTTCTTTGCTGTCCTTCTCAATGCCCTCACGGCAATGTCCGAAATCAACAGTCTATACTCGCAACGTCCAATTGTCGAAAAACATAACTCCTTTGCCTTTTACCATCCTGCCACGGAAGCCATTGCTGGTGTGCTAAGTGATGTACCGGTGAAGTTTGCAATGGCTGTCGTATTCAACATCATCCTATACTTCCTGGCCGGTCTGAAAAGAGAAGCATCTAACTTTTTCCTCTACTTCCTCATCACATTCATTATCACGTTCGTCATGAGTGCAGTCTTCCGCACATTAGCCGCTGTCACCAAAACTATCTCACAGGCAATGGGCCTGGCAGGTGTCATGATTCTGATTCTTGTTGTTTACACCGGTTTTGTCCTCCCTGTGCCATCTATGCATCCGTGGTTCAAGTGGCTTCATTATCTCAATCCGATATACTACGCCTTCGAGATACTGATTGCCAACGAGTTCCATGCTCGCGAGTTCCCTTGCTCTTCCTTTGTTCCCTCCTATGCCGACCTATCAGGTAAAGCATTCAGTTGCACTGCGGCTGGTTCGACGGCGGGCTCTACAACTGTCAATGGTGACCGGTACATTGAACTGAACTACACCTATAGCTACTCTCACGTCTGGCGAAACTTTGGCATTCTGATAGCGTTCTTGATCGGTTTCATGCTCATCTACTTTGCCGCAACCGAGATCAACTCCGCTACTACTAGCACTGCCGAAGCTTTGGTCTTCCGTCGCGGTCATGAGCCTGCTAGATTCCGCAAAGGCAATAGGTCTGGGTCCGATGTTGAAAGCACCGAGCCATCTAAGTCTCAGCCTACTGCGGACACAGACGATAAGGGGATGGGTGCTATGCAGGCTCAGACCGATACCTTCACTTGGCGCAATGTTTGCTATGATATTGAGATTAAGGGGGAGCCACGTCGTCTGTTGGATAACGTTTCCGGATGGGTCAAGCCTGGAACCCTTACAGCACTGATGGGTGTTAGTGGCGCTGGAAAGACGACTTTGCTAGATGTTTTGGCACACCGCACATCGATGGGTGTTATCACTGGTGATATGTTTGTCAATGGCCATGAATTGGATCAGAGTTTCCAGCGAAAGACAGGATATGTTCAGCAGCAAGATCTTCACCTCGATACGTCTACTGTGCGTGAGTCACTACGATTCAGTGCTATGCTGCGTCAGCCAGCCTCCGTCTCGGTTAAGGAAAAGTACGACTATGTCGAGGATGTGATCAAAATGTTGAAAATGGAGGAGTTTGCGGAAGCCATTGTTGGTGTTCCTGGTGAGGGTCTGAACGTCGAGCAGCGCAAGCTGTTGACTATCGGTGTCGAATTGGCGGCCAAACCCAAGTTGCTACTCTTTTTGGATGAACCTACCAGGCAAGTGCCTCATCCAACGAACTCTCATCTCATGCCTTTCCAAACACTAACATTGCCTTAGTGGTCTCGACTCTCAAAGCTCCTGGGCTATTTGCTCATTCCTTCGCAAGCTTGCTGAGCACGGCCAAGCAGTTCTTTGCACGATCCATCAACCCAGCGCCATGCTCTTCCAACAATTCGATCAGCTATTGTTCCTCGCTCGAGGCGGTAAGACTGTGTACTTTGGGCCAGTTGGAGAGAATTCTAGCACAATGCTCAAGTACTTCGAATCAAACGGTGCGCGTAAGTGTGACGATAGGGAGAACCCAGCTGAGTACATGCTGGGAATTGTCAATGCTGGTAAAAATGACAAGGGCCAGGACTGGTTCGATGTGTGGAAGCAGAGCAACGAAAGCAGGCAGGTCCAGACTGAGCTCGATCGAATTCACAAAGAAAAGGGAAATGAGTCCTCTGCCGTTGGTGACTCATCCCAAGGTCACTCTGAATTTGCCATGCCATTCTGGTTCCAAATAAACCAGGTCATGTACCGCGTGTTCCAGCAATACTGGCGCATGCCATCCTACATTCTGGCGAAATGGGGGCTTGGAGTTGTCTCTGGTCTATTCATTGGTTTCTCTTTCTACGGTGCCAAAACGTCACTGCAGGGTATGCAGACTGTTATTTACTCTCTCTTCATGATTTGTACAATCTTCTCGTCATTGGCGCAACAGGTATGCACAACTCAGAATTCAACCAAGTGAACACAAGCTAATATCACCAGATCATGCCCGTCTTCGTCAGCCAGCGATCGCTCTACGAGGGCCGTGAACGCCCCAGCAAATCCTACTCCTGGAAAGCTTTCCTTATTGCAAACATCGTTGTAGAGATCCCCTTCATGGTCGTTATGGGTGTTTTGACCTACGCCTCCTACTTCTATGCTGTCGTTGGAATCCCTGACTCGCTGACCCAGGGCACTGTGCTCCTGTTCTGCATTGTCTTCTTCATCTATGCCAGCACCTTCACACACATGGTCATTGCTGGCCTCCCAGATGAAACAACTGCCAGTGCAGTAGTCGTTCTTCTGTTCGCGATGTCTCTCATGTTCTGTGGTGTGATGCAGACCCCATCTGCTCTTCCCGGCTTCTGGATCTTCATGTACCGTGTCTCACCTTTCACATACTGGGTCGGTGGCATGGCTAGCACACAGCTGCACAATCGCCAGGTTGTATGTTCAACCTCCGAACTAGCCATCTTCGATCCACCCTCTGGTCAGACTTGCGGACAGTATCTCATGAAATATGTCACTGCCGCTGGTGGTCAGTTGCTCAACCCCGAGGCTACGAGTGATTGCAGTTACTGCTCTCTCAAAGTTGCAGATCAGTACCTCAGCACGGCCGGTATCTTCTATTCTGAAAGGTGGCGCAACTTCGGCATCATGTGGGCTTTCATCGCTTTCAATGTTTTCATAGCTACAATCATGTACTATCTCATCCGTGTGAAGCGGTGGAGCAGTGCAGATATGAAGGAATCAGTGATGAAGCTCATTCCTGGGAAGAAATCAAAGGGTGATAACTAAATCTTGTTACTTCGCTCTTCCTGATCTTTGTCCTTCTTGGTCTACACTTTCGTGTCATTTTCCTTTGACAATTGTGTGTTCTCTTTCAATGCCTTTTTGGTCACCCACTGGCGTTGCTGTTTATCTTTTTTAACATTTCTCACATTTTTGTTACTTTCGAGTCTCTTACGCTGTCATGCACAAAGAGAAACCCTTATTTTATCGAACAATATTTACTTCTTCGCCAAATGCATCACGTCCAGCTACATATCTCGGCCTTGCCACATCCAAGTAACAACCACCAAATTATAGTTAGCCATCCTACTATCAGGTCTCTTCAACATCAAATCTATGCTCGCCATCTCGAGCAACAAACGCAATCATATCACTACCAGGCCATCGCTCTGGAAGCGGAGAATTACTCGCCGCCTAGTTTTGGGAGGGCTAGAATGTCTGTTCGGATCATCGCGCCGATTTACTTTGAGCAGATAGCTTGATGGCGTTGAGATCTACCGAATTTGAGTGGGATGTGACTGCCATTGCTATATTAATGAGAAACAGATGTTCCAAGACAGCTGAAGAAGATTGGTTATTTTTCAGGGAGATTGGCTTAGGTATAGCTTTGACATAGCAAGATTTGACAGGGAATTGACATTTAATCTGCTTCTAGTTCATGTGCTGTTGTCACGTAGGTGTTGAGGTTCCTTCCCGATTCAGAAGTTGTGGTGTTTGTCCCCGGCACATATAAATACCCTCCTGCTTTTACTTCCCCTCCTTCCTTTACTTCTCCTCCTTCCCTATGTTTCTCTCTTCAAATTCATCTGACTTTACATGGGCTTTGACGTCAGCCTCACCTGGATCAACGGAAGGGAAAACCGGCGGGGGCATTCGACAGCAGACTCACCTGTGACGAGCGGCACTGAAGGGGGATGGGCAGTGGGCTGCCACGGTTCAAGATGCTAGAGAGGATATAAAAAGAGGAGGAAACTCTGTTGCTGGTGAGAGAAGTCGGGGGGATGCTGCACGGGCGACCGTTTGAGCACATCAGAGAAGGAAGCACACCAGGACTCTTTTCTCAGACACAGTGGGCGTTCGTCTTCTCAAGCCTCGGCGTTCGCTTAAGCAACGGTTAAAAGGGAACTGTTCTTCTGGTGCTGTGGACTCTGGTGAAGTGGGTTCGAGGGTGAAGGTGGGTGGCGGGTCCCTTTTGCTCTGTGATGAATCGGTCTTGATGATGTCTCACATCCATCGGACGTGGCGACACCCTCTGTGGCGGCCGGGCAAGCTTGATGAGAGGCTCGCAACTGACCTACTGAGAGCAAATTTCTGCACTTGATGTTTTTTTATAGTGAGGTACCATTGTGGTTTGTGGGCAATTGACTGACAAATCTGGCCTTTTGTTTCCTTGCACTCAGGCGTGATTGAAGCCTCCACGGTGTGAAATCCTTACGGGCAAGTCAGCCCATGGGTTTGTATTGTCCTTTAAATTCTTGTTCCATTTACTGAGCCTGAGATTTGCTTGCGTAAGAGATCCTCCGTAATTAGCTTGTGTCTCAAAGCATCACTGTCCCAAATTGTATCCACGGTTTGTCCGTATGATACATGTATGTGGATTCCCACTTGATTTCGCTCTGTTATAGTTGTGAGGGTCCAGCTAACCCAATAAACGTAGAGTGGAACTACTCAATCTCCTAGATCCAATGCTAAATTATTCTACTGTAGGCAGATCCAGCATTTGGTTGAGCTAGTGAGAAACGCATCAACCCCAGAATGCTCAAAATTGAACTTGCAAGCAGACTTGACTTGTTAGTTGAATATACAGTAAGTGTACCATTGCTCAGTAGATAATTCCCTTATCCTAAATTCTCGAAATCCTCGATGTGCCGATGAAGTAAGGCATTCTAGCCGTGGGATCCATTTTATAGATCCAACGATCGTCAGGAAAAAACCTTATCTTATCAGAAATGCACAGACCAACGGCCCATCGTGTGCACCAACGTCAGGGCCACAGTAGCACCGCGCAACGAACCAATCGTCAGACAGCCTCCCAGGTCCCCCAACACCAACATGGATCCAGATGCCGGCATACCAATTGAACCCGAACCCTCCGTCTTCAACTACGTGCTCTCTTTCCTACTTGTCGGCGTCGCATGGGGCTTCACAACCCCCTTTATCCGCCGCGCAGCAGCAGACTTCAATGCCCGACAAGAAAAGCAAGCAACCGAATTGAACTTATCAGGACGCGAACAAGGCCACCCACATGACTCACCGGAAACCGGATTCACGGATGCAGGGGAGGAACAGGAATTGCTCTCTCGGGAGGAAGGAGCCCGTGGCTCCAGTGATGAAGAAGGTGTGCGGAGGCGGAGTACGAGTATCAGTGATGTGAACCGGAAGCCGAAGACTACAGATGAAGATATAGGGCTGGATGATGGAGTTGCTGAACAGAGTGGCAGTCATGATGGGGAGGGTAGGGAAGGCGGCGTAGATGAGGGTCAGGATGGTCTACCCACGCCAGCATGGAGGCGTGGAGCTCCTGTGAAGCAGTCATGGCTGTGGGCGAAGGTTGTTACTATCTTCTGGACGGTTGCAAATTTGCTTCGTACGCCCGCGTATGCGATTCCCTTGGTTATCAATCTCACGGGCAGTATTTGGTTCTTTTTGCTTGTTGGGAAACATGGTAGGTGCCATTCATTGGGTTGTTGACTTCTAGTGCTACGGTTCTGAGATTTCAAATTGCTAACGGTTGCTATATAGAACTTTCTTTGACTGTGCCACTTGCAAACTCGAGTGCATTCTTGTTTACTGTTCTTGGGGAGTGGTACGTTGAGCGCAAGGTAATTGCGAAAGAGACATGGTTGGGCATGGGGCTGGTACTTGGAGGGATTGCATTATGTGTGCATTCTAAGAACCAGGCTTCTTGAAAATGGTTCGATAGTGTCAGTTATACACACTCTAGCAGACACTAAATGAAGCAATATGGCTTGTATGGAAAATTCGAAAAACGATCTTTGCTCAAAGAAGTTTTCCACTGTATTCACTGACTACTTGGAATTTTGCATGGCTTCTGAGCCTTGGGTGCTTGGTCCCTGTGATGCCTTAAATTCATCTGCACAAACACAGCATGTTTCGATGAAAACTCTTCTATATCTACAGAAATAGTACAAAAATCGATAGCCATAAGAGAAAAACATTGATCATGAATCTAAGTGTGCAGATGCAGAGGCAAGCACGTGCTAATCATGAACAAGGTCAAACAAATAAAAAAGAGACAAAAATCAGATAAATCACGATGTCGTGTGATTCCACGTGCCACAAAGGACTCAAGGAACATCGCAGGGAAGTCATCAAAGGTATAACATTTTCCACTTCCATTTCCATTTGCGCACCCAGACCGGCGCCGCCGTGGTATTGTAACAAAATCCAAACCCGGATAAAATCAAGGGATATATGAAAACATAGCATTTCTGCATGGCGCAAAAAAAACACAATCGTCATGCTTAAAATTTAACAAAATCAAACGCCGCGGAACTAGAATATGAATGTTAACATGGGATCGACAAAAATCAGTGCAGTGAAGATAACTCACCATACGAACAACCAGATACCACATTGCGCCTATGAATTTGAACATTGAAAGAGCAGCAACACTCCAGAGAATAACTTCCATGTAGATCATGGAGCGTTTGGTCTGGGCCTCGTCGGAGCTTGTGCCAGATGAGTCCTCAAAAGTTTCCAAACCGGCAGCGCTCAGAACAACGGCACCGAGAGCAAAGTTGCAGAACACCCAGGCAAGCACGACGGCACTGCGGAATCCCTTGTAGTAGTCGGCTTGTCTATCTTCTTCGGAAACAACGTTGACCTCCTTGGGGGGCTTCGTGGCGAACTTAGCACATTCAGCCTCATACTGATCGTTCAGATCGCCGTCGTCCTGTGGAATGTTGACGTCGACCTTACCGCCGGGCTTAAGGTGTGCGGAGGGCAGTTTTTCGGCCTTGTCATCTCCCTTAGTACCCCATGTGATATCGTGGGTGTTGCAGAAGGCGTAGATGTTGAGGACGTTGATGTAGGTTGGCGTGAGCAGTATGTATTGAATGAACTGGGGGACGTTAGATGACTCAGCCAAACAACGTAAACAGGATCACTTACACTGGTAAACATGTGCCACGGGTCCAGGAAGATGAACGAGGCGAGTAACCACATGACATAGGTCGATCCAAGGGAGACGATGATAGAGAAGAACGTCTTATTGGTGAATAGCTGGCTGACCGTAAAGGTTTTTGAGGCCACCTCTGATTGAATCGATTTGACCGTGACGAAAATGGCAGCGAAAGCAAGATATATCATGATCACGATCCAGAAGTAGACCATGGTCATATAGAACTTGTTGGATCCGCCAGGTCGATTACCGAGAGCTAAGACAAAACATGTAACGAGAGTTGCCAGGTAAAGCCACTCAAAGACAATGCCTAAAACCTTACCAGCCGTGCCCAATAGGTTATCTGAGCCCAAGTATGTTGTCAAGATGTGGAAAACTAGGAAGAAATTACCCTGCACAAGGCATTAGCATATAGAAAAAGAAAACAGTGAATGGGAGAGAGGCGTACAATGCCAAACCACGCGAAAATCATCGCAATTGCCTGGTAGACGAACTCAATCATCAACATAAACTTTCGAATGAAGCTGTGGCCACTGCGGAAGATCTGATAGAAATGGGCAATGGCATAAACTGCAGCGAAGAAACTACCATTCAGCCAACGACGGCGCTGAAGAATGAATTCGGCCATCTGATCAGGCACATCGGTTTCACCAGTCGACGACTTGACGTACTGAAGGAGCCATCGGCACTTCCGCTTAGAGACAATTTCGAAACATAGGATTCGATCTTCAGCCAAGTACATGTTGGCTGTGAAGATACCGGCATTAGCACCGTGCATCTTCTCGCCTAGGAAGTACCGCTCTAGTGGACCTTGACCATTCTTGTCGTTTTGAAGTGCGACAAACCGGTAGGCGGAGAACGCACCAGGCAGCACTGTGATGAAACCGAATGCAGACTCAAGTGGTTTATCAAGAATGTTGCTGAGCTTGTACTCAAAATTTTGACCAGCCACCAGCGGGTTGAGCAATTTCTTTCCGTGTGACAACATGACCTTGATCTCGCCACATGCACCACCGCACATGGGCTCGACATCAAAGGCCTTCCAGAGATGGTAGATCGAGTCCTTACCAGGTTTGGTGCCTGCATCCAAGAGGACACAGATGTTAGGATCCAATACACGACCGAAAGCTTGGAAGAACCATCTATGAGAGTTGATTTTCTTCTGATTTTTCTCTTTCAAGCAGAAGATCAGCTGCACTGGAGGCCCGGATCGAGGTTTGAGATGCACTTGGGTGCCCTTTACCTCCAACCCAACTTGAGTGGTATACTCGTAAATATGGGCAGTGACGTCCTTGCCGTTGACTTGCTGCTTCGCAATTCCGTCTTGGTACACACCCAGACCTGCCAGCACAGCGCGGGTTCGGGGGTTGATTTTCGCACGGCCGTCGCTAATGATGCAGACTACAATCTTCTTCCACGAATCTTTACCCCAGGTTTTGCTGCTTGTCCGTGAACACATGAAATCAATGTTCTTGAAAACACCAGACATGGTTCGCGCGAAGAGAAAGTCATCTTCATTGTACATAGTCACGACGATAAAGAGCTCGGTGTTGCGAGGCTTCGCGAAAAGTTTCTGACGGAGGGTAAACCGCTCTTCGAAGAAATCAGCAGGATCGCATGTTGCTGCTGAATATCGCATGTGCGTGAATTCATCACGACCTGGTGGCTCTGCGTGGGGTACTTGGCTAAGCAGTCTTGGCGCAATAGGGCAGTCAAGGACGAGGTTTCCGTTGAAGAGTTGGACTTCTTTCACCGTCTTCCAACGACGGACAGGCGCAGGGCTGGGCGTTGGTGCCGGGTCATCGTGAAACTCGGTATAGGGGCCCGACTCAAATGGGGTTTCGTCCGGTTGCAACATGGGCTGGTCAACTTCATAGGGGGCCTGTCCTCCCTCCGGGTACTGGCCTAGGTCATAATCATCTTGTGGGGTGTGTGTAGGCTGGTAGGGTTGGGTGTAGTAGGCGTCATGATGGGCTTCGGGGTCAACCGAATACTCGTTATCAGGATAGGGATGCTGTGCGTCGTATGCCTCACGATGGCCATAAGAGTTATCGACATTCTGGACCGAGTACTGTTTTCAATTTACGTCGTCAGTATTGGCTTGCGCACAGGACGCTTCTTTGTCAACTCAAAATACTCACAGTAGGTTGTTCGGCCAAGCGATCACTAGATGGCATGGGAAGATGCGACTGAGGCCCATATGCATATGGGTTGTCCGAAAGCTGGTAGCCATGTTCCAGTGGTTGCCCCGGGGAAGGAGTGCGATTGCTATATCCAGTAGTGTGAGATGGATTCAAGATGGGCGAGGTATGCTCGTCTCCGAACGGGTCTGCTCGCCATATCGTTAGTTATGAGATGATGAAGATTCAACAATGAGAACTTGAAATGGCAATGGTTTCACGGCGCAAATCGTACTGAGACCGTTCAATCAATAGCCAGCACTGATCCGAGCAGTTTCAGAGAGATAGAAAAAGAACGGGAAGGACGAAAGATGTGGGAGGAAAGGTTCCATCAAGGCTTGGAGGACTTACCAGCGCCCACACGATTATAGGCCATGATGGAGAAGCCTTGGGATCGAGTTCAGTGAAATTGTCCCGCTCCAAAGTCTGAAGCCGGGGATTGTTGGAGATTGCGCCAGGAGCGCCGAGTGGAATATTGGGCGTCAGCGGGAAGAATCACAAGTCTGATGCACAGATCCTAGTTCTCGGCGTCGTTTCAGATAGGAAGGAGAATCGCAAGCGATGTTTGATACAAGGAGAGGGTATATGGAGTTTGGATTGTCACGCGACGGCGCGGAAGGTGAGGTAGAACAGCGATCAAAAAAAAAGTGGAACAAATTCAGGTTTCCCACTCTGTTGTTTACGACGCCTTCGATCCTCGGCAACGATGAGCGTGGATCTGGGGACGAATCAGAAATGTCTGTGCAGCTCCGCACTGCCTTGCGGAGGTATCTTCACACACTGATTAGGACCGCTGTATGAAGAAGTAAGGGTCTTTTTTTTAACAAAAAAAAAGACGCGATTCCTCAGACGCTTTGGAACAAAAGGCTCCAATGATATTTCAACAATCAGAGAACTTGGGAAGTGCTGGAACTAATGAGCCACGGGTTGTTGTGGAGGAGAAACTCCACCTGTTGAAGTGGACGATCTTGTTACTGGGCCAACTGATTGGAACTCAGCCACACTGGCTTATCACTTGTGGCTCATCCAGTATCTCAGTTGTTCTTACTCGCTACCTCAATGTCCAGATTGGTTTAGTTCTGTTTCTTTTTTTAGCATCTGAGGTCATTGGACGCAGTTTTTCATTTTTCCATTTCTGAAAAAAAAAAAAATGCTGCCTGTTTCTACTATGAATAGGCCCACAACATACTTCAAGCTCAATAAGATTGGTGCCTTGGTCTACATGTTTTTTTTATTCTTTCCTTAGGTATGCCTTCTTTCGATATACGCTGTACTTTGTACTCCGTATAGGATAGACGTAATGCAAGTCAAGATGTTTATCTCTCTAATGTGGTGGAGACCTCAAATTAGGGCCTGTCGATACCCCCGCCTTGCATCGTCAAACTCGAAACAGGCTCTTCCTTGTACATCATTTGCTTACTTCCTATCTGTGGAATTTTTTGGGTCGATTTTTTTCAAAAAATTACAAAATTAGTTGAAAACTCTGTGGTGATCCCTGCGACCCCAATATGGCTTCCAACTCAAACGCGCGCCCCGCCAAGGTGCTATTTGTCTGCCTGGGAAACATCTGTTTGTCATCATGCTCGATTCTCCCCTGCCATTTGCAAGATGCTTATCCTCTCAAGGTCGTTCTCCGATGGCCGAAGGAGTGTTCCGTCACATCGCTGGCGCTCATCCCTCCATCGGTGAGATCGATTCCGCCGGTACAGCTGCCTACCACTGCCTCGAGCCCCCCGACTCCCGCACCATGTCTACCTTGCGCCGCCATGAAATTACCGACTACGAGCATGCCGCTCGCAAAGTGACAAGGGAAGATTTCCTCACCTTTGACTACCTGCTTGCTATGGACAAGTCGAATCTCCGCGACCTGCAAGAGGTGCGCGACTCGGTCATTGCGACCCTGCAGAGGAAGACTGACACCAATTTACCAAGCTCGAAGAGCGCGCGGTCACACGTAGACGCTGCCATCGGTGCATACGGGGCAGATGCGAAGGTTGCCGATGTGCGGTTGTTTGGTGATTTCGGCAAGGGTGGAAAAGTCCAGGATCACATTGGCAGCGGTGAGGTAGTGAAGGACCCTTACTATGGGGGTGCTAATGGATTCGAGGAGGTCTACCAGCAGGTTGTGAGATTCTCCCAAAACTTCGTGGAATTCTTGGAACAAAACCCCCATTGATTCCTGAATGGACGATGCTAGCCATACATCGGGGACAAAGGTCACAGACCGTGAGCATTAGGAATGCGGTTTTTCATTGATACCCTACGGCGAGAGATAGATTGTATCGGGCACACACCTCGGAGTTAAAATGTACAATTTTGAATGTAGCTAGCTATGTCGAGATAAGTAGTCGGTGTAGTACATGAAGTCTTGGACAGCAACAGCATATTCGCTTTGCTGGCGAGGACGATTGGCGTATTTCTGCCCAGCGGCGGCAGGGCAGAGGTGGCGGTGGTGGAATTTGGGGTTGATTTTTGTCATGTTTCCAATATACCAGCTATGGCTGCAATTGTACTTTCCTCTCTTGCGTTCTATATCTTTCTACATTATGCTTTTGCATGAATCATTTAGCTTAAAAATTTGGAGTCACTTCTTTTGGATCTAATTCTTGTATGACATTTAGATGTGAATATTACTGGTAATTTCATCCACTACTGGTTGTTTGAAGCCCAAATCGCAGTTCTCTATCAAATAGAACTTTGTGAATCAACACGACACATACGACCATAGGGTGTGGAAAACAGGGCTTCCCGTCCGCTCAGCCGTACTTAGGCCACATCGTAGAGCGCGACCGATGGGAAGGAAGCCTTAATGACTAAAAGCAGCAAGAGCTAGTTCACCAGGGTGAGTAGGGGCGATTTGGGTGTTGGAGGTGGTAAAGGTGAGCTGGATGAGGGGTGAGAAGGTGAGCAGGGTGAGAAGGTGTGGGTGAGTTAGGGGCTTGGCACTCCCCAAACACCAGATAAAAGCACGACCTAGGGCCGTTTTCTCATCTACCATCTTATTTATTAAACTCGATTTTATTTCGCACGTTCACCAAGGAGCTGGATAAAGAGACCAGCCGTCGTCTCGAGGAATATCAAAGACGCACGCAGTCTCGTGGCTTTACTAAAGAGTATCAGGATAGCTTTGAAAAAGAAGATAATATTGTCTGCCACAAACCCACAAGAGTTGAAGAACTTTATTGAAAGCTTCGTAGCGTCGAGAAAAGATCTTCCTTCCCAAAGTTCAACAGCCAATATCTTTTCGAACTTTGTGTCAAAATGGCACCGCGAGACCTTTCAGGAAATTCCCTCCCAAGTGAAAGCCGATGTCCGCAATGTATGATATTCCTTTCCTTAGACATCGGAATTTTCTAACTGGAATTTCATGCAGTTCATTAAAACTACACTTACACGCAAATATAACCTACCTACAAAGCCTCGTGATGCATTCCATGTCAACCATAAAGATATTCAGTATCTACTCCAACGACTATTTGTTGATGACTGGCACGATTATCTACACGAACGGATGCGTGTTCAGACAGCAAGTGCACTCTCACTTTTCGCGGGATCTGGAGCTAGGGTCGGTGCGATTGTGGAGTCAAGCTCATATCGAGGTACAAACGAGTGTCTCTACTATAAGGTTCGTGAAAATCTGCAATTCTTCGCTTCAACTCCACATGAAATGGAGCGATGATAGGAAAAAGTTGGTTCGTTGGGTATCTGTCGATTCGGAGTTTTTGAAAGGCTGGCGCTACCGCGATGATGTGAAACTGTTAGTCATCCTCGGCTCACTTCATGCCTTAGCTAATTTTCAATTATCCAGACCTATGAACTGGTTCCATGAGCATCCCGTACTTGGATTGAACCTCGTTTTTTGGGTTATTGTCCATGGCGTCGCAGATGGTGCGTTCAAAAACCTTACAAGCCTCGATGATGTTCTCGCAGTGAGACCACCCGCACACAGAACTTCATTCACCCTCGAATGGAAAGAGCAGTGTTTACAGCAACCATTCTTCAGGATGGTCACATCAAATGGACCCGATCCCATCAAAGGCTTAACATTCTCTTCTCTCAGACATCACTTTACAAGTTTGGCAGAACGAGATGGTTTCAGGGATAAGTTGCGCGTGCATGGAATCCGAGGCGGTGTGGCTAACAGACTCGATCGTCCGTCACATTCCCTATAACTGAGAGGTCATTATGCTGACACCGACGCAGCCAAGGCATCACAAGCAGCCCGTGGCCAGGCGCTTGATCATCAAAATCCAAACACATTCTTGAAATACCAAGCGCAGCTAAAGACAGTTGATATTCAAGCTGCATTTTGTGGATTTCAGCCGAATATCGAAGGCCGCGACATGCAACAAAGCATGGAGCATCATCGAGATTCAAATGTCCCGCTACGCTTGAACGCATCTAGAAGAATCGAATTTGAAGCCGACCCTGAGGTTATCAAAATGAACGAAAAAATTCGAGCTTTGACTCAAGAGATCGATGGTAAACCTGACCGACATCCTAACCTCTGCAAGGAAAGATCCACTTTGTACGGACAGAAGGCAAAACTACGACGGAGTCACCAAGAGAAACTGGTTCAGGAATGGTGGTCATCATCCTATGATGAATACATATCTGGCAATGATTTTTCAGAAAAAGACACCACATCTCTTTTCGATATCTATCGAAAATACATCCCGGAGCGTGATCGTTTGAGCCGAAACTTGTTTGAAAACACATCAATTGATAGCGATATCGGAAGACAATGTCTCGCGGATCTAATCGCCATCTGCGCGCCCACTGAGCGCGTAGTATACTATCCCGGACTACACCCTGTGGATGGCCAATGTCCACTATGTTCCCAAGCAATTTCGAGGTGCCGTACCGTCTACCTAATGATGAAGCCTCTCGTCTAACCTGGAAAAGGTATAAGCTTTCCTCAACGGGCCAAACATATTCTTCAATGTCAACGCAAGTTGCATAACGCTGCTCCTTATCGACAGGTTTGCAAAAACAACAAGCGCGCACACCGTCGGGTGAACCGCAATTATGTTCAGTTCTGTTATCCGTGCGCTGAGTCGATCTACAACCCTGAGGAATGGAGAGGCCATTGTGAGAGTCATCTCAACAATTTGAGTCTCCGATGTGGTATGCTCACTTACCGAAGCACTCTTATCTTCCCTGGGTTTTGTCCTTTTTGTCTAGGCGATGACAGCAAAGGCAGCGACGAAAGATTCAAGCAAGGGCTGTCCAAACCCACACTTCTCAATCACATCGACGAACATCTGAGCTCACTTGAACACCTAGCTCTGATTCATTGTCCCCATCCTTGCTGTGGTGTCAAAATTTACAATGGTACCACAGATTTACAGCGCCATCTATTTGATACACACTCACTTGAAGAGCCTCGTTCCAACTGCGTTAGCCGAAAGCGACGATGGGGAGCTATGGAAAAAGAGGACGACTCAGCCATTTTACAAGAAGAGAAGTAATTCAGGGCTGAACTGGTGTTCGAGAAGAAACGTCCATCTGAGATGCTTTAATAAATGCTGTCAATTCAGTTTCGCGAGTTTTATACCATAACGTGGCTTTCTCAGCTGCCAAAACCCTATAACAACACCTAGCTTTTGTCTTTTCTGCCTGTCCGATAAAAGCAAGCAGTATGGTGAAAGATTTTGAAAATGGCTTACCAAATCAAACCTTCTTACTCACATTGATGAGCATTTGAGCTAGTTGAAGCATTTAGCCTTGATCAAGTGCCCTGCCTATGTTGCAAGGATATGAAATACGAAGATACTTCCGGCATCTAGCGATACATTTTTGATGCAAATACAATGATAGTATGTATGCAGGTAAAACAGTATTCAATTGGATGGACGGGGAGAGAGAGAAGGTGAGAGTGGAAGGAAGACTATCTAGTTGGTCTATCCTACATGTGATGCCTGAGGCATCCAACAGAAGTCAAACAGCTCAGTGTTGTATCACGCTAGCCAGTGGGGTATCCTTCTTTCCGAATGCTAACTGATGTCAAGATAAATGATATCATTTGTGTCTTCATCTACGTTATTAGCATTAACCTTAATGTAGGCTTGAGGTGCGAATGGCTCTTAGAGTTGTAAAATGAAAAACCTTTAACTTCAATGCTATCTTGAAGAATACCATTACCTCGAGTATGGTGAGCTTAGTGATACAGTTCCGCCTGTGGGTCTTGAAGCTTTAACCAGAAGATTGCATCGGGTACCAGATCCCATCCACTGGGAATGGAACTAATGTTAATGCCCCGTGTCATAGAGATAGCCCTTGGTATCGAAAATACTCTATAGTTATCAAGTCAGCTTTGCAAAGATTTTGGGAGAAAGATCCTGCTCACATGTAAAACTCCAGCGATGGATAGTTCACGAGTATCAAGTCACCAATAACGTGAAACTTGTTTAAGCAAGATCCAATTGCCTGTTTCACTCTTCCATCTCGTAGTGGTGAACTCTGATCAACTTTGGCGGTTATAAGAGTGCCTTCCATCACCCGCGCCTGTATGGGTGAGCCTCGAAGCCTGGTCTCACATCCTTTTTTAGAGTATACTCAACATAGAGAGCCATTTATGATACATACAAAATGTTGCCATTGCGACAGAATGTGGCAGTTTCAATATGAAACTCATGTTGTAAATCAGTTTTCTGAGCCTGGCCCTTGATCCAGATTGTTTCTGGTGCCGCCTCCTCTCTCCAGGCATAATCCTCGTTTTTATTGATTCGTTTAGCGATCCCTATCTCGCTGACGACTCCTGTATTGATGGTATATTCGTTGCTGATATATTGACGAGAAATCGGAAATAGACCTTGTTGTAACTTGAAATCCATATGTCAAACCTCAAATACGGCCTCCCTATGCCATAAACAGGAACCTTGGTTTTTGTTATGGTCTAGTGGAAAAGTACGCTGTATTTCGTTCAACATGTTACCATAGTATGCAAACCTAATGCAAGAATAAAACATCGATTTAAGTGAACCAGGAAGACAAAAAAAAAAGCTACTTGATTGATCTATAGAGCTTCCAAGGCTTAGACAAGACAAATGCAACCATTCCAACAGCACCGACAAAGGTAACAATGAAACGAGGTCGAATTTTGTTGTAAATGAGACTGAAGATAGATGATTCCACACTGCTCGGGGTGATACTCTGTGACTCGAGAGCGTGAAAAAGACTATCAGCAGATCGAAATGTTCCGTCCCAGCAACGTTCCACGATAGTGCCAAGCCAGAGATCATCTGTTGATGGAAGTGATGTTCTTTCAGGCCAATATGCGCGACCATCAAATCGTGCGTCGTCTTTGAATAGATCAATTTCACATTTGACACCTGTGATGATCTCAAAAATGACTGCTCCGAGAAGACCAACATCGATTTGAGTAGTAAACCCATTGTCATCCACTAGACTCATGTCTGATTCTAGTGGAAGTAAAGAAGCTTCAGAAAAATCACAAAATTTTATTGAAAGATTTGTATCGAGGAGGAAGTTTCGACTTGCGATATCGGCAACCAGGATGCGTTGATCATGGATAAAGCTTAGCGTGCGAGCTAGATCAAGAAACCAGGAAAGCTGCGTGTGGCGAGAAAGGTTTGAATCGTTGATATAGTTTGATCGGTTGATGTAGGATCTCAAATCCCCATTGGTCATGAAAGTGAGTTCTGTGGCACTATTTGAAGCCTTGAGACAACGAATAATACCCCGAGAACGCTCATCTGCAATTGTAGGACTTTGAAGACGAAGATAAATCTCTTGTTCGTGGTGTAAACTTTGGATATTTCTTTTCACGTCTAACTCTGAGCTCCAGATATAACGTAGTGGTACTTTCACAGCTACATGATTTTGCAATAAAACTAGTGCTGAGCTCCCACATCCAATAACCCTATCTTCGGAAATAGGATTACCTTCTAAATCCAAGTAAGGTGAAGACATGACAAATTTGGAAATGGATGTCAAATGGGAAAAGAGCGTAGAAAGTTGGATTGAGATGAGTCGAGGGATGAAGGGCTGTCCCTGGTTCTTAGGCCTCGCCAAAACCCGCCCACCGCCCAAACCCGCCCGCGAAAACCCAGCCCATGGGCCGGGTTGGGTCTTAGTCAGCAAACCCGTGGGTGGGTTGTCATCCGGGAAACCCAACCCAGGACCCCAATGGGTACCCGCGATTACACAAAAAAGCAAAAAAAGCTGACTGATCATTTTACACTGAGTTATGCAGTAATTTTCGATTATCTAATTGTTTTGATGGCGTAACTGATAGCTTCTAGCTGAGAATATTTGGAAAGGAACATGAAGAATACGACTTTGGGAGGACACTGAGAGGGTCCAAATCACTGATTTTAAATTATCGAACTAAAGATGATGCTTTGGAGCTCACTTGATGAATTTACATAAAATGATCAATGTGGCCTGTAATCCCTTCAGATGTGTGAAGCACGGCGATGGGGGCAGTGATCTACATGTAGAGAATATATATATCCAGATCGACGGCGCTCATTGTTTCAGCGTAACATCCACCCAAAAGCGTGACAGAAATAAATGACCAAAATTACATCAGATGACTAAGTTAGCTTTGTGTTGTTGGAATACTAGAGTTGAACTTACCGATGGTTTATGCACTATGTTTGTCACAGGCTTTGCCTCGCTTGTACGAACTTCCTTGCGAGGTAGCCTTGACGGGATTACACATTGTGCCCCTTTTCTCGGCCTCCTCGCACCACTGAATATGATCATCCTTTGGGTCATATCCTTCGCAGTTTCCTTGGCTTTTTTTTGGACAGTCAGGGAATTTTGCGGCGGTCTTCCATCTTTGCCAACACATTCTGCTATTCATTGTTAGTTTGACAGCATGGAGATTGGGGAGCATATCACGATCTTACCCGGATTTGTGTGACGATTTGATATTGGAGGTTGGGGAAGAGTGCTAATGTAGCCTAGTACTGTAGATAGTTTCTCTGAAGTAATTTAGCAGGAGGGGAGGGTACAGAGTATTTAACAATTTCAAGGTAACAAATAAAACTACAGAGTACAAAAAGTGCGCTATCAGAGCTTCCAAGATACTATCTCACCATTACACTTGGGTTTAACTAGTTGTTCGTGGTCAATTTGTGCTGAGGGTGACTTTTTGGTATTTGTTGTGGACGAGTTAACTTCTATGCTTGTACAGAGTCAATATCTCCTATCGCCCCCTTCTTGTTCTCCCTCTATTCCAAGGTTTGTTCAATTTCTCTAAGACCTTTGCTCCTAAGTACTTTGTGAGATTTTGGTATGAGTGTGTATTCTTTTACGAGTATTGTATATACATAGAGTATATCTTTGGTTGAATCACTTTTGAATACACCGGCTGATCCCTATAATACTGTAGCTTCATTTTTACAAAAGATTAGTCTTTTATACGGACTACTATTGAGATTAACATGATCATTCTTACTTAAGTCTATACTATGTATATAGTATTGTAGTAGTAAATTTCTTAAATTTGTTGGTGTTACGGGGTAGTGGAACCAATAATGCTGAAAGTGAACCTCGAGTACTCTGTGGGGAATCTAATTTATTAGGAGAAGTCTTATCAAGTCAATTGCTGGGTTATCATCCTACATGAGAACCGACAGGGTCTAAAATAGATGCACCGAAATATGTAGATAGTACGATTCTACCAATTCAAAAACGGACGGGGAAAGGGGAAGAGAGAGAGACAGCAAGAGCTCTGGATCAGTCCTGCACCAAGGTCAGGTGACCCACCAACCTCGACACTGTGTTTAAACCAAAGTGCTTGAGCAAATGTGATCAAATTCTAGGAGCTGACAGACGATTTATTAAGCTATTCTTTCAAAAGTGTATAAATGTAGAAACGGGCCAAGAGGTACACTTAACGCACCTGTATGCACCTTTGTCGCCATGTTGAAAAGGGGGCAGATGTGTAGGCCAAAGGTGCGTAAACTGTACAAAGGGGCCAAAATGTACACTTAACGCACTTGTATGTACTTTTGGCATGACAAGACCGGGTGTAAGAACGGTGCTGAATGATACAACGTATAGAGGATGGAGGCTGAGGCGGGGTTTTCCAATAGTAAAGAGAGTTTGGTCTGTGAGGGAAGGGTCACTCTATTTATGTTTTTTTTTTGGGACTTGGATTTTCAAGTGACCCGGCGGATGTAAATTGATGGCTAGTTGATCAATAAAATAGTATCAAGTCCGTATTTTATACCTAAAGTAAGCTAGGAAATGAACGGGAGGATGAGAGGGGGGGAGGAAGAAGTGAGTTATGTTTATCCCACAAAGCTTCCTCTCAACGTTGTGCTTCCTTCCCAAATAGCATGAGCCTTGGTGCTTTGCTTCTTCATCACATCTACCTGTCCTCTGTCCTGTTATAGCAGACAAGGCTGATCTTGCTAACAGGAAACCATTCTATCCACCCTAACTCCTCTCAATGCCCTATAACGCGCTCAATCGCTCTCTTTCACATTTGAGAAGATCTAACTAGCTATTGAAAGGTTATGGAGTTTGTACCCACTAAACACTGTAATGGGAAACAGCGCCACATCTCCTATGCGCCACAGTGGCTAATTTTTAGCAGTTTTTGACAGTTTTAGCTCGCGAGCTGATAGTCTGAGAATCAAGCATGCTACGCATCTCTGGAAAACAGCTTCATTTCCTATTTCAGTAGCTCAGGGGAGGCTTTTTCAGCTCCCTAGCTTCCCCGTCGAGCACTAAGCACCCCGTCTTGTCTGCGATGTCAGACCGCCAGCGCGCTCTTCCCACTTCAATACATAGTGTTGAGAATTCATGCTTCACTGCGCCATAGTTTGACGCAGCCACTTTGTCGCGATGCTTATTTCTTGGCACTGACGCCTCAGTAAGCTGGCCATCAAGTCTTTCAATCGACAAAGCTGGTCTAATGCGGGCACCCTTAATTGCTCTGCTGCTCATTAAATCAACATCTGGCCCGCGGGTCTGAAATAGTCTATTTCCAGTGTTGTATATAGACGGCATCACTGGTAACAAACATATTAGGTACTTCTTTGAGGGCATAAACCGAGGGATTAAGGACCATCTCTTACAGCATCAAGAGCAATAATTTCCTGTCAATAGAAGTATACACCATTCGTTCCAAGATTTATTCCTCCGAAGTATAAACTTTTCGTCAGTACCTAGGTAAAAGCCTTATATGCTGATTTGCATTATTTATTTTTACATACCTGGATATTTTGTAATGAACTAGGGATCCGTATATAACGAGCGCAGTTCTGAGGTGCCGAACTTGGAACGCTGGTCTTTTGCTCCTAGTGCAGCAGGATGATGCTTAGAATACGCACTAATACTGCAAACCTCCCCGTAACATATTCCATATCTAGCGTAAGCATTTTTATGAGCCCCAAGATTATGGCTTTATATACAAATAAGCATCAGGTTTGGTTCAACCTTACCAAATAAAGAGTATCACTATTTAAGAGATCATAGGATCTATTAAGGTGGTTGAAGATAGGTTTATGTGTATAAAGTCTTTGTAGATGTCGATAAGACGACCAGATCTTTCCTGGGCTGGATAGTCGCAATTCTCACCAGGTTCAAGTGGTAGCATCGCATCTCAAGACATGAAGCTCGGCATCAGGCTAGGAACAAGCGCATCAAACATCTCCGCCGAGTCAGGGAATTGGGTCACCATATCTAGCGGCTCAGGAAATTCGGCACCCCCGCCAGGAACAAGCGAATCAAACATCTCCGCCGAATCAGGGAATTGGTTTACTCTATCCAGCGGCTCGGGGAATTCGGTACCCCTGCCAGGAAGAAGCGATGTAACCATGTCCGTCGAGTCAGGAAATCTGGTCACCATATCCAGCAGCTCGGAAAATTCGGTATGGTCCCCAGAAGCTTGTAAGGATGACTCGGATAGAGCCTCATCAAGCACATCAGCTTCTTGATTCCGTCGTAGACTATCATCGAGTGTTGTTCCAATTGTGCTTGCCTCATCTTGTTCCAATTCGCGTCTCGGTGTTTTATATTGGTCATCTGCCCCATGTGAACATGGATAAAGGAAGTAAAGCGAACACCAGGACACTTACTATTTCTTTCTATCTGCCGTTTTCTCTTGCTCCTGCGTGCCAACTTGGTGAGAGTTCGCTTGAGTGAACCGTCTCTTCCTAGTGAGAGTGCCCAAAGATTTTCTGACAGAGCTTTTCCAACTAAGTCGAGATTTTTATCTTTCAAAATTCTTTCAATCCCATTTTCACGGAGGCTGTTAACAGCGGGTATAAAGAAACGTAAATATCGTCTTGATGTATCTCTTTAGTAGGATTAAGATTGATCCCTCTAATGAGATAGACTTGACTCACTGAGCTTCTGAAACAGTCGAAGGTAACATGAGCAAGAACTCGGGCCCTCCTAGTTCCTCTGCCCACTTGTTATAGCCATAGCCAAGTTGGACATATTCGTTAAGCAAAGTTTTTACCGGTAAAGTAGGATGTCTAGCTTTGATCTTGGACGTAAGATCCTCACAAGCATTCCTACACCACTTCCTACCGGTATGGTACCCAAACTCCCTGGCCAGAAGGAAGATATTCCGTAACTCAAGCCTCCTGTATAGGCAATAGAATTGGAGGTAGATATCCCGGGTCGTATCAGACTGAATTCTCTGAAAATTTCGGTGTAGCTGGGAAAAAGCCCCCACAACCCCATCCGAAGCTTCGGCACCGTGACATGTGGAATGCAGAAAGTATTGCGGGTCCTCTCGATTCTCAATAAGAGCCTTGCAAAGGTCATCTGATATAGATATAGCATCCGGGTCATATAGACCAACTCTTGGATCAGGGTTACTGGTGTTGTTGCTTGGTTCGCAGTCACGAATCTCAAGGTCTCCGTCAGAATGTGGATATTCGTCGGTAGGCGGCACGGTAGTTTTGTGATGATCGCTGGATACGCTGATTTCTGTTCTGTTCGGTGTTGATGTTGGTTTTGTTGGTGTGGGGTTGCTAATTTTTGGGAGGACGTTCAAGAGAGCCTGTAAGCTTGGGGCTGGGAGAGTTCTGATGCAGTGGAAACATGCATCAGAAGAATAAGATGCTTCAATAGTTTTCAAAATACTGTCAACTCTGTTGAAAAGTTCACTTAGCTCAGCAGTGAGTAAATCTAAAGTGTTACTCATTTTCGTGAGATGGCGATATCATGCTTATAGTAGTCTGTACAGTGTATAGAGTAGACTGAGGTGAAAGATTTCAGCTGAGCTTTGCCTACTCCGTATTTCGCACTTCAACACACTATAGGCATCAGCTTTGCCAGGGTTATTATCTAGGCGCTTTAGTATTTTACCAATCAACTTTGACGATTTACTTGGATAACATCTGTAATGATGTGATATATGCAAGATACTATATATCACCCTAGGAAAAACACGTAGGACGTATATAAGGCCCATGCCAAGATGGACTCGATGATCTATAGGATCCTTGAAATTAAGCAAAAGCTCTTTACTCCTTGTTTTCCCTCCTCTTCTTCCTGAAGTTCAGTTTCTTCGTCGATTTACACTTGTTTAATCGATATTCATCGCCACTAGGAATTGGGGCTGTGTGCAGATGCCAAGAGAGCAGGTGCCTCAGAAAAAGGCTATGATCCAATGATTCACTTCCACATAGCTTGCAGGAGGAGTACTGCGGTCCGTACGGCAGTCCGTGCGGCAATTGGGTGACAGCGGGTGATTCTCGCCCAGCTTCTCACCCTGTCTATAACCAACTCACCCTGCTCACCCCCTGTCGCGCGACATAAGAGCGGCGCTCACCTATTACCCACCCGGGTAGCACCCACCTGACTACTGGCCGCGCTTAAGCCACACGCCGGTGAGTTAGTAGTTGGGTGACCACCAGCGAATCCTCACTGTTGTATGTTTTTTGCTTTTCGTTTTTGCTTTTCGTTTCCGTAACAAAAGACATTTACAGTTTCAGTTCGGTCGTCTCTATTTTATCCGGCCTTCCTCTTATTTCTACTTAGTTTTCACCCCCTATGACCTACACCGGATCCCAAGAAACGCACTCGATTGCACTAGGAACAATTTATTTAGTAGATATGATATCCCATAGAAACCCCCCAGTGAGGGTCAGCGGAATAAATATCTATAATGCTCCGCTACAAGACCTGTGGAATCTTACGGAGAAACAGGAGTTTAATTAAATCCTAGACTAATTTTAAGCAATTGCTCTGAGGCAGCTTTCAATTTCTACCCCGTATCCATATACAAATGGTGGCGCGACCCGGCACATGCATCTCACTAATTAGCGAGATTAAATCTTCTCACTGATCTTGATGGCGGTTCTGCATCCCAAGCGAATGATATCAACGAGCGGATCGTAAGGCTTCGCCTCCTTCGAGTCGTTGGCCACGGCATGATCGAGATGCTCTAGTTCCTCGTCACGAATTCGCCGCAGTGTGGCCAGCATTTCCTTGAGTTCCTCATCCAACTCCTCTCCCCACCTCTCGGCATCTGCCTCCCAAGACAGGATCTCTCTTACTTGGTCGTTGTAGTGTGATCCAATTTCAGTCTCTACAGCTTCCGTACACGCCATTGCAGCTTCGCGACCCAATGCCGCAGTGGACCAACCCAAAAATGTGGCAGCTATCTCCCATGCCGGATACATAGCGGTCGGGCGGATACGATGTTTGGTAATGAGATGATTGAAGGTCTTGAGGTGCCCTGCTTCCTGGTCGTACATGTGTTTCATCAAGGGTCGGAGGTGCGGGTGTGAGCGGACGATCTGAGGCGTTTGCGCTTTGTAGATCAGTGTCGCGGCAAGTTCACCAGCTTGATTCACTCGCAAAGCACTGTTCATGAACTCTCGTTGCTCTTTGCTAAGAACATATAGAGGCTTAGAGCCACCGACGGTGCCGGCATTTGTTGAAGCCTGTCGACATTGGCCATGCTTAGATGTTGAAGAAACGAGGAAATGGAGAAGTAGAGGAAGTGTTGTAGGTGCAGATTGACTAGAATGCGACAAGGCGCACCTGCGTAGAATTGGTAAAGGCAACATCAAGAAATTAAATGGATACTAATGAAGCCCAATTCAAAACACACAGCTCAGAGGTCACGTATTGGTCGCTTAGACCGCCTTGGCGCTGCCGCGCGCCTATCATCAGCTTGGCATTGAACGTCATGTAGTTGACGGCAAAGGCCAACTTGCGACGACAGTCTACGCGCTTTTTACGATATCCTCCATAACGTCCTCCCTTCATCCCGTGTATAGAGTGTTTTTCGAGCTTGGGGCTTTACTTCGTCCAGAACGGAAGTTTTGGACCACCTTTTGCAAGCCTTGCCTGCTTCTCCAAATTTGGAACAAGTCCTGGAAAGGAGAGAACAAGTCCATAGGAGTGCGAAAACTCTTGTTGCCCCAGGGCTGTTGAATGCTTATTGACATATAGGGCTCCTGTTCGTTGAGTTCCATTGAAGGTTTACCTGTATTGAGAGAAATTCACAATGGCGGACGATTTGGATGCTGAGCTGCTCGCTTTGGCGGGTGACTCTGAGGAGGAAACTTCACCACCCCCCAAATCACCAGCACACTCCGCTTCTTCACATGTCCAAGATCGAGATACCTCACCTGCAGTCATGGGTCGCAAAGGAACTGCCAAATCGGTAGGACGCCGATCCCGCAAGTCCACGAAAGATGAATCAGAGGGTGAAGTGTGAGCAGTTCCCCTGCATTTTGATACTGAAGAGTCTCACTGACTGGAAAATCTATACAGGTCTGACGATGGATCTCGTCACTCGCTTCAGTCTGCCCCCATGTCTGAGTCCGAGTCTGAGGCCGACAACTCCGACACGAACGACGAGGATCGCCCCATTTTCCCATATGACAAGTTGTACTACTCGGCCCAGGACAAAAAGGATATCATGGCTATGCCTGAAATACAGCGCGAGGAAACCTTGTCCGAACGTGCCCAGCAAGTCGATCGCCATAACCAGGATCTGGCTCTACGCCGCCTTCTAGCATCTCGCTCGCGCGAGGAAGCACGAGCGGCTAAGAAAGCCAAACGAAAGGCAGGTTCTGCCGGCTTGGATGATAATCAGCGCAAGAGCTCGCGCCAGAAGACCACTCTTGGTGGCCGCAAAGTGGGAGAAACGTCCGGAGCCATCGAGGCATACAAGCGCCAGCGTGAGCAGAAGGGCAAGAGGGATGAACTTCGTCGCAGAGACCCTACCAAATCGCGCCGCCGTTCGCGCTCCATGGGATCAAATATCTCCGATGAAGATGCTGATGCAGAGAGTGATCTTGAATTGGAAGACCGTGTTGGCCATTCTGTTTCCGTTCCCAAGGATGACCCGCCCGCCGAACTTCGTGAAATCCGACGAGCTCAAGTTGGACGTAACAACTTTGCCAAAGTTTGCTTCTACCCTGGATTTGAGAACGCCATGATCGGCTGCTACGCTCGGCTGAGCATTGGCCCGCACCCCGATAGTGGCCAGAATGAATACCGCCTGGGCCTGATTACTGGTAAGAATTTTTGCCGCCTCGCTTCCATATGCATGCTGACATTTCTCTAGGAATCTCTCAGGGGAAGCCATACGCTTTGGAGGGCGAAAATGGTCGCTCATTTGTCACGGATCAGTATGTCAAGCTGGCACACGGAAAGGCTGTCAGAGACTTCCCATTCGTCACTTTCTCCAATTCTCCCCTTACTGAGGTTTGTTCCTTTCCCTCGAATCTTGTAAGCCAACTAACAGTCAACTAGGCCGAGTACCGCCGTTACGTTCAGACCCTCACTGTTGAGGATTGTAAGCTCGCTACAAAGGGCAAGGTTGAGTCAAAGGTCGCCGACATCAACCGTCTCCTCAACCATACGTTCACTCGAGAGGAATTGAACGAGAAACTCCGTCGCCAAGGTGCTTTCGACCAAAAGAAGAATGTGCTTAATCGTCTAGAACTTGAAAGAAATTTGGAATATGCCAAGGTCAATGGAAATATGGAGGAAGCTGAGAAGATCGAGGCAGAATTGCAGAAAATAGTCAATCCGACCTTGTCCTGGGGAACAAGCCTTGTGAAGAAAGAGATCGACAGGGGTCCATCGGAAGCCGAACGAGTCCACCAGATCAACATCCGCAATCAGAAGCTTAATATTGAAAACGTCCGCCGTGCTCAGCTCGAGGAGAGGAAGGCAGCTAAGAAGGCAGCCGAGGCTGTTGCACGCGGAGAGGCTGCCCCAAATCCCTTTATGCGCGTGCGAACAGTGGCTAAAACTCACCACGATCTCAGCGGACCGCCGAAATCCGCTGCTGCCGACGCTGCTTCTGCCGAGAATCCAAAGAATACATCAAGTACCGCAAAATCCAACGGCAGTCCCGCACAAAAGGGAACTGCGGCCTCTCGCATCACTCCAAATAAGCCCAAGAACGGCTTCATGATTAGTTACCGCAACACCGATGATGAGAACATTGCAGCCCTGGATATGGACATCGACATCGAGATTTAATTCATCCACGAATGCCGTTTTGTCACATGCTTCAGGTTTCTGGCTTTTGTTCGGCTGGCCGATTTCATAGACAAAATTGTCTGGTTCTGAGATTCCACGATTCTCCTGAACAACCCTAATTTCTCAAGCACCACTGGCGGTGATTAACTCAAGGAGTCACCTGCGTTTTAATTGTATGTTATGCTTCGTTCAATCGTTTTTTCTTACGCGCCATTTGAGGAGTCCGTGGGTGATCTCGGTGTCCGTTCAGAAAACATTATCTAGCTTTGTATTATGGGAATACCCGTGGACAGCATGAACAACACTCCCAATCTTTGTTAGCAGCGCAGCATTGATCTACCGGAAGAGATATTTCCAACAGAATCACACAAAATCCCCACCAAAAAAGATCAAAAAGAGAAAAAAATCACTTGCACAATGCTCATTTTCAAAGTTGCTTGCAACGGCCAATTAAAGTCCGATTCGTAGATAAATTATGCGATAAGATAAGGTCACGTGTTTGGCCCAGCCACGCGAGGAACGCGCATCGCATTCAGACTATGCGCTCTTGAACCTGTCGTCCACTCCACCTTGTTCTGGGCTCTGGAAGTCCTTAAGGTCACCTCTTAGTACAATCGAAATCGCCATGGAAAATTCGTTCTAAAACCTACCATAATTCTCCATAATCTTCACGAGATGTCCTCACCATCCACGCCACGGTCGACGCGTTCCGTGTCGCCCGCGGGCGATTCACCGAACATTATTACGCCCGGGCAGAAGATTAAGGCTTTGATGGCGGAATTCGATAGCGACTCGGAAGATGATCCCCAAATAGCCAAGTCAACAGATGCTGTCTCGAAGCTTGATCTAGGGCGTGATTTGGTTCCAGACTCGGACACATGCGAGAATGGCCCATTGCACGACTCAGAAGACGACTCAGGCAGCGCAGATGAGGTGTTCAAACCGAAAGGCCGTATGGCTGCTCGTTTACAAGGTAATTCTAGACCAGCTAGATCCGAGAACGAAAAATCGGCATTTGTTCGCGTGTCAAAGGCCATCCGATTAGAAAGAGAAAAGGACGAGACGCCCCGGCAGACAGAACCACCTTCCACGTCCATCAGCGAATCTCGCGATGGTAATGACGATCTACCTAACGCTGGCCCTAGGAGAAGACATAAATCCACAACCAAGTCTCCCATAGCCGAGAACAGAACAAGCCAAACCCCTCCCCGTTCCAGACCCGACTCTCCTCTCTTTGTTTCCTCTCCGGGCGAACCACATAATGATCCAGACTCCGGAAATGAGAACATGAAAAATGCTGCGGAGAATAAGCCCAAAGGAAACGCTCGTTTCCTGTCCCTTGTCGCTCAAAAACGCAAGGAACGCGAGGAGCGGGAGAAAGCTGAGGCCGAAAGGAAGAAGGCCATCCGAAGAGTTCGGTTGGAGCAGTTTAGCTCGGAGGTACTCTCGGGTGAGGAGAGCGACGCTGATGATCCACGCTCTGCGAGCAAGCTTTCTCAGAAGACTCGTCAGCCCCGGAAAGCCAGCAAGAAGGCATTGGATGAGATGAGGCAGGAGACTCAGCGAATGAGTCGTAACATGCAACTAGCTCACCAGGCCAAGACAAAGAAGAAAATCACCAAGGAAAGCCTCTTCGCCAAATTCAACTTCATGCAACCCGCCACCCCGGTCGAGCAGCTCGCGGCAAATACATCGTCAGCAGTCGGATCACTAAACTCCTCCGATGGAGAACTGCTCATCAAAGCCAAAGATACACCCCATACTTTTCCGGTTCTCGGCCATTTGGATGCTACTAAGTGGACCGCTGATTCTGAGCATGCCCAAGTTCAAGCAGCTGATGTGGATATGGATGCGGACATTGGAATTTTGCCTGCCCCAAAAGACCTCATGGTGCCTAATCAGCAATCTGCGTTATCCAAGGCCCCTGAATTCCAAGATGTCTTGATGTCTGTACCTGAGCCAAAACCCGAGGGTGCCAAATTGAAGAGAGTTTCGCGCCCACTAACACAACCACCTATCCGCGTGCTGCTTTCCAGACAAGCGGTGGCTGCGCATCGGAAAGATTCCGACGATTCCGATAGCGATCTTGAGGTGGTGACATCCCCTGGCAAGTGCCGTCGCATTGCAGCGTTTGAGAACCTGCCTACTAGGCAGTTGCATGAAGACCCCTCCATGACCAAGCTCAAGGCACTCGCACACCTAACATCTCCTACCCGAAAAACAGCTTATATGAACTCCGCAGAGCTTTCCGCAACTCTACTATGGCGGGCCCGACAGCAAGCGGCCAAGGAGCGCCGAGAGCGCATTGAAGAGCTCAGGGCCAAGGGAGTGGTCATTGAAACGGCCGAGGAGCGTGCAGCGATGGAGGATGACATGGAAAATCTTGTTGATAAAGCACGGAAAGAGGCAGATGAAATCCGCCGACTGGAGAAAGCTGCTAGGAAGAAGAGCAACAGTGACGATGATAAAGAGGATAATGACTACGAGCTTTCTGGCTCTGATCAGGAGGGTGTTAGTGAAGGAGACGATGAAGATGATGAAGAGGAAGAAAATGAGCGTGTCAATTATGGCGGTCATCTTCTCGAGCAGGAGGCCGACAAAGACGACGATTCGACTGACGACGATAGTGCGGTGTCTCCTTCAGATGCAGAGAAGGAGATGCCTACTGTGAGACGGAAGCGACGAACTCGCGTGATTAGCGACGACGAAGACGAAGACCAACCACAACTACCCTCAACGCCTGTGAGAGCCCCGACTTTTGTCCCGCAGTCCGCCGAACGACCCAACTTTCTTGGTATGGGAACACCAGGCGATATGTCTCTAAGTCTTACCCAGGTATTCGCCTCCACATTGGATGGCAGTGGCGCCGGTACACAAGCGGAATGTGCCACCATACCCTTCTCTCTCCCAGACCCTGTTCGGCATGTCCCTCAACTTCGAAAGGAGGAATCGGAGATTCTTGTTCCTGACAGCCAGCCCCAGCCCCAGGACAAAGACTTTATGGAGGGCTACGCACAAAGTGTGACCCGAGTATCAGAGTCGCCTGCATCATATGCCTTCTCGGAGCATTCCCAATCCCAGCTGCCCGACCCAACCCAGGATGAGGGCTTTGTATTCTCACCATTTGACCCCGCAAAAAGGTTCAGGGGCACCCCGCCTATGTCGACCGTCGACACAGTTCTCGTGGGTCAACCCCAGTCGCCCATTGCTGATCGCAAGCGCAAAATTTTGCGGCGAGGACGTGCAACTGATCTCTCTCAAGTCGACGAGAACGATAATGAAGGTGACTTCGAAATCGATGCCAATGCCTTCAATGTCATGAAGAAGGATAAGGTTGTGAAGAAGAAAACCCCTGCCCCCCAGTACGACAAGAAAAACAGCAAGGCAAAAGACATTGTCGATGAGGCTGCCGAAGAATCCGAAGATGAATATGCAGGCCTTGGAGGTCACAGTGACGAGAGCGATGGCGAAGAAAATGCTATTGATCGCCAAATGATTAATGACAACAGTGGCGAGGTGGTTGATGAGAAGCAACTTGCCGCACTCAATGCGTACGTTGAGAGTTTGGTACACGTTCAAAGAGAAGATGCTAACATTCTCATAGGGTCCATGATCGCAACCGCGACGAGAAAGATGTCGCCAAGTTGATGAGAGATATCACAACTGGAGCTCTCCGACGTCGCAAGAATGCGGGTGATGACTTTGACCTCGACGACTCAGACGATGAGCACCTAGCACGTCGCCGTGAGAAGCAACGCGAGTTCGCTAAGATGCGCCGTGCTCTCCTTGCAGACGAGAAAATCGGGGAGATTGCCCAGAACCCCAAAAAGGCCGCATTCTTCAAGGCCGTTGAGGATCGCGAAGTTGATGATGACTTCAATATCGACTTCCTGGAGGAAGAAGAGGATGGCTCCCAAGGGGGGACAATGCAGGACCCCGCTTCGGGAGAACAGTCGAACAATTCGCTGAGCGATGGTCAAATCCGCAAGCGCCCTCTCGAACCGTCGGCGGAAGATAGAACCAACCGTCCGTCAGCTCGCCTCCGTCGCACCCCCGCCAGCGCAATGTCAAAGAAACCAGCTACCATAGCAGAGATTCGTGAAACGTTGTCCTTCCTTACTGAAACCCCTGAGTACGACTCCTTCCAGGACGATGCTTCTCTCGATGTTGCAGGACACGAACAAGACGACGGAGACACTCCCGGCACTGAAAAAGGCGACGATGGTCAAGCGCAATCTGACAATACCTTCGTCAAACCCAGCCACCCACGCCGCACGCGCGGAGTCGTGGTCGACCGCCTTGCCCTCCTCCGACAAGCATCCTCCAACTCCGCCACAGGCACCAACTCTGGCTCTGCAAACTCAAAGCTTGCATTCCACAGCGGTAGCGGCGGAGAGGGTCCTATTGGATTCCGCCCTCCTCAACTTCTGCGTCGTGTTACAACTGGCTCTTCATCGTCCAGCAGCTCGAGTGCCTCCAACCGCGTCTCCAAGGCCGCAGCTTCGGGTCCCAAGAAGGGCGGTGCTGTCAACTCATATACAGCTGCACGTGAACGTGAGCGTGAGAAGGAGCTTCGCATCAAGCAGCGCAGCGGAGGATCCAACATTGCGAAGCTGCTGGGTAAGCACACTGGTAGTGGTTTAGGTGGCCTGGATAAGGGCCAATGGGAATAAATGGATGCCCGATGAGTTGTGATGTTTTTCCTTTCTGCGTGGGAGCAGGGTTGTCTTTTTAATATTATGCTATGATGGGATGGGATTGGTTTCTCGGAGTCAGAGAGCACATGTGGATTTTGGGCAGTAGGTAGTTTGTTCGTAATAGTACATATTCCAAAATATTTCGATTGCACGGTTCTCTGTTGATCTTTCTAGGGGCCAAGATTGAGGAATCCACGTACAACGTAAATTTCTTGACAATAGGGCAAAGTATTAATGGGTCCTCGGTAGATCCAGTTCTACTGAGAATCGACAAAAAAGATGTGCATCATCCGTGAATCGAACACGGGCCTCGTCGATGGCAACGACGAATTCTACCACTAGACCAATGATGCTTAGAAACCGAGTGGATCTGCAAGCTGATTCGCTGGTGATGGAGAATAACTCCCTCTTGAAGTATAAGAGGAGACTGTGCCACAACACGTAAGCATGCAAGCCTTTTGTCGAGCTCAAACCGCGGACCGCCTCACCAAAGCAATAACATTTTGGCCGAACAAGAGCAGTAAACCCAAGATGTTTGCGATTTTTAATGGCATCGTGATCAAACAACATGCCCAAAAGTCCGTATATACGGCAGCCCTAGAGCCTCTTCTCACAAGGTGCAAAATGTGCCACGGTTTCTGAGCAGGACGGAGGGACATCAATGTGGACTATACGGATATCCAATTCTTTTGTTCTTATAGTAGAATCCTCAGTCATCCTTGACGCCTAGACTTCCACCTTGCATGATCTTCTGGAGATATTCCACGACTCTCCATACCATTCCGAGTTTCGGTGTAGTGATTATCAATGCCCACCACAACATCCAAGTCGACAACATCCACATATTCAAGTGGGCTCTTGAACATCTTCAAAGTGTCTTCGAAGAGGTTGTCAATTTCTTTGGGGTATGACAACACCTTCAAGCAATGTTAGAAGAGCCTCTCGCTTGATAGCAGCCTATGTTCTTGAAGATTGTAACAGGCCTGGTCTTGCAGAAAGATGGAAAGAAAAAACACATTCCTGTTGCTTACGTAGCCGATAAAGTCTCTTTTGACGTGGAAAGGCGAGAATCGATAATCTTCACATTTCTCTAGGACTAGATCAATTAGCTTAGGATCGCTATCCTTGTGGCCCATCCTTTCAATTGCCGATTTTCAGAGTAGCCAAATTTAAAAAAACAACTGACCAATACTGGGAATAGATCTTAATGGATGTCTCTGGCTGTAGAAGTCAGGTATTATCATTAAGCCAAAAAAACTACGAAATCAAAGGGTTCAAAAAAAAGGTCAAGAACGGCGCATGTATCTTATTGGATTTCGTGTGGTTCACTTAAGAAAGTCTGAGCATCGAGAATTCACGCATTGATCAATAAGAACTCCATGGGAACTAACCTTCAATGTTCGAATTACTGTCATAGTGAATGTATAGAACAACCAGACTACAGAGTTGATTGCAGGCAAAATTCGGTATGGCGTAGTAGTGGAGATTGCCGTACACGGCATTGTGTGGTTGATCGCTGCCTTATTAAAATAGGGATGTAGAAAGTCTCGAAAGGGTCTGGTTAATCCAGGTCCTGATTAGAAGCTCGCTTCTACCAAAAAAGCCCGAATGGCAGAGAGAAAGGTGATGTGTGGTGTGTTTCAGGGAGCGAAGCACCATATTAAGGTGCCTGAGCGTGAAGGGCGCAGACTCATAATCTACCAAGAGCTTCAGATGATTCGTTGTGTCAGTTTGGGGCATTAAGTGTTATTGGTGTCCCAGAGCCCAGGGAACTTCGATGTTATGCTCTTGACTTTTGGTTCGATTAAGATCGTCGATGCTTGAATGTGATCAAGTTCAACTGCGTATCTGCCACTTATTGACATGTGCTGTTATGGGAAAAGCTCCAATTTATCAGCCAACTTCAAGAGATCTTGGAGTTGCTTCGCTTTGAAGTCCTCGGTAGCAAGAGAATCTCGAGGAAGCCAGTAGCTCTCCCAGCCTGCATCCCTTGCAGCTCGGTAATCCTTTTCAAGATCATCCCCGACATGCACAGAGATAAATTTTGTTCTGCTGGTCAGCCATGGGCGGGCGACCTTGAGAGCCTGCCGTCTCGTCACGTCAAAGATCAAGCGATCAGGTTTCTCTTGGCCAGCCTCATAACTCGTAATGACCATATCAATATCAAGTTCCAAGTTACGGTCTGTAGGATCTCGGTTGTGTTCCCCGGCGGCATCTTTGTTCATATCTCGCCCCTCGAATCCGGGAAGATCCATACTCGATTGGTCCTGGTCGGCGCGCATCTGACCGACTGTTAACCCCAGCGACTTCAGCACAGCGGCGACACGGTCATCCGAGTTGGATATCACCCCGACAATGATCCTATCAAACGACCACTTATGAGCAGACTTGAGCTTTCGCATTCGGCGGAAGAAGGGTAGCACATCGTCATAGAGCGCGTACCCCTCCGGGCCAGCAAATCGATCTAATAGGGCTTCCACCATGCCATCGGGGATATGGTCTTTGGAGTCTTCAGAATGCTTCTCCACGTCCCCTGTAGACAAAACACGCCTGAAACTCCCCCTAATCACCTCCTCCCACCACTGCCTCGGCCCCCCGTATTGGCCTCGAAGAACATCCGTGCGACCGTAATTCGGGTATTGCTGCATCTGTGCACGAAACGCAGCCTTGAATGCGGGTTGGAGTTTGTCCGGGGTGACGGTAGTGCGCGATAATCCGAATTCGTATGCGGTTGCGGCATATTGCTCTGGGATGGGGAGACGCGGGTGGAAGAGGGTGCCGAACGCGTCGAGAGTGAGGAGAAGAGTACGTGAAGACGCCGGTATAAGGCGGGTAACTGGGGTAGACATTTTGTGTCTGGACTAGAGGAGTAGAATAATCTTGATATAATGGGTGTTGGAGGTGTTGAGTCTCGCGCCCTATGTTGTATAGCATTAAGCAACAGTTGGCCCCACTCTTTTGTTGACTTCCCCCTTATCTTCTCGTGACATCCTCAAGGCGGAATTTACGAAACTCTCAAGATTTCATATATTGGCGTCAATACTAACAACTGAGGATGTTTTGAACATTGCTCATATTGTGTGACTGGTTATACACAGGTTAAACTCAAAACACAAGCGAAATAACATCGTCACGCATGACATCAGGTTCTATGCTGCACTTTTGGTGCATGTCTTCAACTAGCGCTCCATTGATTTAATCCAGTCGAGAAAGCCTACCTCTCTGTTGAAGATCATGAGGGGAGATTTACTAGCAAAGACTTACAGCGAAAAGTTCATGTAAAGGTTGAACGTTAGATATATATAAGCAACATGCGAATGGGTTTCCGACAGAGGTATCGGATCACGCGACTTTACTAGTGCCTCTGCACTCGTGTTTTAAGCTTTGTCTAAATCGATTAATCGAGATTGTTATGTACGACATAACTGCCTTTTACCCCTATATCATAGCTATGCCGGAAGATCCTCGGACTGGATCCACTCATGACTGTTCGAATGAATGCCTGCACTGTGAGAAGCACCTGATTACCTAACCATTCGCCAAATTGTCTCGCGTGACAGCGCAAAAATCTATGTCACCTGGGATATGAAACGAAGAATCCGGTTCATAAAATCACAACTTCGCATATCCGACGGAAGAAACTGGTGGTTCAGCCTATTGTCGGCGTTAATGCCATCGCTGAATTTCTATGACAGATCTGAGTCTCGCCAATCCTGTGTGGCTCAGCATGTCCAAAGCAACAGTGGGAACTGGGCACTAGATAAATGAGCAAACTTTATTCGAGGCAAGTACTCCGTATAAGCTTTGAATTTGAAATCCTCAGGGCCACCGAAGGCTGTTCTTAGGCAACGACTTCCACAGGGCGAGGGTACCTGATTGCGTGAAGTGGGTCCTGTGATGTGATTCTGCTTAGCATATGCTTGGTAAGTGTTGAGGTGTGGATGATATCCACCTGGGCACTATCCACTTGGGCACTAGTAATCTACTTAGCACTCTTGGAAGTATTCTAGAACTAGATTGCAGTATTCAAGTGCCCAGCATATGTGACGGTGGCTGAGCGAGACAGAGAGTTTGATAAATTTCCCACCATTCTCAATGCCTCGTAGAATGCAGGAATGAAACCCCAAGAATCATATACCCTATATACAACTATCAAGGTTGATTTGTCTCTCCGTCAGCATCAGAACCGGGAAAACGCTCTCCCGGGAGAAGAAATGGATACCGATGACCGTTTCGGCATGGTCGACCCGAGAAGTGAAGTGGAGGCAGGTTTATTTAAGTCTGAGACTTCTCAAACCGGGCAATTTGGTATTTCAATGTTCAGGGCCAACATATCCCATTGGGTACACTCCGTAAAATCTGATTTTTTTTTTGGTAGTTTAAAGGCATATGGACGACCTATGTACAGAGAACGTATTCCTTTCGCTGTGCTGGCGAAAAGCTCAGACGGAAAGTTGGATTTGGATCAGAAAATCCCCTGAGGGAAACGAAGTGTTCTTATCTGATCGCACTATACCTGATCGGTGAAATTTGAAGAAATTAAACCCCTTAGCCATGTTTCACCATGTTTCTGTCCCATGCCAAGTCTTTAACTATTGATCCACTGGGCTCAACTGGATGGGTGCGATTGACTTGCTGCGAAACAGTTATAATGGCCAACCCCCTATCCTGACAAGGGCCATAAACTGAGATTTCGTGAAATCTTATTCCTCAGTCAACGGCAAAATGAGAGTCTTCTATGCTGGCCCTCTCGCTATTGCTCTCTCTGTGTTTACAGGAGCTGCCTCTGCTTCCGTCTTTCAGAACCACACTTATGACTATATTGTAGTTGGAGGTGGCCCGTCCGGTATCATCAGTGCCGAGAAGTTCGCTCATGCAGGAAAGAAAGTTCTGCTCCTTGAGCGAGGTGTCGGACCAACTGTGGCCACCGGTAACAATGAGACCCTCCCATGGGACCACTCGTTGACTCCCATCGATCTTCCGGGACTGTCAGCCGATATCGGGGCGCTCGATGTCTGGAACCAGTACATCTGCACCGACACTGCTGGCACTGCTGCCTGTGTGCTCGGTGGTGGTGTGACGGTCAATTTCATGGTCTTCGTTCACCCGCCAGCCCACGACTTTGATGATAAATGGCCCAAGGGCTGGAAGTGGAAGGACGTTGAGTCGGCTGCACACCGACTCTACAAACGCAACCCCGGGACCACTCTGTCCTCTGCCGACGGCAAGCGATATGACCAGGGTCTTTATACTGTGCTGTCCAAGTTCTTCGGTGGTCTGGGTTGGAAGTCGGTGGATATGATCACTGAGCCGAATGAGAAGCACCAGATCTACAGCTACCCGGCCTGGAACTTGAAGAATCAGATGCGTGCTGGCCCTGTTCGCACCTATCTCCCTGATGCTGTCAAGCGGCACAATTTCCACCTCGCTCTCCAGACCAAGGTGATTCGCTTGGTCCGTTCCGGTAGTCATGTAACTGGTGTCGAGATCCAGACTGCCTCGGGCCACTCCGAGATTATCACCGTTGCTCCCCACGGTCGTGTGGTGCTGGCTGCCGGCGCTCTGTCTACTCCTCGTCTGCTGTGGAACTCTGGCATTGGTGGCAAGGCCCAGATCGAGACTGCGAAGAAAAGCGGTGTTGCCGTTCCTCCCAAGGCTCAGTGGATTGACCTGCCTGTCGGTGTCGGTCTCATGGACCACCCCATTTTCCCGATCACCTTCAACACCAACGCCTCATTTGGTCTCGTTGACTACGAAGGGGTCCTTACCGGAACCGACTCTCGCGATATCTCCCTCTACCGCAACCACAGCGGTGTCCTGGCTCAGGGCAAGCACCGCCTGATTTTCTTCACCTCGGAGGACGTTGATGGCCACACTCAGTACTACCAAGGATCGTGCGCCCCTACAGATGAGGGAGTTGTAACCATAACCGCGTATATGACCCACGGCCTCACCTCGTCCGGTGTCCTGGGGCTTGATGCCAGCGGAAATACCGTCATTGAGAAGTCGCCCTACCTCCAGACCTCTGCTGACCGGAAGGCCGCTCGCACTTTTCTTCAGAAGATGGTCAAGGACATCACCGCCCCCTCCACTGGGTTTGAGCTTAAGACGAACACCAATGTCTCGGCCATCTTGAAGGCCCAGACCCCTGGTATACACTACACTAGAACTGCAAAGATGGGTACCGATGATGGCCGTAAGAACGGAACTTCCGTTGTCGATACCAATACCAAGGTTTATGGAGTGGATAACCTGGTAAGTGGCATGGAAATTATTTTGTTTCTCGAAAGATGATGCTAATCCCCTCGTCATAGTTCATTGTCGATGCCAGTATCCATCCAGATCTCCCGACTGGTAACCTTCAAGCCACTGTCATGGTGGTTGCTGAAGCCGCCGCCGCTAAGATTTTGCACTACAAAGTTGGTTATTGAGAAAAGAGGCGATCAGTGAAGCTTGAGAGCCCGTAAAGTCATGAATTTCCGCAACCCCACCGGACAATGTATTATATGTAAACGTTTCACCAATATAGAATATAGACAGGCATATCATCTTGAAACTTACGGAGTATAATCCGTCCCAATGGGCAAATCCAAACTTGTCGAAACAGATGCCAACCGCCACTTTTTCCAATGCTACCCCTGAGTTCCCCGGATCCGTTCCAAGTTTGAATTTTCAAACTCAACTGCTTTGGACTTTCTCTCCTGACTTTCTTTTCTGTCTTTTTGCATTGAACAATTCCGATTCACATATTTTGGGACTCTTGTCCCTCCCTTGACCCCTATTAATCCTCCAAGCATACCTGTTGCGATAATCAAATCATCAGCAATACTTCATCCTGCAATTTTCTGGCAAACAAAAGTCTCACCGCAACTATCGGGCACCAAGGCCATGGCCCCACTGGACTATTTGACATTATTTAACCCTCTGTGGAGCACTAAGATTCAAACCAGCGTCAATACTGCCCACGTGGAGTCTAACCATCTTTGTACGAGATCTTCTGGAAGACTGCTGATCTCAAGGAACCTTTAGAGGAGACCGCCAATCATTGGCCATTCGATCAACAAGGTTGGTACCAACCGTGTCGATCCCTAGTTGACTCACAAGGTTTGAGCAGCCAAGAAGGCTATGTTATCGCTTCATCCTGACAGTTTGAGTGGAATCCCCCGGCTTTTGTTTAGAGCCCAGTGGATGATTCGAAAAGTGACCAAAAAGATGGGCTTACGCTGAAGCTTATAGCGGAGTTGAAACTTTGCGCCCCAGCTAATCTCATATGGCGGCGGCTTTGTTGGCCATTCAGCGAACGATGCCGTCACCTAAATGACCCAGGCAATCGTCCATCTCCTCTCCAGCCTCGACTTTGGAGAGGTCGGCAGCCTTCTTGGCTCTAGTGTTGGTGGCCTTGATTCCATCATCAGGAAACTCAAGCACGCCGAACCCTCCCCCCAAAACGTTTTCTCCCTTACTCATCCCACTCTCCTCGGTCTTCTTAGCGGCCTTGATCTCTCCACTGTTCCGAGCCTTGTCGGCAACGTAGTCGCTATGCCTCCCTCCGTCTCCAAGCTCAAGTCAAAGATTCCCAATATCACTGGTGCTGACTTTATTGCTGTCAAGACTGAGAAAAAGGCTTCCGTCCGTCTGATTAAGGTTGACGGCACTGCCATCGACTCCGTCCCCTCCTGCACCAAGGGTGCTCTCTCTTTGTAAAGTTTCCACCCTTGATAGGCTGATCTTTCTATTCTGCCATTCACAAATGAGCATTTTTTTCATTGATAGAATATGAAATTGTGATTTGCTTTGGACTTAGCCGATTCAACAAGGACCAACACACTGGTCCCTTCCACCTACTTCTTCCTGGGCATCAGAAAGTTTTTAAACACTCTACACAACCCAGAAAAACGGTATTTACATCTGAGTTCCGCGAATTATTGTCCAAAATGGCAAGTCTGAGAGGAAGGGGATCCACACTAGGTCACTTAGCTGTGCATTCCACCCCAGTAACTCTCTTCACTCTCATCGTATGGATTTGAAGCATCCTTGCACTGAGGGTTATTATAGTCCTGGATCGAACCCATGGGCCAAATAGGCACGACACAAATCTCATTCGCTGCACAGCCCCGGCACTCCTTCCACGTCGCCCAGTCAAGATAAAGAACCAGATTTTGAATAATCTGGACCGCAGAATCAAGCCCCTTCTCCTTCCTAGCCTCAATCAAAGACGAGCAGATCCTGCGAGCAACACCGTGAACAGCCTGCGCTGCAACATCCCCATCTTCCAAAGATGACGACGACAAGAACTGAGTCGCACAACGCTCAATCTCAGCGACATCATCTCGCTCACTATAGTCAACAAATGGAGACAGAACACGCTCAATCTCGGCGTAGAGATGCTCAATTGAATCAATGCTACCGGAAACAAAGTATGACAGCTCCTTGCTGTACCGAGTCACGACCATATCCGTAATCGCCTGCTAGTCCTCGCTGGCATCGGCAGGATTCTGTGTCATGATCATATTCGTGACTTCGCTACGAATGAAAGCGCGACTCACAGGAGAGACGCTGGTAAGTCGGGGCAGGGTCGAATTGTCTTGGAACAGCTCTATGTTGTGAGAGAAGGCTGTCACAAAGTGGTTGTAGTTCAGTGAGACCCGATTTCCACCGATTCCGTTATAGTGTGCGGTGATAGCACGCATCCATCGCGACAAATTGGGGTTGCTTCCAGGTCCACCACGGCCATGTCCCTTTCGAACATCCTCTTCATTTCTTGGACTATGACCGCTGTGGTACTTGCCATCACCCTCTTTGCGAGGATCATCCCGGTCGCCATGGTTACGGTTACCTGGATGCCCACGTTGTGTCTCCGAGCTCTGCTTGGCCTGCGTGATTCGCACGGGAGTTAGATCACGCTCAAAGTCACATAGGATAATTTCAAAGCCGGCTTCCATGCGTAGCACGCCGTCAATGCGACCTTCCCATTCATTCTCGGCCATCTTGCAAGCCAGTCTGGCACGCTCGCTCTCTTGATCCATACCCCAACTCAGAGACTCGTCGAATGCGCCGCTGAACAAAATTGCATCCTGAGAATCAAGCGTGCCTTTCGATGTTTTGGCAGCAGACATACCGTCAAGATATAAAAGGCGGAGATCCTTGGCTGCAACGTACGTATGCACCTATACGTACCGGATTTTCCCTGGTGGGTGGAGATTTCCTATTTGGGCTGCCGCCGCTTTAATGAGGGTGCTCAGGCTCAGGCTCTCAGAGTAGATATCAGCACGAGCTCAGAATCAGTGATCAGCTCAGAGCAGTCACGTGTATGATGACTGATACTATGTAAATGCTCATTGGATGCTCACTGATTACTCCGTGTCCAATCAGTGAGCAACTCTGATCACTCAGACCACCACAGACCATACCTTTAATGGACCAGCCCCACAGGGTCGTCTATACTGCGATGTTTAGTTCGTAGATAGCATCGCGATCGCCCTCATTTTCTGAACCCTGCCCATCTCATCGAGGAGATACGTCATTTTCATGGGGCGCAAGAGATAGTGAAGGGCTGCCTCTGTTTCATGATGCTGCGGTCAAAGGTTCTTTCTGAATTCTCACTGTGGCTCGAGCTCAAATCTCAAATATAAAAGCAAACCATGTCCCAGCCCAGTACGTTGATTATTCACACGCCTACGCTTTCGGCGCCTTTTGCTCAGTACTTTGAGCCAAACCAGTCTCATTTGCCCGAATACCCTCCCCCCTTGTGGCACCGCACTTGATCACGGGCAGAAAAGAGTTTTTTGCTGAGCGCGATGAGATTGCGAAGGAGAGACGTCGTCTCCAACGGGAAAGAAACGGCTATGTTCCTGGAGCCCACAGACATGAAGATTCAATTAGGGAGAAAGACAAAAGGCTTGCCGAGACCAACAACTTACATCGGCAAAACTTGGATCTTTGGTTGAGGTGAGTCAAGGCGCATCTGAAATGACAATTCCTTCTCATTCATGAGTAACGCTGACTCCTCTTTAGCTTTACCGCAGACCCAGAAAATGGATTTGAATACTACAAAACCTCGTTTGGTTGTCCAGCCCCAAGTCACGAGATGATCAAGGAGTTTCTCCGTTGGTACATTGGTTCTACTGAAGGCCGACTAAACGAGAACGGACGACCAACGGTAAGAACCGTACAGGCGTGTGCCGAGCGGTTCTTTGGTGGATTTGAAGAATTTACAAAGACCAAAATCATCCCAGATGATCGAAAAGAAATAAAATCGGTGTGTCTATCGTCACTTCTCTCTGAGACCCAATTCTTACAGCTATACTAATTTCAAGTCAGTGGATCAAAAAAACCCTGACGGCGGAAGGTATAATAGTGAATCAAAAGAAAGAGAAGCTAAACTTCACAAGACATGATTTCCTGAGAACGGTCTCGTCTTTGTGGCAGACAGATCATCAAACTTTTATCCCTGGGTTGCTTAAAGTGGTCATCTTGTTTGCTCTTCAACTGTATCTCTTTACCGGAGCAAGAGTCGGATCTTTCATTCCTTCCAGCAAGGACAAACATGAAAGAGGTCTTCGATACAAAGTAGGATTTCTTTTCTCCAGCGACACCGTCTACTACTAACCTCTTATCCAGCATATTGACTTGGTACTATTTCCTTCAACCACGGCCCTTTGGGCGGTTGGTTGGCGGGTCAAACAGGTCTGGCTCAAGAACAATCGATGTCCACAATACACTGTGTGAGTGGAAAAAGCCCAGTGGCATGCTTCTTGCGTATACTGGGACATTTTCTTTGCTAATCAATACTCTAGATTCGGGATCGGTATCCGGGATAGCAACAGACCGCAATTTGCATCAGGCTACCTTCTTCTCTCCCTCGCCCTAGCACACGGTGCTCTCTTTGCCGTCAACACTGTGGACGATCTAGCACAATTCAATCTCTCAAATGGAGAGATTCCATTGCGATGGAAAGATGAGTACTTGGAAAAGCCAGTCCTCAGACATGCAACGGCAGATGGACCCCAAGAGACTCCTTTGACGAAACAAAAGTTTTGTTCCTGCCTGCGCCAAATCTTCGCCGCCGCGGGATATTTTGGTGAACTGGCAACGATCCACTGTATCCGACGAAATCTAGGGAAGAAAGTCGAAAGTCAGTCCCTGCAACCACGAAAGAAAACCTGAAAGAGGTCACAGTACTAAAATTCGTCATAGGAAGGCATGGTTCTGCACCTGTGTCTCAAATAATGGCACACCAGGGACCAGGCACTTTTCCAGAGCATTATCAAGCCCACTGCTCCTCTATGGATACAGTCTCAGCTGTTCTCGACGAGGAGGACCAATCTGACCACATTGAGTACTTCCAAGGCTACGTCCAATTTTACGAGCGCGGCTTGCCGAGCGAATTGCCAGCAGAAGTCAAGAAAAGTATTTTTGAAAAACCAGACATGGTAAGTATGAGAGATCGGATCGACTTGTTTGAGCGAAGTCACGATGCGAACTCCCTCAAACATGAGCAGCTGGAATACAGGAAGGCGCTAGTTCGATATCGTCTTTCTGAGCTCAAGCAAAATCAAAATCGATGGGTACGAGAGAAAAGAGACCAGAAAATCATCAACCGGGGAAAGGAAGAGCCGAGGCACTTGGAAAATGACATTTGCACACGTGCTCAAATGTTGATTATGCCCGAAGTTGCGCGAATCGCAACAGCCATGTCCTGTACCAAAGAGCTTTCCTTTGACGAAAAACTTCTTTTTGTCCAAGATCTACAGACGCAGTGTCTCCGTGATTTTGATGTGGTATACCTCCCAAATGAAAGCCCAGTTCAGGGTCTCTGTCCTGTAAGAGGTTGCCAAATCAATATGGCAAGGTGAGCGCCCAGTTCCAATAACAATATGGTCGATACTAACTCTATTAGTCTGAGAAAATGTGACAGAAGTGCTCATGTCCACGGATGTATTCGGCGTGAGAAAGTGATGCAAATACAATGTTAGTATGTATGCAGGTAAAACAGTATTCAATTGGATGGACGGGGAGAGAGAGAAGGTGAGAGTGGAAGGAAGACTATCTAGTTGGTCTATCCTACATGTGATGCCTGAGGCATCCAGCAGATGTTCAGTGCCACTCGGAGACCCACCTCTCCTCCATTCGGAGCTAAAGACTCCAATCGTCGGAGTTCGTGCTCCTCAACAATGGCAGGTCCATGCATCGTGCATGCCTTGGACAGAAAAGTTGACCAGAGATCTCTGCGAAACTCTCGTTAAATTCTCATACTCAATGGTCAAATGGATCCGGCTGAGAATTGCGTCATCAAACTGGATACCCCGATTCGAAGTTTGAAAAGAACTCCTTGATAATATTCCAGCTTCGGAGGAAAATGGTCACAGGGCGATTGTGGGTATCGTGGTAAGATGTGCGCTGCTCCATGAACGCGTCTGCCTCATTCAAGAGTAGCACGGCATCAAAGTGTTTGGCGATCTTGAATACTGTTTCAAGTTGTTGCTCAAGTGCATTGGAATCTCCGTGGTTGACAACAAGTTCGCCTGCAGATATCTGGAAAAATCAGTGACACTAAAATCAGCCGAGCTGGATGGTTCATACCGAATAGAGGGGGAGCTTGAAATGCTCCGAGGTTGCCTCAACCATGAAAGTCTTTCCGACTCCCGGTGGGCCACTAACACAAGTTATGTTGGGAAGTCTTGATATCATATACGCTTTGCCGACATACTTCAGAAGAAGGTTGAATCCTTGGCCCTTTCCATCAATTACTTCGTCGAAAGGTACCGTCGGTATCATCCCTAGGCGGGTTTTCGCCAATGATAAGAGAATGATCTTGGTCTCTGAAGGGATCCTCAGGCAGTCGAACGACTCAGGTGATCAATTCACGCCCTTTAGAGCACTCACTGCGCCCTCCACTGGGATCACATTAGCCGGGCACCAACCCATCGTCAGTCGTGTCACATACAGAACACTTTCTCCTTGAAACTGAAACAACAAACTGTTGGGCAGGCGACCAGTAAATCGGCTTCGCTCAGCTTTTGTGCATCCACACTGACGCCTCGCAATTTATCCTTGTCTCGCTCATGGTCCTCCATGAGCATTGCACCAATGTCAAAGACTGCAATTCCAACCTTATCCTTGACCCCGATGTCGCGGAGTGACGGTCGGGAGTAGTTTGGCTGCATTTCATGGAAAAATGCGGCGTCCACTGCCACTCGACTGTTGGTGTTGACTTTGAGAACATTTCCCTTGTTCATAAAGAATGCGCTGCCTTGACAGTGCCGAACGTGTGGGCCGGCCAATTCCCGAAACTTTTGGCCCCTCTCGATCAGGGCTTTTCGGGCTTGCTCGTGGTTTGGATGGTGGTGGAGAGGGAAGGCCTCAAGGGTCTCGATCGGCTTTGACCCCGAAACTTTGCCACACGCAGAAAGATTCCGGCCTCGCCGAACTTGACTCCGTTATAATCAAGAAATCGACACTCGAGATTCAACCACGTCTCGTCATTTTGTGTCATCTCTTCGCCCGCGTCGAACACGACACATCGCGGCTCTTTTGTGCCAATGCATGAGGTATAAACATGGCAACCAGGCTTGAAAAGCGCCCAAAGAAGGTCATATGCAATATGACCGTGCTGCAACATTGATTCGAGACGCTGCAAAGTAGAAGCATATGCGTGCTTGAGGTGATCGATGAGCAAGAGGAGATGCTCCGCATGTACCGACTCATGTTCCGAGCTGCTATCCATGTTCTCCGCCCATCTGTTGAACTTGCGGAATAACCCATTTTGGTCGCTCGTACATCAAATTGAGGACATATCCCTAGAGCTTTAAAGCACTGATCCCAGATCACTCGTAGCCTCTGGGAAGAAGAGCATGATCCTTGATACGTGACAGATACATTAGTACTTCGAAAACAGTGGCAGGGATTCTGCGGCGTTGCTGTAGAAAACTGGTTCGAGAAGGAGCTAGCACGTGTGTCGAGGCATGACTCCCCCCTTTTCAACAAATCGATGGCCGACCACAGCTCTCCTGCTTACAAAGACCTTGAGACCATCTCGGGACGCTCTCTGAATAGACGGCATAATGAGAATCCTCTCCCCTAAAGCATTACAGCAGCCACAAAGAAGCTATTGTTGGGACGAATCATAGTACATCTTTCTGCTGATTTTTGTTCTACTCCGACCAATCGCTGGGCCGTAAGGGCATGGTAATAATTGGATCCAAGCCAATCAGAAAGCTAGCCATTAGGCTCAGTTTGAGTAAACAAAACAGTCGCGCCCAGGTCCAAATATTTCAATCCATAAGCAAAGCGTCTGTCCCGCATTTTCGAAAAATTTGTCTCGTCATCCTCGCTTTGCCATCAAGTTGCAACAAAAACTATCATAATGATTACGAAGACAGCCTTTTTTCCGGATACTTCCGCTTTACAGCGCAATCGAGACCTTATGAGAGAATTTGAAAGGGCACTTGAGATGAATCCGGCAGCCAATTTGACGGCTCTCATCCCTGATTCCTACCTTCAAAATCACCTGGACGCACAGCCACGAAGTCTAGAAACAAGCACAGCTAAGCTCAATCAAAAAACGGTCAATGAGCTCCAGGACGCCCTTAAAGATGATCCTGAGGTGGACTTGCTTTCAATTTTCCCTCCAAACTACGCTCGTCGTCGGCAACTCGCAGGCCAAACTGGTGAAAAAATAACAGAGCCTGATAGGACGGAACAGCCGACCCCTCCGGATTTTCGGACACGTCTCGATGGCGTGGAGACAGCTGAAATCATCTTCCCACTTTCGAATGATGCGACTGCCATGCTGACACCATTCTCGAATTCTTCTGATGGACATATGTATACCGATAATTCGCTTGTCTCAGTACTACAACGAATGCTTTGGAATTCCAAAAAAAATGTGGGAAAATCCGATACGGGGCATCGTCGTTCAATGCAACGACGACATCGTTGCCAAAGTTATCACGACGAACGGCGACTACACAGAGTATACGGCTTTGCAATACCTCGCAGAACAGGCTCCCGAAATTCCTGCTCCTAGGCCCCATGGCTTGATCAAGCTCGGATCTTTTTGTATGATTTTCATGTCTTATATTCCGTCCATGACGTTGAGCGAGGCATGGCCATATCTCTCACACGAAGAGAAGATTTCCGTGAAGCATCAGCTAGATGACATCTTCAGGAGGTTGAGATCCATTCGTGAGAAAGATGGTCATTATCTTGGGGGGGTCGGTGGCGAAGGAGTGAAGGGACACAAAGCCAATACAATCGTTAGCACGGCTGCTGGATTTGAGGATTTCAGATACTCCACCCCCCATCGCGGCAGCACCACATACGCCACTTTCCTTCGCTCTTTTCTCACAGATTCTATTCGAGGTTCGGTCTTCAGTCATGGTGACGTCAGACAAGATAATATCTTAGTGAATCTGAATCAGGACAATGTCTGGATTGTTACTGGGATCATTGACTGGGAGGACAGCGGATTTTATCCAGATTACCATGAATGTACTCAATTGACGAGGACATTGAGTGTGATGGAGGAAGATGACTGGTATCTCTATTTACCAGAGAGTATCTCGCCACTTCAATTTCCGATACGTTGGCTTGTTGATCGACTTTGGGATATCCATACTAAAACCACTTGAGTGCGGAGCTTTGCAAAGCAAAGCTCCGCAGTGACTTTTCGGGCGCCACGGTAAATGCGTGGCCAGAGTTTCATCACTTTGTGACACGCTAAGGCCCTTTGCTTCAGTCCGGCTGGTATAACAGAAACTCTGGCATTGGGATTGCATGGACCAAGTGTGGACTGTCGTACCTGGTTTTGCTTAATGAAACCCTCGGAAGGCTTTTTTTTATTGACGTCTATAGTTGGCCCTGCTTTTATTTCAGAATGGGCGGATGATTCTTTTTGGCCCCCGGAAGATACCGTTTCCTTGGCATTTAACTCCGACAAGTCGCTGGCTTTGAGGGAAATCCGGGGGCCCTTAACGCTTCTTAGATCTTTGGGTGGTACAAGCGGATTGCACGAGCCACATGGGGTCAGAGACGGTCCAGATATTGAGATAGAAAATGCTTGATATTCATTTCCTTTTCTCGATGGATCCATGATATGAATATCACCTTGTCCCAATGCAACAGTAGGTGCTTGGGTAGTGCGAGATGGAATAAGTTTCATTTGCTAAACAATTCCGGATTGGGGCTGATGGTTGATAGAAATAAAACCCCACAAAGCCTTGCTATGATAGCTTCTCGGGACAACGCCTCTGTTCAGAAAAGGATATTGCTGCAGAAACAAAGGATTACGTAGACCTTTATAGGTTTTTGGAAGATATTCTGGTCACAATGCTCCAAACACGTTTAGAAAAAAGCCAGGGAGCCAAAAAGCTATAAAAATAAAAGATTAGGTTCATACCAGATTTGACAGAAAGGTGAGGTGTGTTGGTAATGACCCTCACAAATTTTTTTCACCGACTGAGAATGACCTCGAATAACGTAGATTAATATAAATCTGAAACCAAGTTGGTTTCATATGGCCTAAAGATATCCAAAGCCTTACAAAATAGCGGGCCTCCGCACCTTTCGCCCTGTACCCTGAAATAGAGAAACGGTACTCTCTTGCGAGCGATTGAACAGAATGGTGAACGGCAGTCTCTTGATTAGGGCCTCTTATTGAGCTGACTGTTTGACTAGTTCCCTGGGGGAATTATTGGTACAATAGGATACGAGTGAAGAATGTGAGGTGTGCCTGATAAGGGTATGATGATATTCAGACTAATCGCTGGTCCTTCAAAGAAGAATCCCGCTCTTCCTTTTCTAGGGGATGCCGTTCCTGTTCTGCACTTACCTCATATCGCAACATATCATGAACTGCATCTGGTTGTGATTTTGAACGGCAAGACGTCTCTTTGAAAGGGGTAGGCAATCTTTCTCAATATCCTTAGATGTGTCAGAATGTTGAGGGCCATTACTTTGTGAAGCTTTGGGGAAGCTCTTGGTTGTCGCAGGGAATTTCCCGTACTTGCCTTAGGCCTTCAGCTATAAAGGCCTCATTCGTCCGAGTGGTAATCTAAATCTGTGCCCTTTGCATGTAATTCTGCTAGAGAAAGTGGTATGCTTTCAATGCCAGCCGGTTTGTTGGTCCTAACGTTGGTCTTTTCTTTGGTGAGTAGCTTCCATTCAGGCACTGGGCCTAGTATTTAAGTCACCCTCGGTAGGCTTGCGGTCTCGCCATTCGACCTGCTGAAGAAAAAAACATTGTAAGTTGCCTTGAAGAATGGTTGCTACGATGGCCTTTAAAGACCGACCTAATCAACTTGAAGGTACTTTCATTGAGCACCCACTATGGTTTGGCCCGGAAATCGGAATTCTCTGGTGTAAGTCATGGTATTTCCCACCAAGGCCCTACATTGAATCGTCTTATTGAACAGCCCTTGCCATTCTGCAGTCTAAGCGACACCACATTTCACATAGACAACACCACAAACCACATTAACTGGAACACTTCATGAGTTGCGGACCGCACCAACGTGCCTTTGCTCTGGAAAACCAGTGCATTGCACTTCATATTTTATCTGCCGAGAAAATTGTGGAGTTTTGTGTCGGACTGAGGGGTGGTATTTTATTACCAAAGACAGGGTTATTCATCAAGTACCCATTCACTCTTTGGGGTATGTGGCTGGACGCAAGAATGATCTGGTCGGTTGGAAATCCAAAGCCGAGCAAAATATGAGTCCAGACTAGACATGAAAATCAAACCAAGATGGCAGGTGAAAGGAGCCAGAATCAAGGACAGATGCAATCATCCACGCGACAACTCGAGAAAGTTATATTGACCTTCTACGACGTTCGTGATAAACATCTAGGGACTCTAGTATACTAGTTCAATGATGAGTCCAGTGTCTGAAAATTGACGTATCTAAGAACTATAATTTGCACAAATTGTATCGATATTGCCACGACTTAAATTTGACAAAGGTCGATCAGGCGGGAACCTACAGAGATTTGTTTTCGATGGCCTACTTTTCCCACTGTTGGAAAAATATGCGGATATCGGACAGACCTAGTTAAGGCTCAGCCACGGGCAAATGCCATCACAAACAATTTTAGGATCCATAAATAAGTGGTTATCAGTCTCCATTGTGACGTACCAAGCTTTATAACGCCGAAGTTTGAGCCTCGCCTGATTGTCTATTCATAATTTTACCTTTTACTAATAAACAGTCAGAGCCCCAAGCTATTGCACAATAGTTGTCAAAGAGTGTACCTTGTGATTACTTTCATCATTTATTCTTTGTCGTCAAGCAAGAAATGAGCGGAGGCATAAGAACGTCCGGGACACTGAGACGGCTTGCGTTATCGATGGGTCAAGAAAAAAAGGAAATCTAATAAAGAATCCGACATTTGCTCTTAATACTCAATTATATTTCCGCTTTTCTGTGGTATTTCTCGTCTTTGGCGAGTACCCTTCCTAGAAGCATTTTTTGTGGTGAGACTTACGGCCCTATTTCATGCGTATAGGTAGCAACTCCGGCGCACAAAATGGCTCGCGCGAGCATGACGAGGTCATCAGTGGGTCGATAGCTCGAAGCAACAAGAGGGTGCTATCAGTTTGTCAGCAACGTTTGGCGGAAATATTATGGCAGTTTATTGCTGCTTTACCACTCTCAGGGATGCTAGCGACTTTGTTGAGGCTGCAGATAAGAAGCCGAAAGTATCTGAGCCAACTGGCCACCGGTTCAAATCGTCGACTCCCGCAACCCAAATGGTTAATTGCAAGGTTAAAGTGTGCGGTCGTCGTACAAGCAATCCATAGAACCATTCTTCTCACTCGATGAAGTAAATTTTAAACCAAATTGGAAGGATCAACCTGAGCCCTGTTCTACGTTTATCGCCACGACTTTAATCATACTGTTGCCCCAATAATGTCATTCTTCAATTACTTCTCCACGTCCATATTTTAACCAGCCTCCAATTTTGCTCAATTCCCTATCTTCCATTGGATGACCTCATTGACCAAAAAAAAGGGGGCAAAGGAATTGCGGCCTGGTCCATCTTTCAAGCTAAGAAGCACGTTCCATCCAACAGCTTTTTGATAGCATTGGAGGAACTCTGGAAAGTCCTTTCGTTTGGTCAACCCAAGTCCCCGGTGTGTGTCATCACCTTTGTCTCGGCAGTGGCTTCCTATGGCTGGCACATTTTTCAAGAGCATGAGACACTCTGGACACATGTAATCGTATCCTGTTACAAGAAGGCTTTCCCGCAGGATTGCAAACTCTCTGTCCATATTATATAAGCGAAAACTGAAGATCTAAAGACAACACAGAGTGGAAGTAGAAGATGGAAGGCCTGCAGCTCCAATATTGCTCTTATAGTAAGGGGTCCTAGCAGGGATTAATGGTAGACCTTTTACTTGTCCAATTATGTTTTCATACTCATCAGCACGGCATGAACATGCACCATCCCTCCACTGGCTCAGCTTTGCGGGCCTGTTTGAAGACTTGGAACACTCGTTATCTAATTGGGACACAGCGCCTTGCAGCACTCGAGACTAGCGGTGGAGATCAACGTATCAAGTAGATAATTTTCTACTGTGTCTTGGAATAGATAACAGAAGCAACTATCTCAATACGTACATTTCCATTTCTTTTTGTCTTGATCTTCGTTCAAGTATTGCCTATCAGTTTAACAGTAACCTCTTTTTCTCCCGCAGGGTATTCCAATCCTCTTCACATATCAGGCTCTGGGCCTGATGGATCAATCCGGGTCTTTTAAAGCTCAGCGTTTCAGGTGCTTGGAATAATTTTTGTAGTTCAAACCCTACAGTCTTTGTTGTTCCATCAATGCATTGAGCAGTAAACTTCAGACACATTTGGAAGCTGGGAATGCATGTGAATAGACCCAGATACTCTATGAAAACATGCACATCAATGAGATGGTCATCCATAGGGCTTGCCCAAGAATTGGATTTCACGAGTCTGTCCATTGATTAGCACGCCGAACTGAGAGTCAAGCTAAGGGGTTGGCTTACTGCCGCAGATTATTCGACGCCATAATTTGACGCTCTTTTGGGGGGGTTGCCGGTGGTGTTCGAGGATTCAAGTATGTGCCTGTGGACTCGCGACTCGGCTTATATATAAAACCAATCGGTGCGGGCTGTGTGTCAACAGGTTGAGGTGTAACAGTATGATGAATGGTATGTGCATGCGCTTCAGATAGAGATGCAGCTCGTTGGGGAGAATGGGCGGATATGTCGGCACTCTGCTTGGTAAAACCGTGCGTCTTCTGAGGATGAAAGTCTGCTGAGGTGGGAACGGAGTTTCGAGGGTACTCTGGAGCTCCAAAAGACTCGATGGAGGAATCGTCATGGATTGTAGTGAATATGAATTGGAAAGGGGCGATTGACTCTATCAGCTGTCTGAAGAACTTCATGGGACAAGATTCTGTTGTTTGCGCTTGATACTGTACGTAATAAATTCAAGAAAACCACCCTCGTTGGAGATTCAGACAGTCATTACATACCAATGGTACGAGATTACATTTCAGTTCTATATAGTCATTAAGACTTTAAAGTTTCTGCTGTATCCCTTTGCTTGTAACATCGGGCCAGGTTGTTCAGAAGGATTGCTTATGCAATGGGCTATTCACTAAATCATACCAATGCCCCAGATGATACCGTGACCACCAACATTGGCTATGGTTATCCAACTTCAAGTATTGATGAATAGTGTTTCCTTCAAGATGATGATCAGATAGATTGGCTTTTTAATGAGGTCAATGCGAGGTTTTGGTCGACGTGCTGAGTATTCTGACTCTATGGTGTATCAACCTTGACTCTTCCAGCCCCCGGTGAGACAATGAATTTGGAAAAGGAGGGCTGAAGCAAAGCTTGGGAACAATATTATTTGATGTACCTTCACATGAAGTCACATCACATCACATCACTTCACTTCACTTCACTTCATTTCACTTCACTTCACTTCATTTCATTTCACTTCACTTCACTTCATTTCATTTCATTTCATTTCATTTCATTTCATTTCATTTCAGTTCATTCCATTTCATTTCATTTCATTTCACATCTCGAACTGTATCGAATGGACGCAAGGCCGACGTAGGTATACCGCACCAAAACGCGAATTGGGTCAAGTTCCTCGCCAGAGGGAAGGTTCCATGTTGATACTAAAAGACTATCCCATTCGTCAGTCAAGGCAAGATCCAACTCACCAAGCCCGGTCAACCTACATCAACTTAGGGCGATTGATTTTGGCAGTATTATGCCGAGGCTTTATTTTGTCGTCACGTGACCAAAATATCTCGTGTTGATTGTGCACGCCCCCACCCGATATTATTGATAAGGTTTCAAATCACGTAACTACATCACGTGGATAGAGTATTTCAACTTACGGAGGGGCATGCGCCACTCGTGCCCCTCGATTGTTTCATGGTTGGGGAAAAAATTATCCTCTTGGGCATCAAAGATCATCTCAAATCAACTTATTAATGAAGATATATTTTGGTTCACTTCTATATTACATTTAGCAGCATTGCGTTCTTCGTTTCCTCCCAGCGCAAGCACCATCGTCTTAAAACACCACACCAACTTGAAATCCGGTCGGTATAGTACCCTTTTTTCACGCTCTATTTCGTTCTTTACTAATAAGAAAACGAGTCTTTGAAAGATAAATTTTCATTCCAATCAAAGCCGAGGTTCTCAGCGGAGCGCCAAAAATCATCCCTGGTAATTGCAAATGAGCTCGTTACGGAGTGAAGATGAGAAGAACAAGTTGCGGGAGCATGCTGTGGCACTGGTACAAACCCCAACAACTCACTCAATGCCTGATAACACATTGACGCAATCAGATGTCAGGAAATGACAAGGTTCGAATCGCGCCCGCGGAAACCACCGGCGAAAACGATTTCAAATATGAACAATGGCCAAATGTGTGTGCAGTCGTGGTTGATAAGGGTAGCGGACGGGGGTACGCGCAGATAACTGGAGGTGGCGAGGAGGTGCATGCTGTCTATACGGGCCGTGGAGAGACTGGTTATGCTTTAGCAAACATCTCCCATGGTCAGTCATGTATGCTGTATGGGTATCCCACAGTGCTGTATATTTATCCTTGTTCCTGAACTGCTTCAACAGGCATCAATCTTTCCTGTGTCTTTTCCACAACAAATTTGATGAGGGCCTGACACACCTCGCGCGAAATCTCGATCGCAGGTTGTTCGTTGATATTGTCCGGTATCCTGATCATAAATGATCTATGCGTTCCGGGGTAACTTCTCATGAAATCAGCGAGATCTCTCTCTTGAAGAACTGTTCGGTAGGCGGCATCATCTAATCTGTCTCAGTATAGGGTTGAGGGGAGACGGGGTTATTCTGTGTCGCTCACGTGTGGCTTTCTTCCTCGGCAAGAGAGCATAATAGTGTGTAATTGCATATCTCAGCCCTTTTGGACACGTCTTGTCTTTTCTCCAATCCATGAGGCCGCGAAGGTAATCTTGTGATTTCAGACTGCCGATTTGAGTAGGACGGGCTGACAATGCACAAAGAAAAAACAGTTCTTCGCTACACTCCAAAACATCATTGAGGATTGTGCGCGCCCGCAATTTGGGAACATTTCGATGAATCGTCGAAGGGTCCGTTGCAACCAGCCGCGAACATCTTTTGATATTGTCCACCTGATTAGTGGTAAGAGGCACGAAAATATCCGAGAATTGTCTCCAAGTTGTATCGATCAAATTGAGCAATCCCTCAGGCGATAGTTGAGCCATTATGAAAATTTATTAAGCAGGGGAGGAAACAGAGGGTAAGTGATGTGAGTGATGTGAATTGAAATAAAGTGAAATAAAGTGAAATAAAGTGAAGTGAAGTGACGTGAAGTGAAATAAGGTAATGTAAATTAAGGTAAAGTGATGTGAATTGAAATAAAGTGAAATAAAGTGAAGTGATGTGATGTGATGTTCATTGGCCAATGCTAGCCGATCTACACAGCTCCAAAACAAGTAACAGCGTCAACAACAACCTGATACAGAAGCTCGCTCCCTAGTTTTTTGAACCGAGCGTAGCATAACCCTGACCTTGTACGAGCATAGGTCACTGTTCACTTTTCTAAGCGGGCCGAGCAAATTTTGGGCCAAATTGTACAGCTTACTGGGGAACTCAGACTTGCAGGGATATTGTGTAAGCATTGTGTTCTTCGAATAAAAACTCTATTCACTTCATTTCACATTAATTCGCTTCTTGTCAATCTAGTCGCGTATCTCTTTGGTTCGCTACATGACACGGTTCCCCTCTTCAACTGATGAGATTCGACGCATGCACGCTGCCAATCATCTCACAGATGCTCTGAACCATGGAGGAAACGCCTTGGGTGGGGCTGATCCATGCTTTTCACATCCACAGCGCACGGGTAAGGGACCTTGGACCCAATTGGGGTTTCGCCGAAGCCTAATGATCAACAAAGCCACTCAGTAATATCGATTGATTGGTGCTCGTGAGCCATAATTAGCGCCAAATGTAGGGGCCGTCACCCTCGAGTTAACAAGGAGGCAGCCTCAGTAATCCCATATGCACCCGTCAGAAACAATCTGATGCTCACAAGACTACACTTAATGTAATGAACTCGCCTGATGTTATGTCCAGGTAACCTGTCATGTCTGTTACCCCGCTTTCTTGTTGTATAAAGAGCGCGAACGTAACGATTGTCTCCTGAATATCTCAAGAATCACTCTCGTGGCTTTGTTTCTTATTATACCTGGTAGTCAGACTACCTACTCTGCCCGGTCTCTATTGAATTTGGATTCTCAAACTTTGATCGCTAAAGACCACTTCCCTGAACCGCTCCTCTCAAGCGTATACCTAATTGCTAGGGTCCTTACAAGTACAGTACTCGTGCCCTCCATTGAGGATCAGTGGTCTCCCAACTAATACATGTATAGTCCCCGCCTTCATCATGACTTCTAAATCCGACATAAGCCATCCCGTGGACGCGATCAAATGTTGCACCTGCGGACAGGAGAAGAGCATGGTCCATGCAGATTGTGGGGCTTGTTGATGCAAATACAATGATAGTATGTATGCAGGTAAAACAGTATTCAATTGGATGGACGGGGAGAGAGAGAAGGTGAGAGTGGAAGGAAGACTATCTAGTTGGTCTGTCCTACATGTGATGCCTGAGGCATCCAACAAGATGGCACTTGACAACGATGAATGGCGCCAGATCGATTACCTTCTTTA